AGGATTCAGGAGTTTGTCTTGAGGTTCTCAAGCTACTCTTCCGACACTGCGACTTGATTTGAAATGAGGTATCCTACTTTGGGGCCCAGGGAGCCTGGCTTGCCAACGAGTCAATCTGGGCCGACGCAGTCGTCGCTGTCACCGCAGCATCGACGTCATTCCAGTCCACCCTTGATCGGGCTGGAACGTCAACTGAGTGGCACCAAGCGCCCACTAGCAGACCAGCCGCCGCCAGAGACCCTGCAGCACGCGCACACCTTCACGGCGGGTGTCGCTAGGCTGTGAGGTGAGGTGAGGTGAGATGAGGTGAAGCTGGGATAGGTGCAGAACGAGGGTGTTTCTTTTCTGTCGGCCACAGGATCGGACACGGACGGATCGATCCAAGACCGCACAAGGAACGGGCTTACGAGCCAGGACATGAACGATCGATTTTGGATTGCCAGTAGATTACGGGCCCAACAGAGGGAGACGACGAGGGACCACCAATGTTGCTTTTGTCAGAAACAAGCCTACCCTGTGTTGCTGAAGAACTATTGACCATCGAGAATACCACGCCGCCATGCAGCCCTCGCGTCAACCTGTGTGAAGATCGTCCCAGCCCACCTGGAGCCAAGGGCATTCTGGCAATGGAGCACAGGTCGGTCAGGAGACATGCAGTTAATGGGTTGTCAAGATGAAGTTTCCACGCCACACAAGACGGCTCACAGTCAGCTCTTGCTACCCTCCACCCACCCTGCCAGCCCGGACTGGACCAGTCCGATGCGATCTGACTCCCATCCTGAGCTTCAGGCAAGGCGTGGCCGGTAGCGCACCGCAGGGTAAGCCCTTCCGCCGGGCGGCAGTACCTCTAGGGCACTACACCCGTCGATGCTCAAGAAGTGTACCCGCATCTCCACCTGATTCGAGGCACTCTGGAGGTATTTCCTTAGTGCGGCGAGGTACTCCAAACGCCGCCCGAGGGACTACTGGTGCTGCATGTGGACTTGCGGCGGACTTTACAGGGCCTCGCCTCCCCAAATCCCACCCCCCGAGGAATGAAAGGCCCCTGGCGCCAGGCCTTTATTGGATCGCTCCCCGCCTGGATGCCAGCCGCCAGCCGCCAGCCGCCATCCCCCATCTCCATCCTTTCACCTCCATCTCCATCTTCGTCGGCCGTCCCTCGACTCCCTCTGCGTCCCTGCTCCCGTCTACGGTCGCCCTGCCTCGCCTACTACCGACATCCTCGACAACCAAAGGGCCAGCGCCACAAAGGACGGGCAACACGGCAACGGGGCTTTCCCTGGTCGAATCTCACAATCATATTACGTCGTCCTGTTAATCAACTCGTTCTTATAGTACGACGGCCCGCGACCGTCCTTTCACCCATTCCACCGTCGTTTCGTCTCCGTCTGGACAGGCCTGATTTGTCGCCCGACCCCCCCAGCGTCCTCCTCCTACACTCCTCTTGGGCACCACCCACCCTCGAGTCGATTGGTCTGAATCATCGTACGGGTTTCCCTCGATTAAGAAGACTCGGCCACCCTGCGCGGCGTTTGCAGTCTCAAGGCGACACCAACGAGCGTCATCGAACCCTGCCTGTCACTCTGAACCCTTCCATACCAACTGCTCTCCGCATTTACTTGGCCTCCCTAGCCCTGGTGATGTGCATCATTGCCGTAAAAGGTTCTTCTACTTCTTCCCGCCAATCTTCTACGCCTTGAAGAGAGACTCGACATCTCTTGGTCGACGTCCCTACGACCCGAGGTTCAGCAACGCCCTCCACCCAACCAGACACGACAGCCATCGTCTCCGACATGGCAGGCTACGGTCGACCATTGAGCTTCTCTGAGAGACGAGGAAGCCAGCTGAGCGAAGATTTGACCTTGAACACAAGCAACGGCATGGGGCCGAGCGAGCGTGCGGACAAGATGCCACAGCGACTTGGTCACATTCGCGGGCCCCCGACACCCAGCATGCCCACGCCTGCCACAGACTACGATCAGCAACTCACAGGGTCTCCGCCGCCACCGCCGACCCCTGCAGCCTCTCCGGGTCCTTCTCATGGACAACTCGACTGGAGCGATGCCGCCGATGACGAGGATTTCTTCCTCGCAAAAGTGCGCCAACACTTCAAGGCCGCGTCTGGACCGCAGCGGACGAGGATTCTCGGCGACCTGCTGAATCTCTGCACAAGTCAGCAGCTCAGCTTCGTTCACCAGTTTGTCAGCCCGCTGTTGAAGAAGGATCCATTCACCAGTCTCCCTGACGAGCTCTGTCTTCGGGTAAGAAGACCTTCTTCCTTGCCCCTCCTTGTGCCGACGAAAGCACATGACTAATTTCCTGTCTCGCATGTAGGTTCTCTCCTTCATCGACGATCCGAAAGTCCTCGCTCGTGCCTCACAAGTCTCAAATCGATGGCGAGATCTCCTCTCGGATGACCTTACGTGGAAGAACCTCTGCGACAAACACAACTATAGCACAGAAGAGGAAGACAGCCCGACACAGCAGAGCCCCACACATGCCGCCCGTCAACACCACGATTCACATGCAGGCCCCAGCCGCCGCGAGTCGATGGCGACAACGAGCACGCACCACGATCTGCAAACCAGCAGCCCCGGGAACCGACGACCGAGGATCAGAACGTATAGGTCGCACTTCAAACAGAAACACCAGGTCGAAATGGCTTGGAGGAGCGGTGGAACGCACATCACCCGAAACATCACGCAAGAGGGTGGTGTGGTCACGAGTCTTCACTTGACCTCAAAGTACATCATCGTTGCGCTGGACAATGCCAAGATTCATGTTTTCGACGCGCAGGGAAACGCACTGCGGACTTTGCAAGGACACGTTATGGGCGTGTGGGCAATGGTTCCCTGGGACGACATTCTGGTCAGCGGCGGTTGTGATCGTGACGTTCGAGTGTGGGATTTGACAACTGGGTAAGCCAATCGTCATGCTTTGGCGTGTTGCTCAACTAACCTGTATAGTGCCTGTTCCCACACATTACGGGGTCACACGTCCACTGTTCGATGCTTAAAAATGTCGGACGCCAACACGGCTATTTCAGGGTCGCGCGATACGACACTCAGAGTTTGGGATATTCGGACGGGCCTGTGCAGAAACGTCCTGGTCGGACACGGTGCTAGCGTCAGGTGTCTGGAGATCCACGGAGACACTGTTGTATCCGGCAGTTACGATACCATGGCCAAGGTCTGGAGCATCTCGGAAGGCAGATGTATCCAAACATTGCAAGGACATTTCAGCCAGATCTACGCCATTGCTTTCGATGGCAAGCGGGTCGTCACCGGCAGTCTCGACACCAACGTCCGCATCTGGGATCCTCGCACAGCGTAAGTATCTGGCCCAATGGGGACTGTGAGGCGGTATGCTGACACGAACCTAGCGAATGTCTTGCCATTTTGCAGGGCCACACTAGTCTTGTGGGACAACTCCAGATGCGCGGCGACACCTTGGTCACCGGCGGCTCCGACGGCTCCGTCCGGGTGTGGTCGCTCCAGCGCATGTGCCCCATTCACCGACTGGCGGCCCACGATAACAGCGTCACGTCTCTGCAGTTTGATGAGGCTCGAGTTGTCAGTGGCGGCAGCGACGGACGGGTTAAGATCTGGGACGTCAAGACGGGCCATCTGATTCGTGAGCTCATCGCGCAGGGCGAGGCGGTCTGGAGGGTCGCGTTTGAAGACGAGAAGTGCGTCGCTCTGGCACTGCGCCATGGAAGAACAATCATGGAGGTACGTTCGTTGTGATCATGGCTGTTTGCCCCACTGAATGTATGCTGACTGTTGCTTCAGGTCTGGTCCTTCTCGCCGCCTGCCGAGGAGGCCAGTTCGTACGACCGGCCGTTGTCTCTTCAACAGAGAGCTGCCTCGGAAGCTTCACGAAGGTCGTCGAATGCGTTGCAGCTCGATCTCAGGAGCACGCAATCACAGGTATCCATCGTCGGCCCATCGCGTGACACTCCGGGCGGGTCGGACATTGACATGGGGGATGCCGGCCCGTCGACGGCGCCCGCGCAAAGCGGCAATCTCACATTCTTTCACGATGACTGAGATGCTCGACGCCAGAGAGCCGCAGATGCTTCGACGGCGGGCAGATGCTTCGACGGCGACAGCCTTAACATAATGGGAGGTACGGCGGAGGAGTGACATACAACAAAGCCAACCAAGTAGATGGACTCGCGGTGAGGTACGTGGCATCAACGGGCTAAGGGGATATCAGGGAAACATTAAGGAATATCGCACAAAGGAACATCAAGGGCCAGGAGCCACGATACGGCATGTTATGGCGTTGGAGGATCACTTATCAGCATCCCGCGATCAGGGGCATGGTCAGACAGCATCGGTTGGCTGGGCGTCTGCGTGGTTCACTGAACGAACCCCGGGGGTCAGGGTGGCCAAGGGGCGAAGAGAACAGGGTGCGACTCCAGAGGCCAAGAGTTGCTATTTATCATTGAGCCACCAGGTAGTTTTTCTCTCTCTCTTGCTTCTTCTACTTCTGACTGCGTTTGGGACATGGTCTGCAGCGCATACTCGCGATACCCGAATCTAGACAAGTATCAGAACCCGGCCACTGTGCAGTACATGATGCTGATGTTGAGGACGTTGGTACGTAGTCGGTCGCATGAAGACAAGTGCGTCCCCCCGTCCGCAATCAACCCGAAGCAGGGCTGAGTGGCTCCTCTCGGGCGAGGTCGGGAGGCAGCAGCTGTGGCTGGAGATGCTGAGATGTGTGGCGGCGCCCACCACTCGGAGCCTGTTTCCCAATAATCCCGTTGGGCGGAGCAACAGATAACGGGTCCGCTAACTAGACAGAGCCTAGCCTCCTTCAACAACCAGCTCCCTTCCCAACACCGCGATTTTTCGGAGCTTGACACAGCGAGCGATAATAATTTGAGTCTCCAGTCTCCATCCATCTCGACCACCTCCCCCCCCTCCTCCGTGACCGCGACCACCCCGAATCTCCTTTTCCAGCATCACAGGAGGCTCATCTCATCGCACACGATGTTCTCCCGTGCGCTCAGGCTAAACCGTGCGGTGCCGCTGCGCGCCCGCGCCCCGGCGCCTTCTGTCGCTGCCTCTCGGTTCGTCACCACCGATGCCGCCTCTGCGACATTGCAGAAGGGCGTCCCCGAGGTGAGACTCCGGACGTGACGGAATTGATGCGGCAGAGCGTGAAAACTGACTTGGGATTCCGCAGTCCGATGATGAGGCTTTCTCCATCCAGCTGAGCGATGAGAGCTTCGAGACGTACGAGCTCGACCCCCCGCCATACACCCTCGAGGTCACCAAGAAGGAGCTGAAGCAGATGTACCAGGACATGGTTACCGTCAGGTGAGGCCTATCGCACCAGCGGCCAATGGGTCGACGCTCTCTGCCTGGGGCGTCAAGTGGCTGACAGGAGATTTCCCCCAACAGACAACTCGAGATGGCCGCCGACCGCCTGTACAAGGAGAAGAAGATTCGCGGTTTCTGCCATCTGTCCACCGGACAGGAGGCCGTTGCCATTGGCATTGAGCACGCCCTGACCAAGGAGGACGACATCATCACAGCCTATCGATGCCACGGCTTCGCCTATATGCGCGGTGGCACCGTCCGCTCCATCATTGGCGAGCTTCTCGGCCGCCGTGAGGGCATTGCGTACGGCAAGGGCGGTTCCATGCACATGTTCGCCAAGAACTTCTACGGCGGCAACGGCATTGTCGGTGCCCAGGTGCCCGTCGGTGCCGGTCTCGCTTTCGCCCACAAGTACAACGGTCGCAAGAACGCCAGTGTCATCCTGTACGGTGACGGCGCCAGCAACCAGGGCCAGGTCTTTGAGGCCTTCAACATGGCCAAGCTGTGGAACCTTCCCGCTCTGTTCGGCTGCGAGAGTACGTTGCATCTTGTTTCTCCCATTCTTCTGAAGGCTCCAATGTGCAATGACGGCTGACAATTCCGCAGACAACAAGTACGGCATGGGCACTGCCGCCAACCGTTCGTCGGCTCTCACGGACTACTACAAGCGTGGCCAGTACATCCCCGGTCTCAAGGTCAACGGCATGGACGCCCTCGCTGTCCGCGCCGCTGTCAAGTACGGCAAGGAGTACACCCAGGCCGAGAACGGCCCTCTGGTTCTCGAGTACGTCACCTACCGCTACGGTGGCCACAGCATGTCCGACCCCGGTACCACGTACCGTACCCGTGAGGAGATCCAGCGCATGAGGTCGACCAACGACCCCATCGCCGGCCTCAAGCAGAAGATTCTCGACTGGGGCGTCGTCACCGAGGACGAGCTCAAGGCCATTGACAAGGAGGCCCGCAGCCACGTCAACGAGGAGGTCGCCATCGCCGAGGCCATGGCCGTTCCCGAGGCCACCCCCAAGATCCTCTTCGAGGACATCTACGTCCGCGGCTCCGAGCCCCAGTTCATCCGTGGCCGTACCGCCGACGAGGCCTTCTACTTCAACTAAAGAAAACCCCGCAACCTGCTCCGAGGGGGCCAGACCTTGGCGTGACACCTAATCGTTGTACTGGCCGAACCGAACCTGTTCCCGTTTGTATATTACCTGCTAGTTAAAGGCAATTCGGATCGAATTGAACATGATTGAGACGGGACGGAATCCTGCTATCCAATATGAATTTCTTTCTGTCGCGTGAGAGGCTCCATTCGTCCATGTCTGCTCCTGTCGTTCCTGAGGCACCCAGTCATAGTCGAGCCATCTTGGAGAAAAAAGAAGAAAAAAAGTACCTTGTACCTCTCACAGGGCTGAGAGGGCCCAGGTACCTCTAAGTATCTAGGTGGGGAGTTTAGGTGCCTGGAAGTGATATGCAGCTAAGAGGGTCTCAGTTCGCGTCTGGACCCAACTCAATTAACGCGATGCTGCCTGTCGAAAGCGCGTCATGCTCGACCCAGACGATCCTACCTCCCTCCCGCTGCCGCCGCCGCAGTGAACATCTGATCCCACCTTTGGTACCGCCGCCCGCTACCGCTAACGCGCTTCTCTTCCCCTCCTGCTCCTCGCGTGGTCCCCTCAAGTTGCACGTTGGCTGCCTAGACCACCCTCCGGGCACGTTTAAAAAAGCAAGCCGTCACCGTGGCGCACCGTCTGCTCTTCCGACGGCCTCCTCTCTTCCTCTCCACACTCGTCGCCGCCGCGAACCGAAGAGCGCTCGTCATGGCGCCGAAGCAAGCTACGCTGGGGTACGTCAAGTCCTCGCAGACAACATTGGGGTGTGTAGACAGACACGGCCTCTCCCCTCCGCCGCCGCCACGGCCCCTCCCCCCTCCCAACCCCAAACTGTCTGGTGCGTCGGAGCTGTTGTGGGCAGGGTTCGCTGACGACGTTGCGCAGAAAGTTCTTTGGCGGCCAGGATGGGCCCAAGGCGAAGCCGCAGCAGAGCAAGCTGAGCTTCGCGGCGAGGCCAGCGCCTAAGAAGCAAGTCAAGGCTGAGGAGGACGAGGTTGCCAACAAGGAGAATGGCGCTGCGTCTGCGGGTGTCAAGGGGGAGGATGGCCCTAAGAAAGGTCCGTGTTCTCTCTTCTCCTCCCAGTAACACCCCTTCAGGATTGTGTTTTGGCTGACTGATGCTGCTGTCCAGATTCGAAGAAGCGAGCGCATGCAGACGAGGACCAAGATGGCAAGTCCTCCAACAAGACCGTCAAAACAGAAGAGGTCTCTGCGGATGAAGACGACGCCCCGGTTGTGAAGCGTGCGAGACGGAACCGCAATCGCATTGAGGACGACGAAGACGAGGGCATGGAGGAAGTGCCGGCCCCGAAACCGAGCCCCAAGACGAGTCCCAAGAAGAGCAAGCGAGCTTCCAAGTCCAGGTCACCTTCGCCCAAGCGTGCCAAGGCCTCCCCGACCCCGGTACAAGCGTCAGAAGATTCTGAAGTCGAGTCTGTGGGCTCGGCTGAGGACGACCTGGACGGCGAATCTTCCGCAGGTTCTGAAGCTGAGGATGCTGGGGACGCTGCCAAGACGGTCCTCAAGCCCAAAGGCAAAGGCAAGACTCCAAAGGGCGGCAAGTCGGCCGCACAGTTGCTGGGAGACCTGACAGCCCAGACGAAAGACCCATATCCAGATTGGAAGAAGGGCGATCCCGTACCGTACGCCGCGCTCTGCAAGACATTCTCCCTGGTCGAGCTCACAACAAAGCGACTGGAAATCATGGCGCATTGCTCAAAGTTCCTCCGTCAGGTCTTGCGTCTCACACCAGACGACCTGCTCCCAACGGTCCTCCTCATGATCAACAAACTTGCGCCAGATTATGCGGGCATTGAACTCGGCATCGGAGAATCTCTCATCATGAAGGCCATTGGCGAGTCGACAGGTCGTACCCTTCAGATCATCAAACAGGACCAAAAGGAAATTGGTGATCTTGGTCTCGTAGCCGTGAAGAGCAGGTCCACTCAACCTACCATGTTCAAGCCCAAGCCCCTCACTGTCCGGGGCGTGCACAAGGGTCTCATGGGTATCGCGACGGTGACGGGCAACGGCGCGCAAGGCCGCAAAGTTGATGGAATCAAGAAGCTTCTTTCGTCCGCAGACGCAGCGGGTGGAAAGGTGGATATCTCGAAGGACAAGGGCGGACCGAGCGAGGCCAAGTTCTTGATCCGCTTCCTCGAGGGCAAGCTCCGTCTCGGCCTCGCTGAGAGGACCGTTCTGGTCTCGCTGGCGCAGGCTGTCGTGAACCACGAGGCTTCTGCCAAGGACCTTGTTGCGAGCCCCGAGGATGTCGAAAAGGCCGAGGCCATGCTCAAGACGGTTTACAGGTAAGAACCTCGACCGATTCTTCCCAACTTCAACCACTGACCAAAACCTAGCGAGCTCCCCAGCTACGATGTGATCATCCCCGCCATGGTTGAGCACGGCATCATGAACCTCCGCGAACACTGCAAACTCAAGCCTGGTGTGCCTTTGAAGCCCATGTTGGCCAAGCCCACCAAAGCTATCACCGAAGTCCTGGATCGCTTCGAGAACCAGACATTTACCTGCGAATACAAGTACGACGGTGAGCGGGCTCAAATTCACTACGTCGCCAAGTCCGCGGATGAGGAGCTCAGCCAGTCCATGCCCGGCGCAACAAAGGAGGCAGCCAACGGCGTCGCCAATATTTTCTCGAGGAACTCAGAAGATCTGTCCAAGAAGTATCCCGACATTCTCGCCAAGCTCCATACTTGGGTCAAGCCTGACACCAAGAGCTTCGTTCTCGACTGCGAAACTGTTGCTTGGGACGTTGTGGAGAAAAAGGTTCTTCCGTTCCAGCAGTTGATGACGCGGAAGAAGAAGGACGTCAAGATTGAGGATGTCAAGGTCAAGGTATGCGTTTTCGCGTTTGATCTGCTCTACCTCAACGGCGAGGCTCTGGTTGAGAAGTCTCTTCGGCATCGTCGTGACCTGATGGTCGAGGCCTTTGCACCTGTGGAGGGCGAGTTCTCGCTCGCCACGTCTATGGATGGCCAGGAGCTCGAGCAGATCCAAGAGTTCCTGGATGAGAGTGTCAAGGCTTCCTGTGAGGGTCTTATGGTCAAGATGCTGGACGGAACAGAGAGCGGATACGAGCCCAGCAAAAGGAGTCGCAACTGGCTCAAGGTAAGCACACTCCCCTGCCCCGAGCACATGTCTTGACAGAAACGCTAACCCGCACTAGATCAAGAAGGACTATCTCGCCGGCATTGGCGACTCGCTCGATCTCGTTGTTCTGGGTGCGTACCACGGCAAAGGCAAACGTACGTCCGTCTACGGCGCCTTCCTCCTCGCCTGTTACAACCCGTCTGGCGAGGTCTACGAAACGGTCTGCAACATCGGCACCGGCTTCTCCGAGGCCGTGCTCGAGGAGCTTCACAAGCAGCTGTCCGAGATTGTCATTGACCGCCCGAAGCCGTTTTACTCCCACTCGGCCGGCGGCCAGCACCAGCCTGATGTTTGGTTCGAGCCCCGCTATGTCTGGGAGGTCAAGACGGCGGATCTGACGCTCAGCCCGCGCTACAAGGCCGGCGCCAAGGAAGGCGTCGATCCGTCGGGCGAGAAGGGCATCTCGCTCCGCTTCCCGCGTTTCATCAAGATTCGCGATGACAAGAAGCCGGACGAGGCGACGAGCAGCCGTCAAGTTGCCGAGATGTACCGCAAGCAGGAGTCCGTGACCAAAAGCAAGGGACCAGCTGTCGACGATGACTTTGAGTACTAATGGATGGGTGTGGAAGGGGAATCGCCTGTGGAAGATGGGAGAGATGAGGCGGGAGGTGTAAGGGAGACGCTACAGGGTATTGCTACTGTTTTGCCATATCTATCCACATGACGGGAGGCGGCTGCATTGCTGGAGGTCTAGGCGCGAGGCGTTTTTATGAGATTATCACTGTCAACTGTTGTGAGGATTGTTCAATTATCTTTTCTGGCAACTATCTCATGAGTTTGGTGGAAATTGTGAATCCAAATATGGGGAACGGCAGCGCCCCCTTTCTCGTCGTCTTGTTGCCACACCAACCTCGTAGCCGTTTCCGAAAAGAAACAATCACTGCGACGCTTGGCGCAGTCCGACGATGAATGCCCGCTACACGTCTCCCTCTATCTTACAAGCAAATGGTGAATGGTACAGCTCCTGAACCGCAGTGATCACCAGTTGACCGCGAAGATGGGCAGGAACATGAGCAACACATAACGCGAGGCAGAAAATTCATATTGGTCGTGACACTAGCACCGTCTATCAGATGTACACACAATGATCATCACAGCATGGGCCCCCGCTCATGCGCAGGACTCATGGCTTCGCTCCCACTCCGCTCTCGCAACAAGCCCTCGGCCTCGCCGTCGCCGTCCTCCCTGGTGATCCCAGTCTCCACGGTGCCGTCCCGGCCAGACGTCCCCGCCGTGCGCCTCGTCTCGTCCGCCCCGTTGAGGACGTACCACACGTCCTTCTTGGTCAGCAGACCCTGCAGCACGCCTCTGTCGGCGAACAGGACGTAGCGCAGCCCCAGCTTTTGAAAGTACGACACGACGAGGTGCAGGTTTGCGCGCGACGGCAGGGTGATGGGCGTCTGGTCCATCCACGGGCGGAGATCGAGCGTGGCGCTCGGGTCGGCCATGGGCTGGTGGGTGAAGAACGCCTCCGTCTCGGGCGGCAGGGAGCGAGGGGGCTGGGCCGAGGAGCGGAGGTTGTAGGAGAGTTCGGCGCGGGAGATGTAACCGAGGAGGATGGCCTCGCGGGGGTCGGAGATGACGGGGAAGCCGCGGTGCGGGTTGGCGTCGAGAATGGCCGTCAGCGATGCAATGGTGTGGCCGGTCGCCGTGAGGACGACGAGGTCTTCGATGCGGGTGATGACCTGTGTGGCGGGAATGTCGGGGATCTGCGCCGTCTCGGCGTCCGAGTTGTCGAGGAAGGGGTATTCGTTGAAGTGAATCCAGGACTCGTAGATGCCGCGGCGAGAGAACGCGTCACCTACCCACTTTGAGATCATGACGGCCACCATCATCGGCAGGACATATGTCAAGGCCCCAGTGAGCTCGAACATGATGACGACAATGGACACGGTCATTCGGGTGACGCCTGCGAGGGTCGCCGCCGCGCCAACCACGGCGTATGTCGCTGGCGTGATGCAAGGTATGTCGGGTGCACAGGAACCAAAGGCAAAGAACTTGGGGTGGTTCTTGACCCAGATCTCCATGATAATGCCAACAGCCCGGCCGGTCAGGGCACCAATGGCCATTGAAGGCAAGATGATGCCGGCAGGAAGTTGCAGACCGAATGTGATCGCCGCGAGAAGGAAGCCAAGAATAGCAGCGAAGAGGAGCAGGACAATGGTGCTGGCAGAGGCCGCACCTGTCTTGCAGAGGCCTATCTTGTCTTCGGAGTGTTTGCCGCATTCGACGAAGAGGTTAGACACTAGTTCAGAAGACTGGATCTGCATGTAGAAATTGGGAAAGTTGACCAGGGCTGTGAGAAGCGCAACGGCAATAACCTGAACAATGGGTCCGGGGAGCCATGACGATCTCTTCTTCCAACGGGCCACGGCCATGTTGGCCTTGATGAAAAGGCCGCCGTAGATTCCCTGAGAATGTCAGCAAAAGAATTTGGTTCGAGGCATTGTCCAAGTACGTACTCCAATGATACCAAGGATGGCATAAGGGATGATTTCGAAATCCGTCCACTCTGTGCTGACCTCAGCCTCGTACAAGACGAGCTTTTCGGTGCGGAAGGGGTCGAGAGCCTGTAGCATGACAGCGGCAGTCATGGCGCAGACAAAACTCTGCCACATCGTCTTGTCTGGAAAGTAGTAGGATATTTGCTATCCGTCGTCAGTACCCATGTCCGTCGACGGACGTGTCAGACTGGAGATGGCTTACCTCAAGACAGAACAACACGCCACCGATGGGCGAACCAAACGCAACTGAGATTCCAGATGCCGCAGCGGCAGAGAGAACTTCTCGTTTTCGAGCTGGAATATACACATGTCAGGAAGTGCCGTTCCAAAGGAAGTAATCGTGACCTACCCTCGTTGTCGTTAATGTTGCTGAACAGCTTGATAAACAGGTTCGCGCAACAGCAAGCAACGTGGACCAGGGGGCCTTCCTTGCCCAGCCACATCCCAGAGGCTACGGCAAGACACTTCACAGCTGTTAGTCTGAGGCGAAGAAGTAGCAGCATAGTGAAGACGAACCAAGCCCAAAGATTTCGTCACTAAAGTCCATCCACCCAGGAACCTGCGAATAACGAAGCCGCCCAGAACCGTCTTGATCTCGGGTATACCGCTATGCTTAGCATAAATACCATACTCCTGAACCAGAACTGCCGCTGAAAAGGCAAGAAATACCTGTGCGCAAGTTAGTCGGAGAAGGGCCACATGATCTACGCAAAGAGTCACGGACTGAAAAGATGAGAAACACAATGTACTCTATGATCCAAGCCCCGCCCTTGGACGCCACGCCAAACGCCTTGGCCCAGGGAATCCAACCGGCGCATTTTGAGGACTCGTCATACCCCCAGCAGCAGAACGCCTTGTTGAGATGGAACGCGCCGCCTTCGGGGCCGCTGGAGCAATAGCCTGTCTTGAGATCACCTAGCCAATCCGTGGTGACGTCGATGCCCGCAGCGACAGTGCCCACGGCTAGACCGGTGAGGATCAAGATGAGCCAAACCTGGCTCGCGTCTGCAAATCTCCGGAAGAGCCCCATGAGACCGTGGGCGCTCGAGTGAAGCACGCGCAAGCGCTGGCGCTCCTTGGTGTATTCAAAGATCCAGTCGATCGCCGTCATGTCTTCGTAGCCCACTCTCCGCCCAGGGCCCTCGTGGTACCAGTCGGTTGGTGAGGCATCTTTCGCAGGTCGATTAAAAGCCTCTCTGATATCTTCGTCTGCGCCAGTCGAGGCAAAGCCGTCAAGCATGAAGCTTGGTCGGGGGGTCGTTGACCTCGGCGTTGAATTGGCCGTATCGTTCCCTGGTCGTCCTGCCAGGGAGGACAGGAAGCGCGCGGGCGCAGAGAATATGCCCTGCTTCTGTTTCCTCTTGAACGATATCGGCCCCTCTAAGCTTCCTCGAATCGGGTCCTGCGCCAGGACATCGCGGTCGTCATCATTGCCGTCGTCGAACAGGTCGTCCAACTCGTCGCTATCGTCTGGATTCGAGTGCGGTTGAGCGGTTCGATCGGGAGAGTGCGAGGATGATGAGGCGGCTGTGTTGTTTCCGTACGGGCCAGCCATGTTTCGAGGCTGGCGGCATTGATCCAAGATTGTGGTGCCTGTCGCAATCGAGGATCGCGGCGGCCTTGATGCAAGTGCTTGATGACGAGACAGTAGGCAGTGTTGCATCCACAGGGGGTCAAGCTCGAGCCACATCTGTGGCGCTTGCACCCAATGCCGGCGCTAGCCTCTTTTCTGACTCGGCGACGCCTCGGGAAGCCTCATCGCATAGTTCATCACGAAGCGTCTTTCAAGTTTACAGCATTTGACGAGGAAGAAACCCCTATTGACACTCGAATCATTCTGTATTCTGTGTGGGTTGGTGTCAATAGAGATGACAGAAGCGTCTATCGACGCCAAAGGGCCGGTGGACCCCCAAACACCCCAGTCCAGCACCAACACAAATGTTTCAATTTTGGATAACATCAGGGCATCATTGAAGCGAAAGGATGATACCTCAAGATTCGTCGGGTTGACGATGCTCAGATCATTTCTCGACTCTTCCTCAGAGCTCAAAGACGACGAAGCAGTTATCTTATCACTATGGGACGCAATATCCCCTAAGTTCCTTGATCGTCTCCTCAAGTCAAAGGGTGGTCAGAATGACCAGCAGTCCACGCTCGACCTGGGCGTGCTGGTCATTCACAAATTTACACAGCTGCTCCCTGCAGAATCGAAGCGAGACAAAAAACTGGTCGGCAGGATACCGGTCCTGGTTGCTACGGTTTTGCGCAGGTAAAGGCTGCGGTCTAGACACACATGGCGCATCTACTGACATGCAATGCTGAACAGTTCTGAGGAAACGACGCAGCTCATTATCCAGACTCTGCTCGAGCTCGTGGCCTTCTCAGAAGGCGCCAATTCTTTCATAGCCATAGAAGATCCCAGCCCCTTGATCGAGATTGCCCCCAGTCAGCCACTTGCTCTCGAAGTCTTCGACTTGGCGTGGATCAATTGCATGGCAGGGAGTACGGACCGAACATCTTTACGGCCAGTCATCGATGAAAGTATTAAGGGTCTTGTATCATCATTCAAGGGTACTGATGGCGTGACTCTTCTGCGCTTCCTGGGCAACCTCCTCAGGAGGTCTCATCCCGAAGTGAGTCAGACCAAATGCTTCTTTGAGGTGCAAGTGGCTGATATTTTACAGGGCCTTCCGCTCAATCCTACTTGGATTAAGCCGATTGTGAATTATACCCGAGATCTACTCACAAATAAACCGAATCCTGAGGCCAGGAATTCATATACGCTAGTCTCTGCCTCGCTGCTTGAGGTGTACCCTACTGAGGCGTCACGCCTCCTTTTCACAAATGATATCAAGGCGGACCGACCCTTCGCCTACCTCTTTATCACTCTCGTGCTCACAGAAATCCGAGCAGTGACACCTCGACTTCTCTCGCTCCTCAATGACCCCAGCTATCCGGACACTGCCAAAAGACTAGGATCCGCCTTTGATATCATTACCCACTTCGTTGGCTATCTGATCAGAGCCATGGATGCCACGGCCGACGGCGAGGACGATCCATCTCTCATGCCGGCGGAGTACCTGCTCAAACTGCGCACAAGTATCTCCGAAACCATGTCTCTGGCCATCGAGTTCCTCCGCGATCGGTATGATGCTTCCGTTGCCGGCGCGATGGGTCTGCATCCCGATGCTCGCCCGAACGCTCCGGACCAGTGGCAAGACACACTGCCCATCACCTGGGATTCTTCCAAGGACGTCATCGACAACGATCCGCTCATCCTCGCAGAAATCCGTGCCCTCGCCATCTGGCTCCGCGAAGACGACAACAAACTTTTGCGCAAAGAGGCTGCCGGCCTGACGGACATGTTCATGGACCTCTACCAGGCCAGCGCCCCCGAGAGGCTCGACTTTCGATCTCCCATCCTCGTCGCGCTGGAGGGTGTCGTTTTCGAGAACAAGGGCGTCGACGCCTTCGGGGCGAACGGCGGGTGGAAGATTCTCAGCCACGATCTCGTCAAGATACTGCAGGGCGTCCCTTCTGCGCGGGACGACCGAGAATCGTCTCGTGGCATGGAGATCGTACGCATTCTGCTCCACTTTTCCGAGGCGGAAGAAAACGGCACGGAGGAAGACTGGATGGGCCTGGTCACGGCGATCGCAGCGTGGGCGCCTCCTGATGGAGCGCAGCCGCTCGTGGACCAGGAGATGCAGGCGGCAGTGTTGCAACTGGCCACTTCGCTGCTGACGAACGCGCATGAGGGTATGCAGAAGCGCTACGTTCACTCGACGGCTGCCATTGTCGAGATTGCGCGTCACTTGAGGGACCAGGTTGATGAGGGAGATGGGTCTCTGAGAGAATCACTGGATGATGTGGTAGTCACGCTAGAGTCGCTATGAAGTGCTTTGGCGCGATGATCAGCCTAATGAGGTATTGGGTATGGGCTAGCTGCTACAGCTTCGAGGGCTCCAATGGCGGCCGCGAGGCCTGAATGCTACTTCTGGGTGCATACACCACGTTGCCTCTTGATGGAGTTCCATGGCTGCTTAGGCCGAACATGGTGACATGCGAGATCGTCTGTCGAACAATCACATACTGTCTCCATCTTCTCTGGGCGTTTAAGTTCCGATACATACTCAAAGCGAAATGCCGTTGGGTTGTCCGTCTGCCAAAGTCTAGGCTAATGCATTCATGACCTACCATGACGTTGATGCTTAACCCCAGATCGGCACTTACATGCCTACCCGTGCCTCACGTAGCCTCCACCGGGACTCCAGATGCGGCCCCGGTCTTCTGCGTCGCGATCTCAGCCTTGGCTCTCTTTTTCCGAGCCCTGCGAATCTGAATCTCCAGGTCCTTCATCTCCGCATCCACCGTCACGAGCTGCGGCACAATACCCTCGACCGCACGGACGGCCTGCGCCTGCGCCTGCCGCAGCGGCATGGGTGCCAGGATGCCGAACCAGCGCAACGGGTCCCTGGGGCGCGGCTTGGGCGTCTTCTCCTCCGCCTGCGTCTCAGTCGAGGCCTCGTGCTCGTCCTCACGCTTGGCCTCAGGCTCGGGCTTGGGCTCGGGCTCGGGCTCATCGACGAGGATGGCTGAGAAGCGCGGCGCGCTGCTGTCTGCGCCCTCGACAGCCAGCACGCGCGTGGCCTGCATCCGCTCGTCGTAGTAGTCCGGGCCGTACCGCACGCCGCGCTCTGCGGAGAAGTTGGCGCGCGCCAGGTTCTGGTACACAGCGGACTGGGCTTCGTTGAGGGCGGCGCGGAGGTTCGTGTACTGGTCCAGAAGACCGAGGTAGCGCTCTAGAAGCTCATCGATATGATCGGTGTCCATGGTGGCAGTTGTGTGTGGACTGTACTGCTGGTGCCAGAGTACGGTGGTGTGGCTGAGCGGTCCTGGGAATCCTCGGCACGTGCTTTCCACGGCGGTAGTCGCTCAGTGATTCTTCTGCGGTGATGTAGATATGAACTGATTCCAGGTGACATTCGAGCTGCCCTTGAATGTCGTATCTGCCCTGATTCGTGAAAATGGCGACGACGATCTTGTGCCAGATGGGTATTGAGGCGTTCCGTCTATGCTCATGGCTGCCTACCTATATCCATTGTGGACCGAGTACACGTACTCCAGGGCGCCTCTGCACAGACCACTGCCCTACAGCCTTGGTCAAGGTCTGTGCGCACTCGTGTTCATTCCCCCGTCACAATCATCGGCAGGGACGTCGATCAGACTGTCCATCTACCAGGGTAAAATTCGACTTCTATCCTACCAGTTGTCATCAGACATGAGGCGATCCTGTATCATTTTGGCAGCCTGAGTCATGATATGTCCTGATTTTGTCAACCACTGTTTCTGATTTGGACTCATCTTGGCACCAATCTCCCCGGGTTACATCGACCCTCGAGATCGAGGGGCTGGCTTTGCATGGGGGGAAAACAATTTACTCCGAACTTCGGGTTTCACGCTTCACCATGGCCAGAGGACAGGAAAGCACCATGTACCGTCGAGAACGAACGTTCAAGACCATGTCATGCCCCCAGAAACGTACCTCGCAAGATGCTGGCCGCTGCCTCATGTCATGGATGCCCGGAGCGGCACCAACGATGATAAGCACAAGGGGATGGGACCCGGCATGGACAGATCATGTCGCAGGGAGGAAGGAAAGCTTCCTGGAAGCGAAGGCTTTCATTGTCGCGTACCGTCGTCTCGGTGCGGCCTTCGCCATGCCATACTGTGGATGCAGATTACTGTAGCCAGGGTGATTGCCATGTAAACATGGCTATCATACGGGGACAATCCATCCCTAACCCGATGAAGCAGATGGTACCGCGGCATATTGCGCTTTGGTTTCTGTGAATGGCCTCCGAACGACAAAAGGCAGATAGACGCTGTCAGGCCCCCCCGACAGACCTGCGGGAGGACCGCATGCCGGCAGCACATCAAATCTCGGCTGGTCGACATTGGATGACTTTAGTGGCAGTCGAGCCACCGCACCTCAACCGGGCGTCAAGGCCCAGCCATCCAGCTGCCTCGTGTTTCCTGTGAAACATGTATCCCACGCTGAACAACACATGTAGTGATCATTTGGTAAAGGGGCGAGGACACCACGACCTACATCCCTTGCATTGTCTTGTTCCGCCGCCGCCCATTCTGCCTTTCTGGGCAAAGACGGTACAGAAGGGTTGTGATAGTGAGGCGCGCACATCTCCCATACTGTACAACAAGGTCGACTGCTGCGTGGGGTGACACCGCTGGCTGCTGCTGCAGGTAGCCTTCCCACTGGCCCAACAGCCCAACAGCCCAGCAGCCAAACAGCCTCGACATTCTACCCTGCCAGCTAGCTACCAGTAGTCTCTGTTGGCTCGACCGACGGACTACACAGAGCCCACATGGCGAAAGCGCTGGGCCATGCGGCTGCATTGAGGCAGAGCGCATTGAGGCAGCATGGCATTGACAGGATGAGGTTAGGAGGCTAAATAGGTACGCAACGGGGGAGGAACCGCGTTTCGTTGGTCCGATGGTGCTTCTTTTGGGCAGTCGGTCAATCGCGTGCCGTAAGGTTTGGGGGTAGTGTTGGTGTTAGGCCTTGTTTAGCTGCCTTTGTGTCGTCTTTCTTCTCACGAAGCCCCCTTGAGCCACTTCGGATGCGCAATCCGTGGCATCTCCTTTCGTTTGGCGTCTAGGTTTGTGGGCTGATGGAGGAGGCGGAAGCGGAGAGCTTTATTATCACTCTGTACGGTACGTTGTGTACGGTACGTTGTGTACGGTACGTTGAGTAAACGGAAGTGAAGCCAAGTCGACAAACAGGCTGTAGACCAAACGAACGTGCGTGCTACGAACCTTGCCTACACCACAGCGTCACCGGTACGTTTATCGAACACCTCCCATCGTACAAAGCGAAGCAGGGCCATCGCTGCTACACAGGTACCGAAGGTACTCATCCACCTTTCACCAACTGGCGACACAAAGGCCATGGAACTAGCCTTCTGGAAACACCCATTGACGGTCTTCTCTTGGCCAATGTACTGCAAGGCTGAACCCCCCTGGAGCCACTCTGACCCACCAGCCCGTGTGTGTGTGGCCTCGTCCCTTTTCACTAGGTACGGGAGGATACATGATGAACCCACCAAGTAGAGCTTTCCGCCGAGGCAAGCGAGCGAAAGCGTAGGTACCGCGAAGTCCCTTATCAAACACCTTTCGGCCAAAAAAAGACTTCGCAGAGGTCACGTAGGGTCCCTCGCCAGGCGAGCTTTCTGTGCTGCAAACTTTCTTTCTTTTGGAACGTCGGCAAGGAAAAAAAAAAAGAAGAAAAAAGAAATCCAAACTGCCCCGTGAACCGAGTTGGTGGTGTGCTGTACTCAAGAGACGTGCAAAATCAAAGACAACCCAAAGGACCCTGCAGACGCGAATCTCATGTGGTGCATTCCCATACCTGGCTTGCGTGACTGACTACCTGATTGCCTATTTGCCTAGGTGCCTACCTACCTTGCTGGGCAGGGCAGGTCGCCAGCTTTCAATGAGCCCTTGATGGTCGACTCTCTCTCTGTCTCTTTCTCTCTCTTGACTCTTCGTACCTGTTTGCTCCCGCCCTCAACTCGCCAGTGAGCGTCGTAGCCCCCCCCCCCCCCTTTGCCCTGTCCCCCCTCACTTCACCACCCATGCCCGTTGCCGTAACTGCACCTACCACCCACGAGCCACGCACGCTACCTTGCCTTGCCTGATCCGACCAAGCTCACGGTCATCAAGACGGTTCTTGCACACGTCGCGCCCCAGGGCAGTCCTCGTCATTTTACGGGCAAACCTCATCTCCTGGTCGGCCACGCCAGGAACCGCGAATTGCGACGACCACATGAGCTCAATATAACAACCACAAGACCAAGCCAAAGTCGGCGACGAAATCACGCTATCTTTCAGATCACATCACACCGTCCATCCTCCCAATTCCTATCGCCCCCCCCCCCCCCCTTGTTCTATTCCTTCCAGCCATATCTACCGCCGACGACTTCTCGGTTGCAGAACTCGGCGCCCCCCGTTTTTTCGACTCCACTACTGACATCCGCACCCGCACCTGCCCTGCTGCACACCTGCCTGCACCTGCGCCAGCGACAGCACCAGCACCAGCACCAGCACCAGCACCAGCACCACCCAGTGAGAGACGCTTATTATTAGGTGCCTTCACGCTGCCCTGCGCCTCGTCTCCGCAGACCTTCACGACGATTGCTTGCTCCTTCCACTGCCACGGCCACTGCCACTGTCACTGTCACTGTCACTGTTGCTACCACTGCCACCTTCTACCGCCTGCCTCCTTCTACCGCCTGCCTCGTCCTGCCTTGCCGACCAACCAACCTCATCGCCCGCTTCCGCTGCCATCACCGCCCATCCGCCCGCCCCCCCCAAAAAGGTTTCCGTCTACGATTCACCTGCACCTGCACCTGCACCTGCGACCGCCGCGACAACGGAAGGGGTGGTCTTGCATTCTATCTCGGTCTCCTTCGCAAACCCCTCATTCCGGTCTGTCTCTTAGCATCAACAGGTTACAATGGTCGTCGCAACTATCAAGTATGTTGCATCCCCAGTCTTTTGCCTTCCCTGGCCTGTCACCCGCTCCTTGCTTCCCCTCCATCTCCCGCCCGCCCTCTGCGGCGTGCGTGCAACATCCCAGCCTCGGCCTCTCACACTTGGCCGCGCGCGCATTGCGCTACTTCCTTCTCTGGCCGATGGACATCAGTTGGCGTCCTCGCCTTTTCCTCTTCGACTAGGCACAAACTAAATTGCTCTGAACCTGCCTTGCTGACCCTCTCTTCTCTCTCTCTCCCAGGTGCGTCGTCGTCGGTGACGGTGCTGTCGGCAAGACTTGCCTCCTCATCAGCTACACGACCAACAAGTTCCCCTCCGAATATGTCCCGACCGTCTTCGATAACTATGCCGTCACTGTCATGTGAGTCGCCCGCCCTCTTGATCTCGACATGGAATTCATGTGCACATGTGCTGGAGCACAATCCGATCACCGCCTGACGGGGCCCTGGCCTCGAGCCTGGCCTCGAGCAATCCCGATGGGCCCCAACCCCCACGTCGTCGGTCGAAACGAGACGCCAGTATCGGGCGAATCCTGTGCTGACAGGCTGCTTTTAGGATCGGTGACGAGCCCTACACCCTCGGCCTCTTCGATACCGCTGGTCAGGAAGATTACGACAGGCTGCGACCCCTCTCCTACCCGCAAACCGACGTCTTCCTCGTGTGCTTCAGCGTCACCTCGCCGGCATCATTTGAGAACGTCCGCGAGAAGTGGTTCCCCGAGGTCCGCCACCACTGCCCCGGCGTCCCTTGCCTCATCGTTGGTACACAGGCCGATCTGCGCGAGGACGACAGCGTTCGTGATAAGCTCGCGAAGCAGAAGATGCGACCCGTGCGGAAAGAGGATGCCGATCAGATGGTCAAGGATCTCGGTGCGGTCAAGTACGTCGAGTGCAGCGCTCTGACGCAGTACAAGCTCAAGGATGTGTTTGACGAGGTATGTCGTCTCCCCCGCTCGCGGCCATGACCGAGGCTGCAGCCGATGGACTGACTTTCTTTTCGCAGGCCATCGTTGCGGCGCTGGAACCCCCCGTCGTCAAGAAGAAGTCCAAATGTCTGCTGCTCTAGGCGTTATTGTCATGGTCTCCAACGCTCGACACCACGACGAGAATCGTGCTGTCCCCTCTGGTAGCTTTGACAGCGTACCGACTATGGCCTTTGGCGTGCTGATGATACCTTGACACGCGACAAAGGCGAGGCATGGCAACACAAAACGCATTGGCTTTCTGGCACTCGTTGCAGGTTCTGGATTTGCCCAGCACACGAGATTTCAGCAGGACCACAAATCAGACCTCGGCTCTGGTGGAGGGAACGGCCATGAGAGGAGACGCGGAGGATTCTCGCGGTCCGCCCGTATGCCTCGTACAGACGTGGAAGAAGAAGTCTTGACTTCTCCCGGCCCCTCACGCGGCCGGCCCGCCCTGGCCCAGGTACACTCGATCGCATTTGGACTTTTCAGACGTTTGGGATTGGCAACTTTACAGATGCAGGCAGGGTTGCTTTCATAGGACAGTTTGGCGACTGGAGTGCATTTAATCAATTGGTCATTTTTCACCACGCCGTCGGCGCGCGTACACACGTGCAGGTTGCAGTGGGACAGTGGTCGGGCGTGGACAGGACCCGTCGCTCCCGCCAACTTGTGCGTCGGCGTTGTCATCGTGATGCTGGTTCCTCGAGGGGTGTCTATCCAGGTCATCCATCCAATTTGGGTAGGAAAAGGGGGAAAGCTCGGCGCTCAGAGGCGAGCCATATGATGCCCCGGGCGTCCCAAGGGCATGGACCACGAGGGCGTGATGAAGGGTCTCCTCTGGCCCTGTTTTCCGGAACCATGTCACTCTGTCCCTGGTCAGCGTCGTCAGGGAGGCAGGCAGGCTTCCAATGAATATGAAACGTCTGCAGTCGGACCAGAGCAGAGGGGCACTTTCCCATCGGCCCCGCATCCGTTTTGCGCGCCCTCCAGACCCGCAAACAAATACCTTCTTTCTCTCTCTCTCTCTCTCTCTCTCTCTCTCTCAGCTTATCGATCAGGACATGAAGCCTTGCCACGGCGTCGTGGACTTCCGAAGGCCTGGGTTCCGAAGATACCCTGGATAAAACAAAAACAAAAAAGAGGGGGGGGGGGTCCTAGAAGGGGGTGGGGATGATGAGGGTAGGGTAGGGTCTTGAAAGGGGGTTCGCACATGTCTCTGGAAGCCTGGGAGATCCCTGGATGTTCCAAGGGGGGAGGGGGGGTGAAGGGACCGTTGACGTTGTGCACGTGGTGTTGGTACCCCGGATTCTGCACTGAGACGGTACTCGGCGGGAAAAGCTGCAGAACGGAAATTTATTGTTTCTTGATATGATTTGACAGGAGAGATTCGTTCCGAAGGCGAGGGGGGGGGGGGCTTGTTGTTGTTGACTTGTGGTTGCTTTCTGACTTGTGGTATTTGACATGACTGGGCACTGTGGATGCAAGACCTGCCTACTGCCTACCTACTTCGCCTACCTACTTCGCCTACCTAAGGTACCTAGGTAAAGTACCTCACCTTAAGGGCAGACACGCATCGTGGAACCGCCATTTCAGGCGGCGAGTAAAAGCCAGAGAGGCCTGGCAGAAGCCCGGGTGGCCGACCGGCTACGTGTCTTGGCCCCGGGCCGGAATAGTGCGGCTTATCACTGGAACAGCGACACCTCATTCGTTGCGCCCTGGGGGCCGAAGCCGCGACCATCGACGTTGAGCAGAAAAGAGTCCCCCCGCCCTTCCCCGCGGAACCCGATGCGGAGTACCACACCGGTCAGCCGGTGTAGCTGGTATAATAAGATCTCTCAGTGGCTGTTCTCGGTTTCGACTGCGTTTTGAGACGTCTTTCTTGTACCGACTTTGATCATCGGGCTGCATCTCATCATGAAGGGTTCGTCCATCACATCCATCTGCCTCTGGCTGCTGAGCGCCTCGCTGTCGACGGCGTGTGCCCACGACCACGATGACGCCAAGGTGTGGTCCAAGGAGGAGCTGGAGGAGCTGGAGCGCAAGTGGGGGTTCGAGGTATGCACGCCCGCCATCACATGAAGCAAAGTGACCGAGAGCTGACTTGTCCCAGTGGTGTAAGTCTACACAATGAAATGTGATCCGCGATGAGGCATCGGCCGAGACATGGTTCGCCGTCACTGACCATCCGTGCTCCCATAGCCTTCACCGGCATCGGTTCCTTCGCCCATCTCAAGTACACAAAGTGCTTGACGACGCCCTCGGAGCTCTACGATATCGCCATCATCGGCGTCCCCTTTGACACGGCCGTCAGCTACAGGCCCGGCGCCCGCTTCGGCCCCCGCGCCATCCGCCAGGCCTCGGCGCGCCAGACCTCCTTCCGGGGGTACAACCCGCGCGCGGGCATCAACCCGTACCAGAGCTGGGCGACCGTCGTCGACTGCGGTGACGTGCCCATTACGCCCATGGACAACGGCATCGCCCTGCAGCAGATGACCGAGGCGTTCGCGGAGCTCGGGAAACGGCGGCCGCTCAGCTCGTCCATGAGGCGGCCAAAGCTCATGACGCTCGGCGGAGATCACAGCCTCGCTCTGCCGGCGCTGAGAGCCCTCAGGGAGATTTACGGGCAGCCGATCCGGGTGCTTCACTTTGACGGTATGCCGCCTTGGGTCACCTGGCCCGCGTCTTTCTCATGCGGATGGTACAAAGTAAGACCGAACAGATATGCTAACTTTCGACAGCTCACCTCGACACGTGGCACCCCTCCAAGTACCCCTCAGCCTGGGCGCCGACGCCCTTCAACCACGGCTCCATGTTCTGGCTCGCCGGCACCGAGGGCCTGCTGTCGAACGCGACGACGGGGCCCTCGGTGCACGCGGGCTTGCGCACGCGCCTCAGTGGCACCGACGCGTCGGACCACGACGATGACACGGCGCAGAACTGGGTGCGCATCTCGGCGGACGAGATGGATGATTTCGGCACAGCCGGCGTCATAACGCGCATCATGGAGACGCTCGGCACCGAAGACCCCGTCTACCTGTCCGTCGACATTGACGTGCTCGACCCGGCCTTTGCGCCGGGTACAGGGACGCCCGAGCCCGGCGGCTGGACCACGCGCGAGCTGATCCGCGTGCTGCGCGGCGTCGAGGGCCTCAACGTCGTCGGAGCCGACGTCGTCGAGGTGTCGCCTGCTTATCAGGGAGCTGGGGAGGAGACGGCGCTCGCGGCGGCGCAGGTCGTCTACGAGGTCCTGAGCTCCATGGTCAAGAGGGGACTTGGCGAGATGGGTCGCGAGAGCGAGGTGCAGGGGGATGCGATTCAGGAAGATCTCAAGGATGAGCTGTAGACCTGGAAATATTGTTCGTAGGGCGGTATGCCACGGATATATCCTACTAGCTTGCTCTCAAGTCGGGCATATCTCTAGATGCAGATCTAGGGGCAATCGGCAAATATGGTCCAAACAGCGTCATGTTGTTTTACCTCGAGCAGTGAAGCAAGGCAAGGCGAAGTGTCGTGACAATGTTGCACCAATGCGATATTGGGGGCTTATCAGCTTGGCCGCGTCTTATCTCGAAATGGACCCCTGCCCACACTGCTGGATTCAACATTGGCAGATGAGATGTGAGTCAATTGAGCCCAGTGGTTGATGGAAAGTCCTTGTCAATGTGAAGATATCCTCCGATACATGACATTGGTGAGACGAGACACAGACAGTTTCTGTTGGAAAAGGAAGAATAGACACGCGGAAGGTAGCACCCGAGCAACAAGAGCAGCCAGATAGATAAGGTACGGTGTCAGGGGAAGCTGTGACTCAGTGGCCTTCCCATAGGGAGGTACTCCGTGGTAGTTACTTCTCTGGCCGCCCACCAAAACCCCCACCACAAAAGCCCTCCACCCGCCTCCGTCGCACCTGCCCGCTAAACACCACCTCGTCCAGTCCAATTACCCCGCCATCAACACATTGTCAAAAATTATTCCACCGCCTTCTCCCCCCCCAACATCCACATCATCTCACCCAAAGAGACAACCCCAGGCTGACGCAGTCATCCCACGGAAACGAGTCCCCCCGATCCGTCATCCGCGATTGGACCACCGGCCTAGGTCCAAGACATCCCACGATGGCTGCCATCCAGGACCTTGCCGAGCGCATCAAGCTCGACGATGACAAGGTCTACGTCGACACCGATGCCGGCCTCGACGAAGCTTCTGCCAACGGCTCCGACACCGCCCCCTACAAGTCCCTCGCCTACGCCTACGTCATCAACCACCACAAGCCCGCCGGCTCTCAGCAGTTCTTCATCCGCGCCTCCCAGACCGGCGCCGCCGACGAGGACCCCGCTGCCCGCCTCGAGTGGAAGGAGCCTGCTAAGAGCGCCGTCAAGAAGGCCCAGGCCGCTCTCGATGGCCACAGGAAGAAGCTCGTGAAGCAGGCGCAGCAGGAGGCCCAGCTCGAGGAGAAGCGCAAGCAGCGCGAGCAGACGCTCGAGAACGCCAAGAAGATTGTCCTGACGAAGCCCGACTGGCTCGCCGACGCCAAGAAAATCAAGCTCGGCAACAAGGATGTCAAGCTCGGTGAGGGCGAGACCAAGGGCGAGAAGGTCAAGATTGCCGGCCGTATCCACCGCCTGCGTGCCCAGAAGAATGCCACATTCATCACCCTGATCGATGGCTACGGCCACCTGCAGTGTGTTCTGCAGGCCGGCGACCTCACCAAGACATACGATGCGCTGCTCTTTGCCCAGGGCACCTCGCTGTATGTCTACGGTGAGATGCGCAAGGTTCTCGAGGGCCAGACGGCTCCCGACGGCCGCGAGCTGCTCGTCGAGTACTTTGAGGTCATCGGCGCCTCTCCCACCGACGAGGACGCCATCACCAACCGCGTCTCCTCCCAGCAGAACCAGTGGGACCCTGCCATGCTCGACCAGAGGCATCTCGTCCTGCGTGGTGACAACGCTTCCGCCATCATGAAGATCCGTGCTGCTGTCGAGTGGGCCTTTGTCAAGACCTTCAACGACATGAACATCACAAAGGTCTCGCCTCCTGCCCTCGTCCAGACCCAGGTCGAGGGTGGCTCGACCCTCTTCTCGGTTCCTTACTACGATGAGGCCGCCTACCTCACCCAGTCCTCCCAGCTGTACCTCGAGACGTGCCTGCCAAGCCTGGGTGATGTTTACTGTATCGAGAAGTCCTTCCGTGCCGAGCGCAGTCTGACTCGTCGCCACTTGGCCGAGTACACCCACGTCGAGGCGGAGCTTGACTTTATCAGCTTCGAAGACCTGCTCGAGCATCTCGAGGAGATCATGTGCCGTGTCATCGATACCGTCCTTGCCGACCCCGTCATCGCCGCCCACGTCAAGGAGCTCAACCCGACCTTTGAGCGCCCTGTCCGCCCGTTCAACCGCATGAAGTACACCGACGCCATCGACTGGCTCAACGCCCAGGACCCCCCTATCCTCAACGAGGAGGGCAAGCCCCACGTCTTCGGTGACGATATTGCTGAGGCTGCCGAGCGTCGCATGACCGACATTATCAACAAGCCCATCTTCCTCACCCACTTCCCCACCGAGATCAAGGCCTTCTACATGAAGAAGGACCCCAGCGACCCCCGCGTCACAGAGAGTGTCGACGTTCTCATGCCTGGTGTCGGCGAGATTGTCGGTGGATCGATGAGGATGGAGGGCTACGAGGAGCTCATGGCTGCCTACGACAAGCAGGGCATCCCGTCCAAGGACTACTACTGGTACACTGACCAGCGCAAGTATGTTGCGGCCCTCTCCCCACCCACCCGACCCTTGTCCTTGCTAACACATCTCCAGGTACGGCACCTCCCCCCACGGCGGCTACGGCCTCGGCCTCGAGCGGTTCCTCGCCTGGCTGGCCAACCAGCACACCGTCCGCACAACATGCCTGTACCCCCGATACATGGGCCGATGCAAGCCTTAGACGCGGTATGGCGCGGGATGCCGCTGGACCTGTGGGATCTTGAAGATACGCGGGGCCGAGCGGATGTTGGAAATAGTGAAAAAAGAAACGAGATCTTGATACCTCCCGTGCTGCGGCGGCGCTGGCTCCATTGAGATGTGCCATGTCTGAGAGAAGTGTGATGAACAGAGCTGAACATGGTGTGCTACTGTTCGCTGGTCGGTACTTATTCCATGACCTGCCGTCTCTCGACACGAATTGTTCCCACAGATAGCCAATGGCTCCGCAGCTCGAGTCACGGTCCAAGAGAGCCAATGGATCAGACAGACCCAGGGGCTCAGCTTGAGGCCATCATATCTCGAGAACATGACACGTTTAGTGTGTTGATCTAGACCACACTTCAGCGGAGCTGGCGAGTGACCTATATGTGGACAATCAGCCAGTGCATCTATTTTGAGGGATCTACTTGCATTCCACAACGGATACTATCCGGAGCAACATGGTCGATCTGAATAACGTTCCTTCGAGAGTGCACGGCAAGGCAGACGAGACACTGGATAGCGTAAATCATGCGAGAAAAGAAAATAGGTTCCTGACGAAGGCCTCGCGGCGGTTCGCCATCCATGCCGATGTCACAAGTTCGTCGTTCGTCCGGCCGGTAGGTGTGAGTGTTCCCAAAAATACGACCTCCCCATTGGCATTTCCATTTACATGGGGTGAGAACTATCCCCTATTTCCTGAATCATGACCGGCAGCCATAACATGACTTGGTCTGTGTGCTCCGCTCGCCTCTGAACTCAGAAAGACGTCTGCATTTCAAACATCCTCCATCCCCCCCCCTGTCTCACCAAAAGTAGAGCATGTACACTGTCCTGACTTAATCGTCACAAAAGCGACGGGGTGCCAGAAAGGCTACTACGCGCTCGCGCGTGATGAAAGAATACGGGGTCGCAGTACTCGGTCACGCACCTAGGACCGCCCTCACGTGCAACAGGAGCAGTCGCGATGCTAGGGATGCAGGGACAGAGTAACTCTTGAGCACGGGAGGAGAGAAGTGAACCGAACAAGAAAGGCAAGACGGACGATGATACTCGCCCCCCAAAGACTGCTCCGCCCACGTGAGGACGTCGATTTGATGCGCGGATGATCAAACCGGGGCGGGTTCCCCTTTTTGCTGGCGTGGGCTGGATACTACAGGGGGAGAAGGGGGGGGGGGGGAGGGTCAGATGCGGCGCGTGCATTTAGACGAGAGCACTGAATTTTGGGACGTTGGAGAGGGAGGCAAAAAGACAGAACGAGAGAGCGAGAGAGATTGAGAGAAAACATGGGCTGGTTCACTCTAGATGGGGCCTTGGCTTTCCGAGACGAAGAGACACCACCCTGGGAAATGCAAGCGAAGCGAGATGCCCAGGTCCTTTCAACAGTAACCGACATGACGTGCTGATCTCTTTGGTGGATGCCGTTGACCCGTTCAGACAGGGGCGGCCGTCTGGTAGGCATTTCGACTATCGAATATCGTCTATCGAGCCATCGGAGCATTTGTTTCCTCGCAGCGGAGGGGACGAATGGGTGGGCGATCGGTCAGCCACGCCGCTGTCTGGATAGGGGTCGTATGACAACTTGGACAGCCTGGCATGCTTGGTGGAAACTAGGAGGATCAAGAGCCCAGCAAGCCTGGCAAGCCAAGGAGCCCACAAGAGGTGGGAAGGGCGAACGACGCTTCCATGGCGCATTGATTGGCTAGGGCGGGCGTGGATACTAGTTCTGCGTGTGTGTGCTTGGCAATCGCTTGGCGGGCCGTGAGGGCAGATTTGCCCGGCGCGCGACTCTGCGTACGCGAAAGCGCATTTGGGGCCAGTGACTTGATACAGGAGAGTGTAAACCTCTGTTGTCTCTTGCCTAGTGTTTTTCTTGGTGCCGGTTTATCTGAACAAAGTCCAGCGGCACGCGTCTGTAACGAGCGAGATTGATGCTCGAGGTCTTTGCTCTTGATGTCGGTGTCGCGGCTCTTCGCTCGGGGCACTGGATGGCGTCTACGTTGGTTTGATGACTCGGGGGTCCTGTCTATCTGACATGGTTTTGGATGTTAAGGTCCCAGGGTGTTCATGCTGCGCCTGTCTCATCTAGGCCCTCTATCATGCTTATATGCATATCAACGCCAGGAGGCGGCAAAGACGTGAGGCGGAGTCGCACCCAGGGCCTGGTCATGTTCTCTGTTGCATTGTGCAACGTAGTGCGAGTCCCTGCGGTTAACGGTTCGCCGTGAGACCATGTCTACGGCTGTCGGGTCGATCGGCTGCCTGTCCGATGGGGGCAGGAGCCCAGATGCAAAGACGGCAGGATGATGGAATGGCATGTTCTTTAGCAGAAAGGGAGGTGGCTCTGAGACACACAAAGCCTCATCAGACCGGGCTCCAGCCCCTGAGCGGCAGGCAGTATGGACGGACGGACATGGTACGGATCAGATCTCGTACTCCCAGAAGATTGATTGACGTCGGGCTCGGGCTAGGGGCGTGTTGGCGGCCGATAATGCCACGGTAACTGGAATGGTCAATGGATCTCTCCATCTAGAGCATATGGGGCGAGCCGTGACAGGCCCAGCCCGTTCAGTGGAGAAGGGGGGAGAGGAGGGGGCCTGGGCTCAGGGTACCTGCGTTAACGCGGCACATGGCCCACGGTAAGTGCATACTTTTTTGTGTGTGAAGCGGCCAGAGGGGAAAGGGGGATCATGGGTGGTGGAGTGGGCTTGGAAAGGGGAATGGGGGTGGTGGTGCGGTAGCAATAGGGGTCGACCAATGGCAGGACAGGGGCTGCGATGTGGGATGTTCCATGCAGCGAAAAAAGGTTTCCAGCCCGTCATTTCACATTTGAGGGTCTCTTTTTGGGAAGGCTGACGGCCGAGCTTTGTTTCCTTTGGATGGTTCGTGGAGGCTGGGTCGCCCATCGACGGCTCGTTACGACATTGAGGCAGCAGGGAATTCGGAGCATTCCTCGGGCTGGCTGGCCGATGAAAGAATCAACGTCGAATCGAGGGACCTTGCCTTTCCAGCGGTACGTACGTTGCGGTACGGTAGCTAAGACAGGGAAGACAAATGCAGTGAAGGCGACGCAGGAACCAGGTTGCCCGATGGGGGGGGGGGGGGGGGGGAAAGGAAGCAGAAAGGCACCCGTCAGTACCAAACTGACGGCCCAATGTCTACTGTTCGAGCCGTGTCACGACAGCTACCCATGTATCTGTTCACCGCATGTGGGCGACGGAGTACAGCCCCGTGTTGAGCTCTCTCGAACCTGCCTTCAAACACCCTGTTACCAAGTACGTACGGTACCTAGGACCTCCACTGGCCCCCCCCTGGGCGTCCTTGCCCGTGCCATACTCCCCCAAACGTGAGGAAGTGCCCACCAAAGCAATCCCTGACTGGGCTCATTTAACTTTAGCGCGCAACCAATCCGAGCCACGTCCCCTTTAGGCAGTCTACCGTCGACACTACCACGACAACCCGGAAGCTGCCACCAGGCCTGCAGCAGCACCACCACGACCACTACCTTACTGACCTGTGCCTAGGAGCCAACGCCCAGGGCGCGGCTTTCAGTGCGCCCACTACCTACCTTGCCTACCTTTAGGTACCTTACCTTGAGGAACCTACCTACTGCCTACCCGCCTAGGTGCTGCCCCCGTACCTCGACCGCCCACCCCCCTGTACCAGCACCGGCACCAGCACCAGCACCAGCACCAGCACCCCGTTCTTCCTGATCAGACGGCACGCACGCAGGGTCGGCCAGAAACGCGACAGGCAAGGTAGGGTGTGAACCTGGAGCAGGAGTGGATGTGCAGTGTGGATGCCCAGGGCTGCCAGGGTACCTCCTTCTCCTTCTTACAGGCTCCTCCCGTCCGTCCCATCCATCCCCATCCCATCTCGTCTTTTCCTCTCTGCTCGCATTGGGTCTCTCTCTCATCTCTGGTCTACTTCTTCTTCCTCCTCCTCTTTTCCTCCCCCTCCTCCTCCGCTCACCGACCTCTCCCCCCTCCTCCTTCGTCCCTCTCTTGCTCGAGCGCCCTCTACATTCTGAGAGCCTCGCTGCTCCCTTTCTCTTCTTTATTCTTTCATCCGACCTCGACGTCGCCCTCGCGAGCTTACCTTACCTTTTGCACCAAACTTGCCTATGCCATCCTAAGCCGGACCCCGGCCAACCCCAAGCTCTGTGGACGTTCTCCCTAGCTTGCTTACACTCGTTGCCTCTGTATACTTCTACTTATAATTCTTTGACCCGATTCGACCAGTCCAGCGGCAAAGGGAAAAGAGAGAGCTTCGTTCCCATCCCTCCTCTGCCTCCGCTTCATTGTTCCGACAAAGACTGGTCTGCCAAGCCGAGCTATTCTTTGCTGCACCGAATCGTATACCACAATACCGACACTCGCTCTACCTACATTTCGATTGATCGACCCAGACCGTTGATCCAGCCCAGTTGCTTGCTTCGTTGCTTCTCAAACCATCACAAACGCCTGGAGCCCCCCTACATATCCAGATCTTTCTTCGTCGTGCCTTAAACCAGGCACGCATCGTCTTCACCACGGCGGTTCTCTCTCACCAGAGTAGGGACAGTCTTGTCCCTGCCCACCTGATCATGCAGGATCTCTCGGGAGCCGGCCAGCAGGCCGGACACGCCCCCGGCGGACGATTCCCCGGGCACGTTTCCAAGCCTTCCAACAGCGATACTGGCTTCTCTCACGGCGCTTTCACTTCCAACATTTCGGGTTTCGCCGACAGACACCCTCGTCGTGGCAACATTCCCACCATCAACACCCAGACCATGGCTCCCCAGCAGCAATTCCAGCAACAGCAGCAGCAGCATGTCCCCAACACGGCCGCCGACATGGCCACTCCTGGCACTGCTTTTGACATGCAGTTCACTCCTCTGCTACCCTCGCAGCTGCTCCTCGGAAGCCCTTTCCAGCCCGGCACGCCTGGCGCCTTTGGCAGCCCCCAGTTCCAGATGCAGGGTTTCCAGCAGCCTCAGCAACAGCAGCAGCATCACCAGCAGCAACACCAGCACCAGCAGCACCAGAACGGACTTGCCAGCCCCGTGCTCCAGAACATGTCGCCCCAGCAGTACCAGGCCATGGTTTCGCCCTCGACTTACGGCGCCCCCCAGTACTTCGCGCCTCAGTCGCCCACGGCCTCGGGCTTCGGCGGCATGCAGCAGATGCAGTTGCAGCAGCCCACTTCTCCCGTGTCCATGACCCCCGGTATCGTCACCGGCACCAGCCGTACCGTCTACCTGGGCAATATTCCTCCCGAGACGTCAGCCGAGGAGATTCTGGGCCACGTCAGGAGCGGACAGATTGAGTCCGTCCGTCTTCTCCCCGACAAGAACTGTGCCTTCATCTCTTTCCTAGACGCCAGCTCCGCCACCCACTTCCACTCTGATGCCATCTTGAAAAAGCTCTGCATCAAGGGCCAGGATATCAAGGTCGGATGGGGCAAGCCCTCCCAGGTGCCCACCTCGGTGGCTCTCGCCGTTCAGCAGTCCGGCGCCTCGCGCAACGTCTACCTCGGCAACCTGCCCGAAGACATTACCGAGGAGGAGCTGCGTGAGGACCTGGGCAAGTTTGGTGCCATCGACACTGTCAAGATTGTCCGCGAGAAGAGCATTGCCTTTATCCACTTCCTTTCCATCTCCAACGCCATCAAGGCGGTGGTACAGCTCCCCCAGGAGCCCAAGTGGCAGGCCCCACGCCGTGTGTACTACGGCAAGGACCGTTGTGCCTACGTCTCCAAGACGCAGCAGCAGAACGCCGCCCAGTATCTAGGCATTGCTCCCGGCTATGCTCACATGCTGACTGGAGCTGATCGCGACCTCATCTCCAGCGCTCTGGCCCAGCAGTCCGTGGCTGCGGCCGCCGTTGCCACCACCGCGGGTGGCATTGCCAACCTCGGCAACCGCACCATCTACCTGGGCAACATTCACCCGGAGACGACTATCGAGGAGATTTGCAACGTCGTTCGTGGCGGTCTTCTGCACCACATCCGCTACATCCCCGACAAGCACATCTGCTTTGTCACTTTCATCGACCCCACCGCTGCTGCCTCCTTCTATGCCCTCAGCAACCTGCAGGGCTTGATGATTCACAACCGTAGGCTCAAGATTGGCTGGGGCAAGCACTCGGGTGGCCTCCCTCCGGCGATTGCCCTGGCCGTCAGTGGCGGCGCCTCGCGTAACGTGTACATTGGAAATCTCGACGAGACGTGGACTGAGGAACGCCTGAGGCAGGACTTTTCCGAGTTTGGCGAGATCGAGCTGGTCAACGCGCTGCGTGAAAAGAGCTGTGCTTTCGTCAACTTCACCAACATTGCCAACGCTATCAAGGCCATCGAGGCTGTGCGTAGCAAGGAGGAGTACAGGAAGTTCAAGGTCAACTTTGGCAAGGACCGTTGTGGCAACCCTCCTCGTCAGCTTCAGCAGCAGCAGGCCCAGTCGCCTCGCAGCGAGGGCATCCCCGCCGGCGTCCCCTCCCCTCCTCCTGTTGGTTCCCAGAACGGCAACTCGCCCACCAACAGCGGCTCGCCCCCACCCCAGCTCTTCAACGGCGCCAACCCCTTGACAATGTACCTCAGCCAAGTGTCCCACCAGGCACAGCACCAACAGCACCAGCAACATAACCAGCTTGTTGCCCAGCAAGCTGCTCTGTTCGGTACCGCTCAGTCGTCGCCGAACGATGTGACGCTCGATGGCCCTCCTCAGGGCCCCTCATCTGGCCACCAGCAGTCTGCCAGCATCTCGAACGGCTATCCGGGTAATGTGACAAGCTCTGGCGCTACCACCATTGGCGGTCTTTTGGCTCCCAACAACCGTGGCCAGCACAGCCGCGCCGTCAGCCTGCCTGTTCTGGCGCCTGGCTTTGAGAACGGCGCGCCGACGCCCAACAGCATCCCCGGCAACGAGGGTGAGCGTCGTGGACACCAATACCAGGCCAGTTACGGCGGTATGGGTGCCGGATACGGCCTTGGCCTCCAGGGCGGCCTGAATGGCTGGGTTGAGGAGGAGGTTGCCAACTAAGTCAGGGGTGTAATCAGATTGGCCTGGGTGTTGTTTCTTGTCTCGCGCGCGAGGAACATGAAGAAAGAGGACAAGATCGCTCTATTCCTTGTAATTGGGTTTTCAATCGAGATGTTTTTTTTTGGTCTATTCACTCCTTCGCTTCGACTTCTCTTCTGTTCAGCTTCTTCTCCACTTGGAATTCTTTAGGATGCTTTTTTCTTGTCTCCGTCTACCTAGTATAATCTTTCCCCTCACCTTCGATGTATCATGTTGGATCGCCGGCCCCTTTGTTTTGCCGTCGCCATACGTACATGGTGTAGATGGGGCGTTTGCCACCAGCGAGGTGCCTGGTGGTCGGTATGTGGGACGAACTCGGCGAGCGGGACACGGAGGTCGTGGGTGAGGGCATCCGGCGGGAAATCGATGCCATGGGGGGCGTGGATTTTCGGGGCATGGATCGACCAGGTACCTGAATAGAGATCAACGAAGCGGGAAACCCGCCTGCAAAGCTTATTTATCTCCCGATTGTCATATTGTGTGAAGCTGATGTCTGCCGGAGGAGATTTTTCTCAGCAGTACAGCACAGACGTGAGTGGCGGTCTACAGTCATGGGCATACGGGACACATGTGTCGTGTCTGGCCTTGAGCGAGCCCTGACTCGTGACATGAGACCGAGCAGCATCTCAATCATGGGATGAATATTCTTCTTGGAACTGACATGGATAGCCAGTCTACCCTGAATCGCTAGAACGACGTTTTTATCTCATGGAAGTCTCCCTTCTACCTTGCAGCTCACGGGGACAAATAGAAATCTGGCCGACGCCTGTAATCAGATGCAGAAAGAAACACCGCGATGGCCACACATTTAATATCCGGCAGGCTCGACCTTCTCCGAAAAGACAATGGCCTTGGCGTTGAGGCGGCACTCTTGTTTCCAGTCCTTGGGCGTAAACTTGTCGACGACAGATTTGAACGCAGCCTGGACAGGATTGTTAGCTTCTTGTCATTCATGGTTCTCATCGCCCCTCAGCTTCGGGAGGGGCAATGTAGGGTACGTACCAGCGTGCAGAACGACTCGTCGCCGGGGAGATGGTTCCCCTGAGCGCGGCAGCCGGGTACGGTGACCGGCTCGTCGTTATAACGGAGGCGGACGTAGTAGCCATCGAGCTTGGCGCGCTCAGCGGTCGTGAGGGACTCGGTCGGTGTGCGGCCGATGCCCGGAGGGGGAGTCCCAGGAGTTGAGGCGGAGCTGAAGAGGGATGCGAACCAGTTTGTAGACTTGACCACCGGGGGCGCTTGCGTTGTGGGGAGCACAGCATCTTTGGGGCGGGAGTCGCGGAAGAGCTCGATGGCGATGTGGCTCGTGAAGGGGGGCCACTTGTCAGTGCCAAAAGCACCGAGACTCGTGAGGATAGCAGCGAGGGTTGTGTCGTGGCAGCCACTTATGCCGAACTTGACGGGGACGGAGCCATTGGAGGAACTCGGCGAGGAGGAGGAGCCGGAAGGTTGGACGAGCTCATAGTCGCCATCAGCAGCGGACTGCTCTGCGGAACCGACCATGCGGGCTACGACGTCACCCATGAGGCCACCAATGCCAAGCGTACGGTATTCTGTGCTCTCGCGATATCCGCTGTACCACTCCTCAACACCGATACGCTCGATGATCTCAATGACCTTGGGATCGTAGAAGGGGGCGGGCAGGCGTGTGGCAGGTCCGTGGGCGCGAGTCGCGTTAATAGAATCCATGATGCCGGACAGGCGGGGGTGGGAGTCGACCTGGACGCGTGGGCTCTCGGGTGGCATGTACTGGGCCAGCTTCTTGTTGAGGTAGTCCATCTCGGGCGTGGTGTTCCAGCGGTCCGCAGTCCGCTGGGCAAAGGCGCGGGCGAGGGCGGCGAAGCGGCGGCAGTTGGAATCGTTGGGGAACAGCGTCTCATCTTGAGCGGTGCGTGTGAGGATCGTGGGCGGAGGGAAGGCAGCGGCGCGGGCGGAGGGGGGGTATAGGCCGGTAAAGGCTTGCTGCAGGGACTCGAGAGCGCGGGGCACGGGGGTGGATCGCAGGTACAGGTGGTCGGCGTCGGTGATGGTAGCCGGTAGAAAGGCGAGTCGGTCGACGTAGAGGTCTCGCAGGCGGGCTCCGAGGTCGTAAGTCGTCTGACGACCGAGATCGGTCAGGGAGCCCATGTCACAGACATCGTCGAGCTCGGCGCGGGGGCCGGTGGCGGTGATGGGGACGTCGTTGGCGCCGAAGGTCTCTAGGCGTCGACGCCACTGCAGGTCTGTGTAACTGTCGGTGGTGGGGTCGAGGAGGGCGGCGCGAAGGTGGCGGACGGAACGACAGTAGGGCCAGAAGGGAGGCAGGCCGGTGTTCTGAAATCGTGCGTTGACGGGGGTGCGCTCGCCATGGCGCATGAGCACCTGGACTAGTTGTAGCTCAACCTGCGGGGGGTAGAGCTGACGCAGCTCGGCATCGGAGTAAGGAGGGCGGACGTTGAGGGACGTCATGTCGTGTTCGGCAATGTCTCAATCTGTCTCTGTTTCTAGCTGCAGGGTGCCGGTTGCGTTGGGAGTCCGGGGGTGATATGTGAGATCTGAGGCGGGAAGGGGGGAAGCTAGCTGTTCGACGGCAAGGGCAGACGCACGAGAGACGCCTATTGTTGGCAACCAGACAGCACAGGCGATGAGAAGGGGGGAGAGAGGGGGTGGGGATGTAGGTGATATGTGATGAGGAGAGAAAGTTGGTAGAATGGGGGAGAGAGGGAGGGAAGGGCAGGATTGTGACGTGCGGACGATCGGTGTCGTCGTGGAAGGTGAAGTAGTCAGTCGCGCTTTCCCCAATGACGGCCCGACGACGGGACCTCTCCTGCCCTGAAGTAGGTACCTCCAAGGAGGTACATGAAGGTGGGTAGCTGGCGCCCGGTGCCCTGGCGGCTGGAGCTATCCCCCCCCCCCCGCGCCCCCCCGTACCCCCTGTCGTCAAGCCTCACCTCGGCACTGCAAGCAGCTGTCGCCGTGGCTGATGCTCGAGGGGTCGATCATTGGAGAGGGGGCGTCAGTGCTGCCAATGAAGCACCACGATTGAGCCCACGCAGCTGGTACGCCTGAAGGTGACCCCTCGACGGTGACACTGCTGGCACTGGCAGCATTGGAGGGGTCACAGTGCGTGTATTGCTCAGGGGCGGACTGTGTTTTCGGATCCGAAATACAGGTTGAGCTCCAGGCAGCAGCACAATCGGCAGCAGCAGTGGCAGCAGCAGTGGCCATCCACAGGGCTCGAGATGATCCTTCCGTCAGCACGGGCAGCCCAAGGTTCCACTTCAGCTGGGCTGCTCTTTCCGGCGTTTCTAGGGGTGCCACTGTCGCTGATCCCCAACCCGGCCAGCCTCTTGGACCTGCCAGTCATGACCTTTGGCCGTGCTGTGGCTGGCTCCAGAAATAAGGCAAGTAGTAATGTCACACAGGCAGGTGCTACCCGTCCATCGCCATGCCAATGATGCAGCAACCATACCACCAAAGATCTGAGAGCTTCCACTGCGACCCAACGTGGTGTACCTGTTCTCTCTTCAAACGAGGGACCTACACACCCATCCATCCACCCATCGTGAGCCGTTTCTTCTGCGGTGGGATTCTTCTTCAATCCCCAGCACAGCAGCACCTGCACCACAACAAGATCAACGTCCCCCCACACTCGGCTAGCTAGTCAGTCAGTCCAATGCCCACGGCGCACGCCTTCGAGAATGATCCCACCTTCTCCATCCATCAATGGCGCCCCGGCAAGGCCGGCCACGCCGCTTTCGGCTGATTGTAAGAAGAGGAGCACCATGGAACGACGATTACGAGTAAAGCGCGAGCCAAACGAACCCGAACACAGACCTGCACACGCACGATGCGGAAGGAAGGCCCCTCTTCACAAGTCAGAGAGGCGCAGCGTCGCCATGGCCGTCGCCCAGACGTCCCGCCTGACGAAAGGATCCCGAGTCTGATGGCAGTTCAACCCTCATCAGCCTGAAGTCCTGCTGTGCGTTTGTGCAGGCCTCATTCTTGAGATTTCTGACCCCTTCCTTTCAAAACCACGTTGCCCCCATCGTTATCGCTCCATTCGTCTCCAGAGCCTATTGCCTGCGAGACTCGCTTCGCTGACAATACGATCACATGCTATCCATCTTCTTGGCCCCATCTTGCTTCATGCCACATTATCCCTCTTGGCTGCTGAAAAACCCCCCTCCCTTCCTACTTTTCCCCATATTCGGCGGCCTTTTCGGCGCCTTCGGACTTGCCCTGTTGCCCGAACCCCTCGTTGGTGCTGCCGACCTCTTTTCGTCTCTGCCCAGCCGAGCTAAGCTCTTGCTCTTGTGCCCTCTACTGTCAAGACTTCAAACGACGCAATCCTAATCCAGCAACCTCTCATACGACTGCTCCGATAAGCTGGCGCAGTATCTCTGTCTGCGAGGGCACTGAACTATCTGGTCCTTTTTTTTTTCCCAGCCTTTGCTTCTTCTTCTTCTTGAGTTCCACAGCGAGCTACGTATCAGAGAGTGACGTCAAGCTTGCCATTAACCATTCAGCTCCAGCCAAGCGACTTGATTAGGCTTGTTTGGTCCATGACGTTGGGGTAGACAGATTCCAATTGGAGATCCGAACCACCGACTTGCCCCTCCGGGCAGCCCCCGGAACCGCCGGCAGCTGGGCAGCCACATAAACCGCGCCTGGCCCCAGCTACGCAACGCTCGCTGGCCGATGAAACGATCAGACCTGTTCTCGGGATTTCACTGCAACTACCATGGCAACCGTTTCACAGCCCGTCGAGGCCCGGGCCGCGGCCACGAGAGACCCTCTGTCTCTTGAACCCCTCGACACGGACGACACCACCGGCGAGGACGGCCTGATAGATGATGACGCCCAGCTCGTCATGCAGCCCGCTTTAAGCGTCGCCGCCACCCGCCTCACCCTCTCCCGGACGCCTGCTGCCGAGAAGGCAGCCGCTATGGACATGGCACCCGAGAATCCTTATTTCACCAGTGTTACACCACCAACCAGCGACGAGGAATCGACCAGTCCCGGCAGTCTGCCGGTGCCAATTTCTATCCAACACGACCGCCCAGCAAGAGCATCATCAAGGCGAGCCTCTCCGCCAAGAACCTACCATGAGCAGCGCTACTCCCCACCACCGCAAAGCCCTCTACCAACACCATGGCGTTCCGTGCCCAATGAGACGAATGCCTCCCCGTCGGGACAACCGAAACGAGCCCTAGAATCTATTTCTTTCGGACAGACCAGAGCCCGCCGCTCTGGTTCAGCCGGAGCTGAAGCGTTCAAGAGGCTTTCTAAAGCTCTTCCTTCTTTCCCCAATGCCAGCAGTTTGTCAAACATCATGTCCAACATGTCCAACTCCTTCTTCTCCTCTTCACCTACCGAAAAGACCGACTCAACACCCGGAATACCTCGCTCGCCGCCACTGTCTCAGGGGGCGCCCAGGACTGCTCGACCATCGCGACCACATAACAACGCCATTTCTTACCCTGCAAATAGGTCACAGCCAGGCCTGGTCCATGATGGCTCCGCAGACGAACGAGTTCAGTCACCACTCTATCGGAAAGCATCCAACGCTCACTCGTTGCGGAGGACGAACTCGGATGACTCGATTCTCTATCACTCGCTGTCTCGCGTCTCCTCTCTCGGTGACGAGACCATGTTCGATGACGTACGCGAAATGGCCAATGTCAGGATGAAAGCGATCAGAGACAGCCTGCCGGACAGGCCAAGCTTTAAAATGCCTAGCATGCCCAAATTTGCTTCACAGCGCAAGATGTTCCAAGCATTCGACGAACCGAGCATTGCGCCCATTCCCGAGCTCCCAGCCTTCAGTCAAGAGGACGACGATGCCGCAGCCCTCGATCGCGTGCTCGAGACGCTGACAGGCGACCTGGTCATTCTTGGGGGATATCGGGGTTCCGTGTTGCGTTCTGCAGAGGCGCCACATCACCAGCTCTGGGCCCCGGTCAAGGTGGGGCTGAACTTGAGGAAAGCCGACCTTGAGGTAGGCTTGGATCCCGAGGACGAAGAAACCATGGAACAGCGCATCATTCCATCTGGTATGCTGCAGAACATCGGCCCCATTGACATCTCACGCAAACTGTTCAAAAAGGTCAGGTCTTGTGAGAACGCTCGGAATGGCAAGCTTCGCATTTGGGATTATGGCTATGACTGGAGGCTCAGCCCTCATCTTCTGTCACAGAAAATGATCGCATTTTTGGAGAAGCTACCATCCAACCTGCCGGGGTCACAAGAGCCCAGGGGTGCCCTTGTCGTTGCGCACAGTCTAGGCGGACTGATCACGCGGCACGTGGTCAACCAGCGTCCCGACCTCTTCTCGGGCGTTGTCTATGTTGGTGTGCCTCAGCGCTGCATTAATGTTCTCGGTCCTCTCCGCAATGGTGATGCCGTGCTGTTCAATGAAAAGATCCTGACCGCACAGGTTAACTTTTCCCTCCGGACGACGTTTGCATTTCTTCCAGAAGATGGATTTTGCTTCATCGACAAGGACACCAAGGAAGAGTATCGAATCGATTTTCATAGCGCTGACGACTGGGTCAAATACCGACTTTGCCCAGCCACCGATACGGCCCTCCCAGCCCTGAACCCGAAGCCGGCAACCGGCTTTGGGTCCATTCTTCGCAATCGCAGTAGCAGTTACAGTGAGAAGCGTTACAGCCAGCATCTGAGTAATTCCGTCGGCGATATGACTCGCAATGCCGAATTCACAAGAGACCGCCTCCTCAATCCGCAAGTCGACAGCACAGCTCCAAAGTTGCCTCCGCCAGACACCCGGTCTTCTCCTTTCGGCGCTGGGTCAGATTCTATCCCGCCTCCAACGCTGAATCGCGCCCGCAACATTGCGTATCTCAAGCGCACCCTCGCAGAGGTAAAGCACTTCCGGGCCGAGCTGGCACACAAACCGGCCTTCTCCGAGGCCAACGTCTACCCACCCATCGCCCTCATGTATGGCAAGGACACGCCGACAGTGTACGCTGTCAAAGTTGCTGGACGAGACGCCATTGCTCATGCGGACTGTTATGACGACCTCGTCTTCAGGCCTGGTGACGGCGTGGTTCTCGCACGCGAGGCACAGCTGCCAGAGGGATACGAACTCGTCCGAGGGGGGCGGCAGAGGACACACAGGGGACACCTCACCATGTTGGGGGATATGCCAGCCGTGGGGCGGGCCATGGAAGCTGTCATTCGGGGGCGGAGAAAGGGCATCGGCATGGGCAGGCCGGATACAGGACACAACGGCGCTGAAAGTAGCGCAGGCGCCTAGGAGACCCTGAAGCGTCGAGTCTGGCAGGCCTGGGGTGTGTGCTCAAGCTGCATGCGTGCTGAGCAGCTCTCTCGGCCGCGGCAATAGAAGAGGCAGTGGAAGGAAAGAGTAGATAGACATCTTAGACATACAAGCGCGTGTCTCACGACAAGCCCATCGCCCAGGACGATGACAGGGCGAACAGAAAAAAAGCATGAATACTTTCACGAAAGAGACCAACGAATCACGCGTGCAATTCGTCGATGGGTAAGATGATGGGCTGTCGTGGTGTTTCTATTCCCGGCACCTTGACGACCGCTGATTGGGCTGGCATCGCATTTCCTCCCCCACCCCTCCTCGCCGGTAAGCGCCGGGGCGGCGGCGACGACATCTGCACGCCCCGAGCCAATGCCGTGCCGCCGTGCCGTTCCTGCATATGGCACTTGAATAGAACCCCGCATGACCTTTGGGCGGGAACGTCCTTGGTGATCGGCGCCGTCGGTACTGAGGTCCCATTTCGCCAGCGCGGCTATCGTGCATGGGCGCGTCGCTGGGTCTCAGTCTCGGCGGCCAGATGCCGTGTGAGTGTGGTAGGTAGCAAGCGGTTAGGTGGTGTGTGTTGGGGTGAGAGCGTGACTATTAGTATGGGTTTCCGCACTCCTCTATAGGACGGGAGCAGATCCTATGGTATTGGTTTCCAGCTGTGCTGTCCGCTGTTCCTTCATCCTCGTCTCCTTTTCTCTCATTCTGGGTGTTCTTTCTGAACGGTTCCAATCCACTCATCCTTTGACTTGTAATCACCTGAATCTTGAACACTTGAGTCCCTCGGAGGCCTTCCATCTCACTTTCACACACCGATATCCAAAGACGGTGAAACGGAGAAAATATGGCTGAAAGCAAGACAACGTACCAGACTTCCAACTTTGAAGTCGACACCCCGGCCGTGCCGAGCTTCGGCCGTCTCCGAGCCCTCAACTTCCTCGATGCCGCGCGCAACGGCCTCACGCTGCTGGCGCTATGCTCCAGCATCACCATCCTCGGCGTGTCGGCGGACGCGCTCGCTGTGTACGACCAAACCCATGTGCGCGCCGAGTTTATGCTGCCGCTGTGGCCGGACGACTTTGACCTGCGACCGACGACCACGCTCGTGGCGTGCAGCGCCATTGTGATCCTCGCCAACATTGTCTCCCTCGTTGGTAGCAAGGTCGGCATCGTAAGTGGCATATCCTGAATTTTTGGGATCAACGCCGGGAACACCCACCCGTTGACGCATTTCACAGATTCGCGACAACTTTCGCGCGCATGCCGCTCTCTCCCTCCTCGCGCCGCTCGCGTGCCTGACGGCCGCCATCGTCGCCGTGGGTCTCTCGTTCGTGATCCGGGCGTCGACGTCGAGCGACACGATCCACAGCTGGTCCTGCCGGTGGGACGGTGTCTACATGGCTTCCCGGCCTCACTTTGGGACTCTGTGTAAGCAGAGCCGCGCAGGCCTGTACCTCACCGTGCTGCTCGTGCCGCTGGAGGTCCTCGTGATCGGTCTGGCTCTGACGCAGGCTGTGCTGGAGAGGAATGCTGGGCCTGCGCCGCGCCAGGGCCGGAGCAAGGAGAGGAGCCCAACGCCTTCTTCGTGATCTTGGTGGTTCGTTTTCGGTGGGACTGGGCGGAAGTCTGTGAACCCTGCTGATGGGTTTCTGATCGTTTGGTTCACACGGCTGACTGAACAGTATATTTGATTTGGTTCCCGAGGTCGTTAGGTGGTGTATGAGAGGGTACTCCCTTTGATCTTGAGGGGGCTGTATGTAATGGACGGCGCTTGGTGTTTGTGATACTGAATCCTCTGCGGAATCGCAGCTTATACCCGACGTTGAAGAACAGATCTGTTCTTTTTGCCCTGTTCCTGTACTTTGTGGTCATGAGCTGAGCCCGAATTTCGGATCGGTCTAGACTCAGGATCGGATGATGGGCGCGTCCGTATTCGGATGCTGGATAGTGTAGAGAAACCATATCAACTTGAGACACGAGGCAATGCAGGTTGCCGAGCGCGTCGTGTAGGTAGCCTGGGCTGACAGCAAGGGGGGCGGTCAGGTCCCGGCCTTGGAGCGTGTTGTTGGGGGCCAGGATACTTGAGTGGGAGGAGCACCGAGCGATGCGAAGCGGAAGCCAACAGACCTGGAATGAAGTTTGGATATGGCGTTGGGGGCCCGTGATACGTTAATGACCCGTTCATCTGTTGGTGTTGGCCCCGTCATGGGGGCAAGACCCCCGAATGTGCCTGCTCATGTGTTTGTCGCAGCCCGTCTTTGGGAGGCCACCGCGCAGACCTCTTTTGACAGGTAGTAGCTCCCCTCAGAATGCCTACCTACCTAGGTACCTATATAGGTAGGTATTTAGGTACTGTGTGAACCCTAGTCTGATATCTGGTAAGGTATTCCACCTGCAAGGAATTCATTGGAAAATCAAATTCTCACCTCCCCCACGCTTTGGCTCGAATCTCATCTGCCTCGACACCCTTGACCTCGAGGGACACCTGAACTGTTGCAAGGCCCCATTCTGCCCACGATGAGCAGCTCGTTGACAGGTGACAATTCCAAATCACTGCCATCGCCCATTGCGCAGACACGCCGCCCATCGAATGCTGCGCAGCTGTCCTTCGCCAAGCGCAAAGAGGCGCAGAGGGAGGAGCAAGTCACATCCCTGCAGTCGCTCATGAATGACGGCCACTGGGTAAGCTCGCGGTCCGTTTCGCGCCCGCTACCCGTCGATCCTACCAGGGAGTCGACAAAGGTCAAATCGCAGCCGACACTGGCACAATCGCGCAGCCGGTACTTCGAAGACGCCTTCCAGGCAGGCAGAGAAGTTAGCTCTGCGAAGGACCGCATACGGAGCGAGGCTGTCATCATGGCTGAGGTCTACACAAACGTCATCGTAAGCTGCCCTCCCCATCAAAACCCGATTTCTCTCGAATACTCAAGCTCGATTAGGTTGGCGATGAATTCAATTTCATATTGGACCTTTCCCACCAGCTTTCCATCCGATATCAGCGCCCCGTGTCCTCGATCGTAGTCACGTTGCAGCACGGCGCGTGTATGCTGTTCGGTGGCAGCTTCGACTCGGCTTACACCATGTCCATATCTGGACTACCGATCGAGTTTGCGCCGACAAAGAACAGACGTATCGCGGCCCTGTTGCAGAAATACATGGAAGAGTCTCTAGGCGTCTTGCCACGTCGAGGATACCTACGTTTTGTACCACTATCAGAAGAGAATGTCGCCTGGGACGGCAAGACAGTCGCAAGCGAGCTGGCAGAGACCCAAGGACTTGAAGACCAGCACGGCGTGGCCACAATATTACAGCACAAAACCAGCCGGAGACTTAGTGCCAAGGTAAAAGAATCTCGAGTCCGCTCCGCTCCGGCTTCACTGACTAGACAGTCCATGTCTTCACTCAAGTCGAGATCCACCAAAACCAACAGCGCACCTGATGGGATTGATCTTATAGCAAGTCATAGCATGGGCAGTGGGCCACCAATGCCGCTCATGGCGACGGTGTGCGAAGAAGGCGAGTCGAGAGTCGGTGGTATGACGAGTAATGCAGACAAGGAGGATTGTAAGGGTGAGGAGCTGTGGAAGAGCCCCAAGGTGGGAAAGAGGAAGAGCTTCGTGGCATCATTTTTTGGGCGTTCCAAGCCGGGTGTCTGACTTTCGAAACCCTCCTCATGAGAGCGACAGCTTCAAAGGTCGGGATCATGCTGGCCTCATGCTGGCCTGTAGCATCACACGTCTGCTTTGAAAATTGACGGCGAGGCTGTGGAGGAGGTCAGGAAGTCCGCAGCCGGTACCTTACCTTAGTGGAGTGGGGCCAGGCATTCGGCTTTGCCAGCGGCGTTGCCAGATGACGACACCCGTCGCTTACCTGATCAAAGGCCTGTGAGGATGGGAGTGGGGATTGGAGAGGCAGGTACCTGGAAGATGGCAGTGGCAGGAGCTCTCGCCAAGTGCCTACCTTGCGGTACTTGCCCACCTACTCAGGTGCCGCCTGCCTGTGTTGTTGCAGCACAGGCGCAGCTTCCCGACTGGATTGGGGTGATTGGGGTGGCCATCCTCTCGTCGCCAGCTGCCAATTGCCAATTGCTTCACCTCTCAGATCTCATCACACGAGCACCACCGCCCGATCACTTCAACGTAGGTACCTTCTCAACAAGATATCTTGCCCCCGACAAGGAGGAAACTTCGCGCTCTCAGACCTCACTTTCACCCTGCACTGCAACCTCGTTCTGAACTTGCGCGGCGAGAGCCACGAGGAACGGCGAGTCAACAGCCAGCTGGTCAGCGAGGCCACGAAATCGCTGAGCCCCATTCATCGTCAACCACGGCAGATCTCGAGCCGCAACCCATCTCTCCGGCCATATTCGAGTCGCAAGCAGGCCTTGTTCGCCAGGCAGGTAGGCGTTCCCACGCTACATCACGTTAGACATGGAGGTGAGAGGCCGAACCATCTCATTCTCTCGCTTACAATTGGTCCCCGTCACTCCGCAACATCGCTCCCGTCTGCCCTCTTGATCCCCTTCCCCTTTGTATCTCATCTCCGCTTCCTCCCCTTTCCCATCGAGGATGGCCTTGCTCCGACCCCTTGACGCGCCTTGCGTCCTCTCACGTGCTGCAGTGACTGGGTAGTGCCCTCGCCAAGATGAAGCCACAGCCTCAGACCCGAGAGGAAGGATCAGAGACGGCACCAGACTCAGCCCAATGGACGGAGCGCCATCGTCACTCGCTCTGCCCGGCCCTAGTCCTGTCGCCCTGGACTATCGTCAACGTTACGCCGCACTGATCCGCGTGGCCCGGATGACGAGCCCCGATCATTGGGTGCGCCCGCGCCTGGAAGCCTGTTTGCCGGTCGAACTCTGCCAGTCCCCGTGGTGCAATGGCCCGTCAACGACAGGGGTCGTCGTTGAGCTGAGCCACCAAAAACGGCCTAACCGTGCGACGGTGAGACGACACCCATGAAATATATGTATATTGGTAGCCCGGCCATGCTCCTCCCTGCCTGAGCCCGAGAGCCTGGCGCATGGGAGACCGGGCCACCCCCAAGCGAACAACTCGAAACCGTCAATCTAGGCCGGCCGTTCGCACTATGATCCCATGACGAAAGCCCTGCCGCCGCCTCGCACTCTGTATCCCATCTGCGCCTGGCCGCCCATCCCGGCGGTGAGCCGTCATCCATCTCACGGACCAGCGTGACGCCCAGGCAGGGGAGACGCGAACCTGGACCCGCGAGGATAGGTCGTCTTATTGCTTCTTCGCCCCCGAAGAACGAGCGCTTCGGCAGTGTGTCGATTGCAAGCTTGCAAGCCTCTGTGTGCTGTGCTGCGCTGGGCTTCGTCAGGCCTCAACGGACGTCAATGCACACGCGAAATCGTCTCCAGGTTGCGACCTATCAATAACGCCTCGAGTGTCCCTTTCGGGTACTGGCCGGTCTACGCGGCGCTCTCACCGCTCACCTGAGTTTGCCACTGAGCCCTTCATCCCACAACTCTACCATGACTTCGTCCCCTCCCTACAGCCAGCTCTCGCCTTTCCAAGCGGACGTTGGTGATGAGCCCTCTGTGCAAGAAACAGTCGCTGGGAGCAGCAACCACGAAAGTCCAGCAACGCTAACACTGCAGCGTGTCTTTGAACAGAGTCGCCGAGGCGTCCCCAAGAAGGATGACGCAGACAAGCCTGTCGAGGTGCCCCCGGGGCCGCCAGCCAAGGGCAAGCCGAGACTGCTCCTGATGGGACAGAGGAGGTGAGGGCTGTATACCGCGTGTTTGCCACTCTGAGTCTGACCATGCGCAGGAGCGGGAAGTCGTCCATATCCAGTGTCGTCTTTCACAAGCTGCCGCCTAACGAGACACTGTTCCTCGAGTCGACGGCGCGTATACAGAAGGACTCGATGGCGTGAGCATAGCCCTATTCTCTCCCGCACCCGCATGTACTGACTGACTTGGCAGCTCGTTCATGGATTTCCAGGTCTGGGACTTTCCTGGGCAGATCGATATCTTCGAGAACCCAACCTACGACATGGAGGCCATCTTTGGTGAGATTGGCGCCCTCATCTGGGTTATTGACGCGCAGGACGATTACCTCGAGGCCGTGCAACGCCTCAACACAACGATTCTCAACCTACAAAGGTCATATCCCAACATCAACATTGAGGTCTTCATCCACAAGGTCGACGGCCTCTCGGATGACTACAAGCTCGATATCCAGCGTGACATAACCATCCGCATCCAGGACGACCTTTCGGACCACGGCTTCGAGAACGCTCCTGTCACCTTCCACCTCACATCCATCTACAACCACTCCATCTTTGAGGCCTTCAGCAAGGTCATCCAGAAGCTCATCCCCCAGCTCGGTACCCTCGAGGCCATGCTCACCAACCTCTGCCGTACCTGCCGCTTCGAGAAGGCCTATCTCTTTGACGTTCTCTCCAAGATCTACATCGCCACTGATTCGGCGGCTGCCGACATGGCCGCTTACGAAATCTGTTCAGATTACATCGACGTCATTATCGACATTACTGACGTGTACGGATCGTGGAACCGTTCTGATGCCCAACGCCAGCGCATCGAGGGCGAGCCATGGAACGCAAAGGTCGAGGACCAGGTCGCGTGCAACTGGGCTGAGAGCTGCATGGTCCTGCACGACGCCGGACGACCGATTATGCTGCGCGAGGTTGATCGATACCTCGCCCTCGTGGCCATTATGAAGGAGGACTCGTATGACCGCATGCCGCTCGTCAACATGAATGTCGAGGCAGTGGTCCAGGGGTTGACGGAGTTCTTTGACATCACGAAGCCCCGCGGGGAAGGACAGGCGCGGCGAATCTAAGTCTTGTATTTTTCGGGTGTCGCATATGTATCTACGCGTAGAATCAACCTTTCGTTTTCTTTTTCTCTTGATTTTGGTCAATCCCTTGGTCAATGCCGTGATTCGTCTGCGGCCCAGCTTTCATGCCACAGTCAACATGTCTGACCACCCAGCCGAACGCGCCCCTGCGATGCCCAACATGATGCTTCCCTCTACGCATGGCTTTCGCAGTTACTTCGCCTTCACCCAAGCAGGCACCATCACCCCGGCCGCCGACTACTCCCGACGCCTCGCCCCTTGCGCGTAGGGGTGAAGCGTCGGGGCGGGATCTGCAGCGGCCGCCGCGACGGCAACCGGACAACCTCCTATGCGTTGTCCCGCCCAGGCGTGTTCAATTGCTGCTGCTGCTGCTGCTGCTGCTTGTCCTCCTGCCCCTGCTGTTGCGGCACGGCGGCATCCTTCTCCAGGGCGAAGACGCGCCACGTCGTCCTGTCACGGCCGAGGAGACAGACGCGCGGGGGCATGTCGTCTCGGACGTCGCTTCGGGGGTGGACCTCCATGCGAACAGGGACCCAGGCGCCGCCGCCGCCGCTTTCGGGGAGGGTGAAGGACGCGAAGCCGTGCGCGGCGGAGAGAGGCTCGGGCTCAGGGAGGGACTCTTCGGTGTAGGAGGCGTACTTGACCTCGGGCGTCTGGATGGGGAGCTGCATGATGAGGGGTCTCTTGTCTGTGATGGGGCGTCAGCGCTTTTCCTCCTCTTCTCGACGTGGTTGGTTGGTCTGAACATGCCGGTGGTCCGGAGAAGCAGGACGAGGGTCTCGTGGCCGAGGAACTTGATGTCGGTGATTTTGTGGTCGCCGAGACGCAGCGCGGCGCACGTCTTGGACGTCGTGGTGCTGATGCCGTTGATGATGCGCACGGTGGTGCGGAAGATGTACACTAGAGCTTCGTCAGAGTCGGCGGGACCCACGGGTGATGACAAAACGGCACGGCCGAGAAACTTACGCTCGTCTTCTTTGCCCTCCTGGATTGCTGCCACAAAAGTCGACGCGTGGTCCTCTAGGTCACTCTGGAAAAGAACAGCCATGTCAGCAAAGGCGAGCAGGCGGCAACACAACGACCAGACTTACGCCGTTGACAATCGGCCCCATGACACAGTCGATCCTAGACAGTTTGCTAGCCATGACGATCCTGGTGGGCTGTCCGAACCTGACGCTCCGCTTCTGGGCCTCGGCAATATCCTTGAAGATGCCGTTCGCGCGGTCCTCAAGGTACGCCACAAGAAAGGCGAGCTGCGGCAGCGCCTTCATGTAGGGCTGGCCATCTTCCTGCCGGGCAATCTGCGCATCGACAGCGTCGAGCAGCGCGGGCTCGTTCTGGACAAACTTCCAGTCGGCCTCGCGCTCGTCGTCGGCCACGGGGTCGAAGAAGAGCGCCATGGGGCTGCGCAGCAGATAACGCTGGATGTACGCGAGCACTTTTCCATTCTCCAGCCCGGCCTCCTTCTCGTTGAGCTCCTCGGTGGCCGAGCTCGACGACGCGAGCCGGTCGATCTGGAAGCGCAGCCAGCCGGAGAAGGCGGTGAAGAGGTCGAGCTCCTCCATGACGTGTAGCAGGACGCGGTGGGCGGCGAGACGCAGACAGGCGACGACGTCCATGGCGCGGGCGACCTGCGCGGCGGAGAAGCCAATGTCGTCGCGGGCATCGTGGAACTGGGCGAGGCCGCGGAGGCGGCTGAGGATGACGGCGCAGCGCTCGAGGGCCGGGAGGAGGTTCTCGTGGACGAGCGCGCGGAGGGCCTCGAGACCCGAAACAGCGGCCTTGTCCCAGCGTTTGTGGCCCTAGTCTGGGTCAGCGTCATGGGGCTGGATTGGGGGGGTCGGAGGTTCGTGAGATGGGTGGGCTTACGCGCTCGGCCAGCTGGTCCACGAGCCATTCCTTGACGACCTCGTGGGTGTGGCCAGTCACGACAGTATGGAAGAGAGCCTGGACAATGTCGGTCGGCCCACGGTCGGCGCCCTGTAGATCCTCCTGAATACTACGCAGGAACTTGCTGGGGAGTTCTCGCGTGTTGTTGTACTCGACCGTGGCGTGGAGCTGCGACTGCTTCACGTATCGGAGCAGCTTCTGAAGAGTAGTCAACTTGGACGCGAGGAGGGCGAGGTTGATCGGAGAGTAAGGGACAAACGGTAAGTCCATGGGAACCAGATAGACGGCGCGGTCCTCGTCGGCAGGATGCTTCAGGATGAGACAGTGGGTGGATGCCGACGGATGGGCGGCATGGTGGATGAGCTGCAGAACGCCTGGCTTGTACATGGCGCTCGGCAGCGTATAGCGAAAATCACCAATGACGAACGAATCATAGATGCTGAGGTGCAGACGTCCGTCACTGGTGCCGACGACCATGACAAAGACCTCATCGCTCTCGGCCGTGTTGAAGGGCCGAAAGAGGAACTCGATACCAGTCCGCAAGGTGAAGACCATGGCATCCTCGCTGTGGGGTGGTCAGCCGCGTGCTCCTGGGCAGTCAATAGGGCCCGGAATCGACGAACCCTTCGCCGGCACTGGCGCTCGGCAGAGGACTCAGTTTGGGCAGCGACGACTCGACATCGAGAAACGTCAGCTCGCGCGGCAGATCTAGTTCTGGAGGGTTGCCTGCGGTTTGCAGCTCTTCGTCGAGGGCATGGCGCCACGAGGCGGTCTCGGCCTCCTTGGGAACACTGTCTGTCTTGGAGACGCTGTTGCACGCCCAGCCGATATGGGTGATGCCGGCAGACTGGTCCTCGGTCACGCGAATATGATGGGCCGCCTTGTTGTTCTCGAGACCCATCAGTCTCACGTGGCCATCGCTCCAGCCGACGGCGAGAAATTGACCTTGTCCACGGTCAGCAACCTGCCTGTCAGCTCCGAAGATCGGGATGCCATACCGTCGGGTTTCCACTGGAGAGCGAGGGGCTCTGGGGCTGTCGTGCCCGGGCGGGCGTATTGGTGGATCTTGGAGACGACCTGGTCCCTTGGACGGTAGATGAGGAGGTTCTTGGCGGCGGCATCCCAGGTGACGGACAGGTCGACGGTGGGATTGCTCTTGGGCAAGCCATCGGGCACGCGATGATCGAACTTGGTCTCGCTGATGAGACGCAGGGGCTGGGGTTCAGCCATGGGTGGTGGTTGAGATGGGGGACCGCAGCAACGCGCCAAGCAGCATTGTTGCTTTTGATATCACGGATAGCAGTGACCCTCCGTCGCCATCCGAGTTACCCCTGATAGAACGAGAATCCAGAGACGAGAAGAGGTTCGGCCAAGGATGGCAGTTCAGCAGAGGGCGTGACCGAGCTTGGAAGTAGACGGGGATGCCCGAGGAAGGTAGGCAGGCAAGGTATTCAGTGAGCACGATGCGGCAGGGCTGCCCCACAATGAAGCTGGACAGACTGATTGGTGGTGGGCGCCCAAGACATTCAACCCTGGGCACGTAGACTGACAAGGCCCCCTCACCACCACCAGCAAGTCCAGATTGGAATGTCGAACAGTATTCCAGAACAATTGTCGAGGGAACCTGCCAGGACAGTGTACATCCCAGGAGGGATGCCGAACCATTACTCCATCCCCCCAACCTGTTGGATGAGGCGGGACATGTGGCCTCTTGCAGCGCAGGCATACGCAGACAGTCACAAGGCGCCTGCGAGAAAGACTAAAACAATGACAAGCTTGTATTCCAGCAATCTAGGTCCAAAAGATACAAGACAATAACGACGACACTCGCCTTCCCTCTCACACTTCCTTCGTATCACCAAGGTAAACACATCACAGCACGACGGCATACGGGCTTAGAAAGCCAAACATGTCGGCCCAAGACATGCGTTCCGCGTCACGCCTCCAGACATCGCGCAGTGCCTCGCCGATGGCGCGCACCGAACCAAACCGCATGTCATTGAAGATGCCCGAGACCATGTCAGACACGCCGGCCCTGCGCTTACTTGTTTGCGCGTGGGCGCCGGCGACATAGAGCGGGAAGATGACGCAGTGATAGATGTGGGAAGACGGGTGGACCTCGAACAGCCCGTCGAGACACGGTTCGACGTGCTGCTGCACAAGCGCATGGCATGTCGGCAGTCCGCAGATGACGCGGTAGAGGTAGATCAGTGCCGTCCGTTGGAAGGCGCGCACGAGCTTGAACGCCTCGACAGCCTCGATCTCGCCCTGGCCAAGGGGGAGTGGCTCCCCGACATCCGGGTCCGATCCGAGATCCTCCGTCGTCAGTGGCGCGTACACGGGCTGCAGGCTGGCCTCGAAAGCCCGAATGCGATCAACCGAGAGGCGTTCGGCGCCGGTCCTGACGGCCTCGTGGTAGGTGGCGAGCGTCGCCATGTCGTGGAAGACGGCTGCTAGAGAGCACCGGCCCCTGGCGTCTCTGCCCCACCAGACGGAGCCCTCGTCGATGACATCCCAGACGTCGGGTGCAAACCCGGGGGTTCGCTGCTGCAGGAGGGCCGTCGTCAGATCGGCCGAGGCAAACTCGGACAACAGCATGTCCATCGACTCCTGGCCCTTGCCGACGACCTTGGTCAGGCCGCCGAGCTGGTCGAGGATGGCGAGCACACCGACATGGTGCTTCATGGTGGCTGAGGTGGCCGATCCCTCGACCAGGCCGTCGTGCAGGTAGAGCAGGAGCACGGCGAACAGCAGCGTGGGCAGCATGTCGTTGTTGTCCCTGCAGCAGCCACCGACCTGTGTGCGCAGAACCTGCAGACACTCGGACCGGGTCGGCGTGATGAGCTCGGCGCCGCGGCCGTCCTGGAGGTAGCGATGAGAGGCAGCAAAGACGCACATGGAGAGCAGCACGACACGGTGCTGCATGGCAACAGGCGTAGGCGGGGCGCACGGGTTGGGGACGGTCGTCAGGAGGGGCCAGACGCGGCCCTGGAAATAGCCAAGGGCGCGCTGCTCGTCATTGGCGAGGGGCGGCTCGATTTTGAGACACGGCGAGCGGCGTGCGGCCGCAGCAGCCATCTCGGCCAGAGGTTGAGACAGATTGACGCTCGGCCGGGTGCTCCATCGGATGAGCTGCGCATTGTAGTCGCATGACGCGCCTTCGAGGAGGCAGCGTCGGCATGCGGGTTTCGTCAGATCGCATCGGACACGACGTTTCTTGCAAGGCCAGCAAGAGCCCGGGACGACGCGCACTCGTCGCGACATGCTACGCAGATGGACGTTCGAGAAGGGATCGGTCGATGAAGCCGATTAGCGGCGGGCGGAGACCCAATTCTGTAAATGATACTCAAAGACACGGGTATCGGAGAAGACCATGACGAGGTGGGCTCGAGTTGGGGCGAGTGGCCCGAAGGGTTCAGGTTGCTGAGAGGGGACGCCAAACGGCAGGTGATGGGGGAGGGGGGGATATGGAACTCGATGGCTTGCTGGCAACGAGGTGGTGATGGTGATGGAGGAGAACAAGAGGTTGGTGTTGACAGCCAGAGAGGCGGGGGAAAGGTGTCGGGGTTTCACAGTATTCTAGCGCCGATAGCGATTGCCTACACCTAGGTACCTACCTCCCTAGGCACCCTACTAGTTGCCTAGGGCATCACCTACCTAGGGTAGGTACCTAGGTAAAGTAGGTAGGTACGTGTCAGCACCACCTGCACTCCGCCTGAGGAACATCACAGTCTTGGGTGCCTCCTACCACTTCACTTGACTCGGATCTTCCGGTACCTCCTGACAGGCAGGTGCGTTGGCGGCGACGGCCTTGCCCTGATGAGACCCCGTTTCCCCCTCGCTGCCATCTTTCGTTGGGCCTGAGATCAGGTGGTTCGGTCTTCCCGCCTCTCATATGACCACTGGTTCCATTTTATACCATGCTCTGCTCGATCCGCCACCACGTCTCACGATATCACGCCCTCGCCTGCGCCAGGTCTGAACAACCCAGCGACAGCAGTCTTGGCCTGCCTGTTCACCGCAGGGAGATTACGTGACAGGCAACGAAGAAGAATGGTCAATTTTCATCCGTAAAGTCCAGCAGCACGTCAACCAGTACATATTAACAACTAACAATCAGCATCACAGCTTCGACGGCACTGTCATGTTCACGTGGACGGCCTTGATGTTCGAGTACGCTGCGAGCCCCGCCTCGCCCAACTCCCGCCCAATACCGCTCTGCTTGACACCGCCAAAAGGAACACGCCAGTCACTGTCGTTGCTCGAGTTGATCCAAACCATGCCGGCCTCGATCCGCCTCGCCACACGGTGCGCTCGCGTCAGATCCCTCGTGAAGACGGCGCTGCCGAGCCCGTACTGTGTATCGTTGGCAAGCTTGAGTGCCTCTTCTTCCGTTTTGAATGTCGAAATGACCACAAATGGCCCAAACACCTCTTCCTGGAAGATCCGCATCTGAGGTGTCACCCCCGTGAAGACGGTCGGCTGCACGAAAAAGCCGGATCCAACGTCCTTCGCTGGCTCGCCACCCATTTCGAGCGTGGCACCCTCGCTGGTGCCGATGCCAGCATACTCTAGCACCCTGTCGTACTGCGCCCTCGTTACCTGAGGACCCTGGAACGTCTCTTCGTCGAACGGGTCGCCTACGCGCGAAACAGTCTTGACCTGTTCTCGGAACGCAGCCAGAAACTTGGAATAAATGCCCTCCTGCACAAGGATACGCGACGTCGCTGTGCAAATTTGGCCCTGATTCGACATGATGCCAATGTGCGACCATTCAACGGCATTCTCCAGGTCGGCATCGTCGAACACGATGAGTGGGCTCTTGCCGCCAGTCTCCAGTGTGATATTCTTCAGGTTCGCGCTCGCCATCTTCATAATGTGCTTGGCCGTCGCAGTTGATCCCGTGAAGGCGATCTTGTCGACATCCAGGTGGCTCGCCAGGGCTGCGCCGGCAACAGGACCCGTGCCGTTCACAATGTTGATGACACCCGGTGGGAAACCAGCCTGCGCCACTAGGCTTGCAAGGAACAGAATAGACAAAGGTGTCTGCTCGGCGGGCTTCAGAACGACCGTGTTGCCACAAGCCAGCGCAGGGCCTAGCTTCCACGCTGCCATGGAAAGGGGGTAGTTCCACGGGATGATCTGCCCGCATACGCCGACGGGCTCACGGACAGTGTAAGCAAACTTGGCCGGCGTAGTGTCGATAACTTGGCCGAACACCTTGTCTGCATACCCAGCGTAGTAACGAAGGGTGCCTACAGTTTCGGCCAGATCCTCGTTCAGCGCGGTTGCGTACGGTTTACCATTATCCCACGCTTCAATAGTCGCCAGCGTTTCACGGCGCTCGTGGATGAGGTCGGCGAGACGATTCATCAATTGGCCGCGGTCGGTGCCAGGAAGATCGCGCCAGCTCGGGTCATTGAGGGCCTTGCGGGCTGCCTTGACAGCCTTGTCAACATCTTCTTCCGAAGCGGCTTGTACTGATGCGATCGGCTTCTCGTTGCTTTGGCAAGTCAGTAAAGGAACCTCGAAAAATCGGACGAAGATAATCCCTTGGTACGTACGTAGGGTTGATGCTTGTGATCTTGCTGCCGTCTGATGACGCATGCCAGTCGTTGTTGATGAACAGGCCGAGCGGTTGGGTGTATATCCGCTTGTTCGGCGCTGTCAGCTCAATCTTCAACTCTGTCGCCATTTTTTCAACTTTCTTCTCGGGACCTGAGATAACGACAACCAAACAGAGCGCGAATGTCGACTCGCCCTGAAACGCTTGAAGGTAGAGACAAGATAACGCAAGAATATGCTTGCCAGGGAGAAGTAGCGGGGGAGAGTTGGTCAGTCGAGGGTATGCCTCTGATCGCTGTCGACAATCCTGGAGCTCCGTGACGTTATCACCTCTTCCCATTTGCCCCACCTGGACTACATCTTTCGGCCTTCTCTTTCCGAGGTTTCTTGCTTCCCGGGAGCGTCATCCACATCTGGCGCACCCGGCCCGGTGTCATTTGCTCGAGCCGGTGGCTGGTGGTCGAAACCGTCTCGTTATTCCACCAGAGGTCAGCATTACCAACCCCTGGTACTTTTGGAGTCAACCAGGCTGCCTGCTCGCGATAGCTCTTTCTGCTCTAAGACAAAACAGGCAATAAATTGGACAGAGGGGGTGAGATCAGCTGGGCGATTCCCCGCATCCCCGCTGTCAAGCTGTTCCCTGCAGCTCTAACGTATTTGGGGAAGAAGATAGGCATGCCGCGCCGCACAAGCTTTGTTGTGGCTTCTTATCGCCTTGGCTGGGCCAGCTTGATTGCCAGCCTGGCCAGGTCAGTGTCTCCAGGGCTAGAGTTGGGGTTGACAAGGAGCGAATAGGCGTTGCAGGCTTACAATGTCGTCCCCTGAACTCTCAGTACGGCACCTTGTTTCTCGTACGTAACAGGGAGTAAAGACGAACGCGCACCAGTGGACCAGTATTCGGCTCCCCGTGGGGAAGTTGAAACGAGCATCTCGGCAGTGTATTGAGGTCACGACGAGGTAATCAAAGTCGCGACAATGTCTGATACGTATTCCAACAGCAACATCTGATTGTCAAAGCAGCGACTGACAACGGGCATCCGGTATTAGTCCCTACAGCTAACGGCATCGGTGTGATACGCAAAGTAAGGGGGTCGCCTCCATTTTGCGAGCACGGCCTGGCCATATGATTTCAAGAAATGCGATTTCAAATACGGGCTACAATTATCAAGACACGGACAAGCCACCGACACAGCATTGTGTTCCCCAGGGAAGAAAAACAATCGACACCCGCCGCGTCTAAGACTGCCGCCTCTCCCGGAAAGACTCGGTGGTATCCTTGACATCACTGGGGCCCTCGGCCCCGGGGTGGTCTGCGGCTGCTTGTGATAGCTCAGTGCGGCGCGCTTCAATGATGACTTCTTCGGCCTCGCTTGCGCGCAGGTAGGTCAGGCGGCCCTTGGTGACCCAGAAACCAAGAGACATGACCATCATGATACCAAACACCGCGATGGCGTAGTTCATATCGGAGACGGTCGGATTTGGGGTACCGGGGAAGAAGAAGAAGACACTCGTGATGGCGCAGTAGAAGACCGAGATCCAATTAATCAAGGTTCCAAAACGACCAAGCTTGAACTCGGCAGGCGGGAGCTTATCGCGACCGACCATGAGCAACACGAGCACGGGCATGCCGTAGGATACCGTCAATGCGATGACGCTGACGCCGAGGATGGCCTCAAGGACCGTGTCGGCGAAAGTATACAATACGCCGATGAGGCCGATGATACCGCCTTGCAGCCAGAGAGCACGCACAGGTACGCGCCAGGTCTCATTGACCTTGCTGAAGTAGGGACTCCATGGGATGCCGCCGTCACGAGCGAAACTCCATGTTAGACGCGAGGCCGTTGTGACGATGCTGACAGCCTGGCCCATGCCGTTGAATATGAAGAAGGACAGGAGCACGGTAGCAACAGTGAGGCCGGTGGTACCCTTGAGCAGGTCCATAAAGGGGAGACCTGTCGAGGGGTCGATGACAGCATCGAGGTCCTGGATGCAGAAGAGACACACAACCATGAAGATGAAGCCGGAGACGGCACCCATGGTGACGGAGAGCCACATGACGCGGGGAATGTTCTTCCGCGGCGCAGGGATTTCCTCAACGAGGTGGATGGCGGCGTCAAAGGCCGTCAGGCCGTAAGCCGCCTGAACGAGGCCCAGGAACCACGTCACACCATCATTCCAACCTGTCTGGTTGAGCCAGCGGCCAAAGACGAAAGACGCGGGTTGGAACGAGTTGCCGTCCTTGACGCCAACGGAAATGAGGAGCGCCAGCGAGAATACGAAGAAGAGAGTGACAAAACATATGCCAACAAAGTTGTTAAACATGGGCAGGATGGCGTCCCTGCGGCAGGCGACGATGTTGAAGAGAGTGACGAAAGCCGTCACGGCGAGGTAGAGTAGGAAGCGCACCCAACCATGAGCGCCGTCCCAGTCCGGGTCGTACAGAACCTTCATGCTCAGCATGAAGTCGGTCATGAAGGCGACCTGGGAGGCGGAGAGCGTCCACCAGCCGAACTTGTTGATCCAGGCGCAGAGGTAGGACGTGAAGCGCCCCTTGCCGCCGGGCCACAGGCGCCAGATCCAGTAGGCCTGACCCATGGCGGTGGGCATGGCGCTGCACATCTCGGCGAGGGAGACAGCAACGCAGATGTTGCAGACGAAGACGAGAACGAGGCCCCAGAGGATGGCAACGGGCCCGCCAGCCGTCAGCCCGCTGCTGAGACCCTGGGCGAAGGTAGACCTGTGCCATCATTAGCTGTTGTCGCATTTGTCGCGGTCAAGCGACGAGGAGACGAAGAAGAAGAAGAAAAGGGGGGAGGTATTCACTCACCAGGTTCCCAGCACGGAGAAGGCAAGAAAAAACATGCTCCAGAGGCTGAACTTGCGCGTCAAGGTCTCGGCATGGCCCAGCTCGGCGAGGTCGAGAGCATCTTGTACAGCCTGGTCAGCGGTGGGCAGACGCTTGAGATGTGCCTGCGATTCTGCGTCGCCTTCAGCCGGGGGAGGCGACATGGCTGCGGAGCTCTGATGTGGAAGAGACGAAGAGAATTGGCTATGATTCTTCTCGCAGGGGAAATTGGGGATGAGATTTTCGGACCTCGAAGAAAGTGCAGTGTCGGTCTCCTATCACTCGAAGGCGGGACAGCAAGCCCCTAAATGCGATCTCATCACTGGTGATAGGGAAAGGGTGGCAGAGGTTGCTTTGCTGCTCGTCGACAGCTCAATCTCGGGCTGGACGACCTTGAGCTTCGATCCTTTGTGACACACACACACGCCCACACACACACACGAACAAGAACCTACCTACCCCGGGTTCGGCACCCCTACCCAGGCTGTCGTCACTGATAAGAGTGGGTGTGACCCGGTTTGTCTGCCCTAGGCTATTTCGAGTAGGGGTTTAGGCCCCGTCTCCAACTTTTGGGTCCCCGGCGTCCTTGAGACCAGACTACTAGACCCCCACCCCCGAACGGTCGGGATGCTCATGCTGATTGCTGATACGGGAAGCTTCTGGGGCTGGGAGGTGTGCCTACCTTATTCCCTGCAACTGACACTGGCTGTCTGTCATTCGCGAAGGGGAGGCGATGGCTGCCAGAGGACCTCAGGGTTTCGTTGCCATTGGTACGCCACTTGTGCCTTCAATGGCCACATATGTCACCGAGCAGGCAAATGGCTGTTCCAGGCTTCTGCCCTGGACCGAGACGGGGCTTCCAGCACGCATCTATCTGCCCAGTCGATCGTGGTCCACCCGGCCAGGGGTGCTGGGTGAGGCATTCTGATCTGTTCGTCGATAAGGCAGGGAAGGATCCGGCTATCGCGGCCAGGCCGTCGTCCTCAAGGGGTTCATACTCGTTCGTTCTCATGACTCAAGTCTGGAAAGACGCCCACACGAAGCTCCTCCAAAACGAAACGTGGATAGATGTTCCTCGTTGACACTGACCGGCCCGGGAGCTTGTTCAATCTGCGACACGACGGAGCCGTTACCAATCTCTGAGAACGGCCGATAGCTGCATCAATGGCATCGGACTACAGGTATGCCATGCACGGTCTCGTGGGTCAGCTGGCAGGTCACTTCAGCACCCGGTCCGGGGCTGAGATTGTGCAGCCCGTGGCATCCGCCCGCCGTGGCCGCCATACCTGTTCGGGCAAGAATTTGGACACGACCGCCTTGGTGCAGCACTCTGCTCTTCGTCTCCTTGTGCGCCCCAAAGTGAACCCCCCTTCCCCTGCCCCTCCATCATAGGCTCCGGGCAGACAAGTTCGTTTCCCATGACCAGCTCCGCCCGATCGCTCGCCGCTGGCCACGCCGCCTCACCACAACCGATTGGCCCGGGCCCGTTACGTCTCAGTCACGGATTGCGTTAGGTATGGGCATCACCATGCTCGGTCTATGGGAGGCCGGGGCCCTCCGCTCATCACACCATGCTCCTCTCGTAAAGAGGCAACAGAGGGGAGGAGAGGGGAGGGGAGGAGGGGCGGAAACACCACCACCTTGGGGTCCAGTCTATAAGAGCCTCTCCCCGAAGAAACAGCTTCGTCTTAAATCGGGTTTCCAGTCACCAGAGCCGACCAACATCTCCTCATTGACCGACTGGATTCTGCGCCCTTCTGGGTCATCGTCACATTATTTGCTCCAACTCCTTGCCTTGTCTCTTGACACTTACACCTCGTCGTTTCCCCCCGCTCTCCCAATATACGTACGGTACGGTACCAGCCCGTTTTGAACAACCACCTTATGGCAGGTTTCTGCAAACACGAAATTGAAAATGATTGTCGACACATCTTCAATTGCAGGTTACACAATCTTTCGGGAAGAGGCCAGCGACGCCGCGCCCGACTTGTCCAAGGCCCGCTCAGTCCATCCCTTAGACCAGCTATCGATTGAAGAGATACGTGCCGCCGCTCACCTCATCCGCCAACATGCCGACCCCAAGGTCGTCAAATTCAACTGCCTGACGCTCCACGAGCCCAGAAAGCTCGAGTATGCTGCCTTCCGTGCCGGCCGTGGGCCCCGTCCTGACCGTCGTGCCTTCGCCATCGTCCTCGAGAAGGGCACTTCGGACGTCGCCGAGGTTGTCGTGAACCTGACCAGGCTCAAGGTCGAGAACTGGAAGCCTGTGGCCGACGTTGCACCGACCCTGACCCTCGAGGACCTCGACGTCTGCGAGCGCGTTGCCATCGCCGACCCCCGTGTCATTGAGGCGTGCCGCGAAATCGGCATCACCGACATGGCCAAGGTCTTCATCGACGCCTGGGCCATCGGTTTTGACAACCGCTGGGGCATGGAGCGCCGCCTCCAGCAGGGCATCGTCTACTACCGCAACTCGCCCAACGACAACCAGTACGCTCATCCCCTCGACTTTAGCGTCGTCGTCGACACGGAGCGGGAGGAGGTCCTCGCCGTCGACATTCGTCATGTCGACGGCAAGCGCGTGCCTGTGCCCCTGCGCGAGCACAACTACCTGCCCGAGTTTGTCGCCGACACGTTTGTTCACGACAAGCTCAAGCCCATTGACATCACTCAGCCTCAGGGCGTCTCGTTCAGCATGAGCGGCAGCGAGCTCACCTGGGCTGGCTACAAGATGCACATTGGCTTCAACTATCGCGAGGGCATCGTCATCTCCGACGTCAGCATGTATGACCATGTCGAGCAGCGTGACAGGGCTCTCTTCAACCGCATCAGCGTTGTGGAGATGGTCGTCCCGTACGGCAACCCCAATCCCCCTCATCAGCGGAAGCACGCCTTTGACGTCGGCGAGTACGGCACTGGTCTCATGACGAACTCGCTGAAGCTGGGATGCGATTGCAAGGGCGTCATCCACTACATCGATGCCATCATGACGACCAGCTCGGGCGAGCCCGCCGTCGTCAAGAACGCCATCTGTATCCACGAGGAGGATAACGGCCTCCTTTATAAGCATACCGACTATCGCGACGGCACCGTCACCTCAGCTCGTGACCGCAAACTCATCGTCTCGCAAATCATCACGGCCGCCAACTACGAGTATGCCTTCTACCACACCTTTACCCTTGATGGCACCTACAAGCTCGAGATCAAGTTGACGGGCATGCTCAACACGTATCTGCTGCACCCTTCGGAGACAGCCGCCCCGTTTGGCACCGAGGTGGCGCCTGGCCTCGATGCCCACAACCATCAGCACATCTTCTCGCTGCGCGTCGACCCTGAGATTGACGGCCCTCGCAACACCGTTGTGCAGAGTGATGCTGTTCCCGCTGACGACCCTGTCGGTAGCCCCGGCAACCTTTATGGGAACGGGTTTTACTGCAAGAAGACGCCCCTCCTGACGGCCAAGCAGGGTGCCGTATCGTACTGTCACGAGACGAGCCGCTCCTGGGACATTACGAACCCGAACCGCCTCAACCCCTCGAGCAAGAAGCCAGTCGCTTACAAGATTCTCAACAACAACTGCCCTGCTCTCCTCTCGAAACCGGGCAGCAACGTCTGGAAGCGCGCTGCCTTTGCCCGCGAGTCGCTCTGGGTCGTCCCTTATCGCGACCACGAGCTCTTCCCGGCCGGCGACTACGTGTGCCAGTCCACGGGCGAGCTGGGACATGCCCACAATCAGGCTGTGCTCGACTGGGTTGAGCGTGATGAGCCAATTGATAACACGGACATTGTCTGCTACATCCAGTTCGGGCTGACCCATTTCCCGAGAACCGAGGACTTCCCCGTCATGCCGGCAGAGCCTGTCAGCGTCATGCTGAGGGCGAGCAACTTCTTCGAGAAGAACCCTGCGCTCTGGGTCCCGCCGACGGCCATCCTGGGTGATTACGTCTCGAGGGATGCGTTTGGAAAGGGGGACCCCAAGGGCACCTGCTGCTCTGGATCGCTGAATGTGTCGTCGAAGCTCTGAAGGGACCTTTCGTTGTGGTGGCTGGGTGGTAGTGTGATAGTCTATAGGACGTATTCAACCTGTTTTGACGTCGAAGATGTGCCGTTATCTTGGGTGAGTCGTCGAGACCTCGTCTCTGGGGGTGCTGCCACAAATTCGAACGTACTCAGTGCTCGCAAGCCTGCCGTAGGAGCATGTAATGCATGCCATAAAAGTGCAACCAATGTCGCGATCACTCATTATCGTCCTCGTTTGAGGCGCTGATTCTCTTGGCCTTGTCGACAGTCACTTTGTGCTTGGTAGAAACCTTGTATACTTTTGGTGCCGCCCATTTCTGTAGGTTGATAAACTGCGTGTTAGTGGACTTGATGTCCCGGAGAAGTCACAGTACAAGACTTCGCGAACACCTTGTTCTGATCAAGCAGGCACGGTCACACTTTGAGTTTGGATGGCACGCCCGCCTCGGTCTTTTCAAGGGCACATGCGCCTGTCTGTGGCGCTTTGGGAATGTCTATCGATGCAGAATGTCTTGCACGAGCAGATGCCAAGGTCAACACGAGAGTTGTCCACATCAACCGTGGAAGCAGTTGTGTTGCCTGATCACCGTCATGTAATTGTGACCCGTTTTCTGCTTTCTTTCTAGCAACCAGAGCATATAGACCTGTTTATCATGCAGCGTTCGGTCTAGTTTGAATTGCATGGGTATAGACGCGTAGACTGTGATTCAAAGCACAAAGCCTCCCAGGGGCGTGGACCATGTCCACAATGCCTCCAGGTTCATGCACGACGCACGACGTGAAGTGGGACCGAGAAGGGCATATCCGCTCTCTTGATGGTGTGCTATGATCCATAGGAGTGTTGTTCAAGCTCATGGTCGGCTATTAAACGGTATCCAACCACACCATTGTGACGGAAGAAAGACGCTTTGCCCTGTTGTACTTTATGCCGGCAGACGCGCTCATCGATTTCGTTCAAGGCAAAGGATGCGATATATTCTAGACCAAGTCTGGAGAATACGAGCATAGTATCCGACTACGGGTCTAGTAGACCTTGGTCCCCGAAGACCAGAGCACTGGACAACACGGTCTCCGTGTAGCCAAACAAATACGACCACTACAGGCACAATTGCAGCACCAAACTTTCAGCTGGGGCAGTCAGATGGATGCTTGCATGCCCGACGACCGAGCACCCACTCCTCCACGGCGTAGTCGGAAGCGCTATCTATACCCTACGGCGTCACGCGGAGATGGGTACACATGCATTCCTCGACGAGCAGTGTAGAGTCGAGCAAACAGCACACCACGCCTATAGGCTCTCCACTAGATCATTCTGAAAGTCAAGGCATCTACCTAGACTCTGCTGGAATCCGGCGAACCTGGCAACATCCGCGGGGGAATGGCTGTCTTTTCTGAACGGCGCATGGTAGGATGGCGGCCAACATCTTTCCGACCTCTTCACAGGTACCGGCCTGGCGGAGAAGGGAAGGTCACTCCAACCATCCGTTGGCAGAAGTACGGTGGTAGTCCGAGGCATGATAATGTAAGTGCTGAAGAGCACATCTTGCCGTCAAAATTTCTTCTCACCTGCAGGATCGTGGCAGGGGGGCTTGGAGTTGATCTCGTTCAAAGACATCTGACAAGACGTTCCGTGGCAAAAGGTCCACCGAGGCCACAGAGAGCAAAGCTGCAATGGTCGTCCAGAGTCCAGGGTTCCAGCTAGGATCCTCGAGGTCGAATAGCCCTCGAGAACCGCCGAGGGGCTCAAACCCCCCGCACAGCATCTGGAACGGCCGTGATTCGAACAAGAAGAAGGATGCATAGATTGGCATGATGACCTGTAGCTTCCAATGGGCTGATCAAGAGGATGCTTTTGTAGGCCATAGCACACATGTACGCCCATCCGGACTCATACATTGCGTGACTACAGCGCATCACCATGGAACGCTTGAGCGGCCTCTCATCAGTTCCTGCACCGCACGCCTTTGCAGCATGTAAAGCGGCTCGTCATCATCTTTATTCGTTCTACTCCCCGGCAGCCACAAGCAGCGGGACGAGTTCTCATCAAACGCAAGTCTCGACGTCTAGCACGCCCCTCACGTGGCGTGGGTCACACTTCATAGCCTCGCCGCGCCTTTTTCGCTTCCAACCCCCCCCTTACTCGATGACAAAGTTGTCCGCAACCGACTTGATCTCCTTGGAGAACGTCACGTCTTCGTTTTCGTCCAGCAACGAAACAGTCGTTACCTGTACAGCATTAGATCTGGCTTATAGAAAATCGGAAAGAGGAACAATGGTCGTCACTTACGTCCACATCAACATAGGGCGTTGTCTTGGAGAACCGGACTGTCATGGGGAAGAAGTCGTTCTCGTCGTTCGTCTCGGCCTCAAACTCAAAGGAGCCGCTGGGGTTCTCATCCGTCACGCTGCCAATGTTCCATTCAACCGTGTCGCCAGAGACGTCGTATGCGGCATCGAAGCTTGACACGACGGGCTCGCTCGCCTGGTAAGGGATGACGACGCTGACGTCGGTGAGAGGGTCGCCGCCCGTGAGCTCGTACTCGACGGTCAGGTTGTACTTGCCGCCGTCGTTGTTGATCCAGACGGTAAATGTGATGGGGCAGGCGCTGGGGTCGTCGGCCTTGGGCGTGGCACGCCACCTCAGGACGCCGACGGCGTTGTTGACGGGGAAGCCGCGCGCGGCGTTGCTCATCTGGATGATCTTGGAGTCGTTGAACAGGTTGCGGTTGACGTTGGGGTGCGTCCTGAACTGTGCGCCTTGGGTTGGTGTGGCTTGGAGGTTGAGCTTGACCTTGGTCAGGCTGGGATCTGAGATGCGGAGGGTGAGATCACCGCTGATGGAGAGGGAGTTGACGGCGCCCTCGCGGGACAGCTTCGCGCTGATGGCTTCCGTGACGGTGACGTGGATAGCGTCCCGGTCCATAGTTGTGGACGCGCGCTCCGCCGCGGGCTCGGCGGCGGCGTGTTGCACGACGGGCACGATCAGGGGGCTGTCCTCGACCTCGGCACCCATCTCGCCACGCACGCGCTCGAACATGTCGGTCGTCTTGGACTTCTTGCCCAGCTGCATGCCCTTGCCCTTGGGGGCGTTCGCCTTGTTGAACGTCTTGTTCTTCTCGGCCTCGTACGAGTCGTACGTATCGGTTGTCGTCGGGCGAGCAGGTGGGGTGTAGGTCGGGTACACAGGGGTCCTGGGCATACCACCGCCAGCACGGCCCGTCCTCGCCGTCTCCTTGCGCTGCATCTCGAGCTGCTTCGCCTTGCGCTTGCGTTCCTCGGTGGCCTCGAGCTCTTTGTTCTAGATATTCTTGTTAGCATCATGGTAGTCAGAGACACACCAGCCAACCGACGCACCCTCGCGATGATCTCCTGGATCCGCTCCTCGTGACTCTCCATCTCCAGGAAGGTCTTAATCTGGCTGATGGTGAGGTTCTCCCTGTAGCCTAGCGTCACGAGCTCATCAAAGGCACTGAGCAGCTCGTAGGCGTTCTTCAGAATCTCGCGCTCATCGAGGGTTCGGCATGTGCTGGTGACAACCTGGGCGAAGAGGTGCAGAGAGTCAATGTCCTGCAGAATGTTGGACTGGCGGTTGGTGATGAGGACCATGTAGAGCTCGTCCAGCGGCTGGTACACGAATCGGACATTGTCCTGCTCGACGGTGGTGTGCTGGGTTCCCGAGTCGGCGAGCTTGGGGAAGGAGGCGAGAAGTCCCTCGATGCGCGATCGTGGCATCTCCCTGAACTGGCGGGAGAGGACAGCTTTCCCGCCGCGGGTACAGATGGAGGCTGCGAGGACGACCTGGATGCAGTCAGCACTTTGGAGGGGAGCACAAGCGGCGACTGGCTCGAACGAAAACCTACCATGATTGATGAAGGGGGAGTGATGTAGCGGATGTATGGTGTTGAAAGTCGCGAGGGTCGAAGTACTATCGCAATGCCCAAGGCGGCTCAAGGAGGGACCTCACAGCTCGGAATTTGGATGTGTGGAATCTGGTCAATGCACAGACCAAGTCACCTCTCAGGCTCAGGAGGTGAGTGAGTGCTCCTATGTGCTGCCACTTTAGTTGCCAATTGCCAACTGGCAGGTGGCAGACAGGCAGACAGCCTCGAAGGCGACTACACCCAGAGAAGGCTAGACTCAGAATGGGCCTCACGCAGCTCGACGTCGACGGTACGTACCTTCACACACAGGCCAGGTACCCAGGCCGGTCGGTACCTTGCAAAGAGGGGCCCGCCAGCGCCTTCTAACCTTTTCATTTTCCCTGCATCATTTCCCGGCGCGCCGCAACTGACAACCTCATCAACGTCGCACCTAGGCACGCCTGCGTCTTCTGCCTGGTATTGTCACGCTCGCCGCAAACTTGCACGGCCTTCCCCAAACGTGTTACGCCAGCTCTGGGTCTCGTCTCTGAAGCTGCCTAGCAGAGTCCACGCGTTCCAGCACCCTGATCGCTGACAAGACTCGACTTCTCGCCATCGACTTCCCGTTTCGGCCATCTCGATAATCGAACACCCGGCCTAGGTGCCGAAGAAGCTTCCCGTCATTCAACTCTGCGAGAAAAACCGAAACCTGTCCAACGCAAACCTGCCGCTCCTGCCTCGCGCCAGCTCACAAGGGATTTCTGTCATATCCCAACAATCGCGTTCGGGGTCGGGCCACTACAAGCCGAACACTGTAAATCCTCGCACCATCCCCGGATCGAGGCAATATTCTTTGTCTCGATCTATCATCGCTGCGGAAATAGTCGGCTAGAGGCGCCAAATCATCACGACAGTCGAGCCTCGGGGCTCAGAGCCAAATAAATGGCAACCGATCTGGCATCGCCGGTAGGCCTTGCCCATCCGGACGAAGCTGAATATATCGATTATTCCGACGACGAGCCTGATACCTCCCCTATCAAGCCCAACGCGGATTCAACATCGTATTTCGAATCGGCAAAGCCCGCTGTCGAGACCTCCGAAAGCACACAAGGTGACTCTGCCGGCGTCGCAGAGTTACTCGCCGAAGACCTACACGGTGCCTCTGACGTGGCAACCACGGGCGGGGAACCACTGCCCCAAAGCGATGCTGTCCTTGCCGACGGCGTTCAACACGACGACCCAGATTCTATCGCGCAAGTTGCCGACGCCGCCGAAAATGGCCTGGTCGAGAACGAGATTGGTTGGGAGGGCGAACAACATGACGAACAAGATGAGTCGATGCAGCAAGACGATGCCGTTGCCGATCAAGACCAGCAGTACCAGGAGCATGCTGAGCAGTACCATGCTATTGCTGATGGCCAGCTTGCGAACACCTTTACGGATGCCCAGAGCCACCAAGCACGAGACCAGGGCGCAGAAACAGCGTCCGCTGTCGACGGTGCCGTCAGTGCTCTAGACCAGTCTATGCAAGAGAACGATGAACCGAACAATGAACTGAACGAGATTGATTACGAGGACGATGGCGCGATGACAGCCGAGACTACAGAGGGAGATCTTGAAGGCCAGCATGCAGATGAAGAGCTGGAGCACGAAACGGAAGAAAATGTTGCGTTGGCGCAGGAGGTGCCTGAGCCTTCTTCTGTCGAAGAAGACGCCTCGCACGAGGCACTCCTTGATGACCAAGGAGAAGGTCGCGATGACGAAGCAGGCGCCGACCCGAGCACGAATGCTGAGGCCCTGATTGCCGATTCATCTGCTGCATCCCTCGACACCCCTGACGAGGAAGATGCGCAGATGCCGGTCGTCACCGTCACGTGGCATGGCGTGGAGTACCCCATGTTCTACAATTCTGTGGGAAGTGAAGGTCGAGACTGCTTCTTTCATGATCTGAGCGTCTTGCAGTGCAAGATGGAGGAGCTGTTGGCAAGCTTGCGACGAGTTCTGGTGGACGACGTTGCAGAGTCTGATGAGCTCGTCTTGCAAGTGGAAGAGCTAGGACTCGAATTTGCAGAGGTAGGATGATTCTTCACCCATGTGCGTACCTCACTGCTAACCATCCACCAGTCAAGCCATCCCGACCATTTCTCTGAGATTACGCTCGGGAGCATCCTCCAGGTCTTCGATCACCTTGTGAAAAACAAGGACCCAGAAGCAACGAGGCCGATGTACGCGCTTTTGATCACACGCCCAAATTGTAGCAAGCGATGGTCTTCCCTTATAGAAGATGCATGGAACGGGAAGAACATTGACGAAGTCAGCTACTCGTTTCACTCACGAGACCAAGAGGCCATCGAGGAAGCTGAGGTGGAGGCCGAGGACGCTGAGATGTTCCTTAACCAGGACGACCTTGATGACGACATGGGTGGGGATTTTGACGACTTGGTTGAGCAAGACAACGAAGCAGACCATGAGCTCCATGACTCTGCTGACGAAGGTCGGGACGATCCTGAGTTGACTAACGATGCTGACGAAGGCACGACTACCCTCGACGCCAATGAGCTTGACCTCACGGTCGACGCGACTGGCGACGTAGCTGCTCTTCAAGACTCTGAACAAATTGCGCCCCTTGAGACGGACACATTGACATCCGTCACGGCTGTAGACGAAACAGACATCAATGCCAGTGCAGCAGACGCCTCGATGCTGGATGATGTTGCTGCCTTGGGCGAATTCGACACGGTACCAGACCCAGATGCCACTGTGCTCGCGGAGCTCGACGAGCCTGTCACCACGGCTGCATTGCTGGAAGACGTGAATGCGTCCATTCAAATGCCTGAGGCGATCGATGGTGACGGCCAACAGGCGACCGAACTGAATGGTATTTCCATCACATTTTCTTCACACCCCTGTTCCTCCCCCGACTTCTGTCTATGTTCGGATTGCCTTCTTGGGGCACTTGAAGAGCGACAACGCGAAGAAAGCAGTTTTCGCTTGGATTGTCTTGCCCGAGGTCATTTGGCGCGATGCCCAGCCCAGACTGAAGTCCACCGACCCAGCCCGCTGTTCAATTCTTACCTATCCAGTGGACCCTGTCCCCGACACCTACGTACCCCTTCCGATATGAGCACTTCCTATTCCACCACTTCGTATACTAACAATCTTCTTGAAGCACCTCTTCTCGGCGACGAATTCAACCCCTTGCTCGCTGCAGAAGCAAGCAACAATGGTCCGAATGAGCAGCAACAGACAACTGGATACGCAGGCAATGATGAACAGTTAGGCCTGGAGCCAGATGAAACTGGCGTCGATATGTCTGTTGTCAACCAGGGGACCCCGGTTACCAGCGCGACCGCGACCCTAGACGGCGACGAGGTAGATGATCTCGGCGCCGAGATCGACCTGACAGCCGACATACCACAAGATGGAGAGACAATCAATGGAAACTCTGAGCACGGCCCTAATGACCTCGAAGAGATTGACTGGCGAGATTTTCCCGGGGACGGCGATGATGAGGTTTCCCACGAGTCTACATCAGTCTCTGGAAAACGACCCAGGACTGACGAGGACGACCTGCTAGGTGCCGAAGACGAGCAAGGTACGATTGCACCTTCTGACAGGACTTGATGCCTATGCTAACTTCTTGACAGACGCAAAACGTCTTCGGTCTTGACCTGACATCCCCCCCTCTACATTTCACTAACCTTCAACACCATTGCTCGGTCCAGCACAGAGGGACGCGAAATGCCACTGCATGCGATGGCCATCGTCCTGCAGAAGCGATGTGATCGCTCGGGACATGTGTCCGAATCCGCCCGGAACACCGACAGATATTTTGATTCTCCCTGCCCTTTTATCCACCTGCGAGGCAGACTGGGTAGGGGAGAAAGTGTGTGTGTGTGAGAGAGAGAGAGAGAGAGAGAAATGCATACGCAAGAGGTAGGATCCTTGAACACTTTGACGAACTAATTACACAGCTATGACCTGAAGCTTGGCCGCCTTTGAACGACCACTGGGCATGCAACCCCCCAATGGACGCCATTGTCTGCGCGTGCCTGTTTAAGTGATTTCGTTCATCAGCATCATACCCCTTGGTACTTGCCAATGTTTTCAAGATTCGATTGGCGTACGGCGCAGGAAGGCTTCATGTAAGGGCCGGATTGGAGAGAACGTCATGGGCCTCCGGAACATAAAAGGGCGGTGGTCTCGACGCCTGCCGTGACCACCATTGTACGATAGCTTTCTGTGACTTTAGGCTGGCTCACGAGTTGGCGGCGTGTAGCCATTGGTTGAGAGAGCCGTCAACAGCTGGGACGCCTGCAGGAGATCTTAGGCTATGAGGAAGAAAGACAGCAAGCCAGTAGTAAACAGCAGGAGGAGGCGGCTGTCAGCATGATGAAGGGATGCCGAGTTGTTGATCATCTCCCATCCCTTTTCACGGGCTCGGTCAATGGGTTTGTGGATACATGAAGAGGCAACACACGATACTCGGAAGTAGCTATGTATTATTGAATTGAATCTGAAGAAAAAGAGTTTGCTTGTCCTGTCAGGGTGTACGACAAGGGATTTGTCACGGCATCGATGGCACGCAGATGACCTGGACGAGGAATGCTGAGGGCGCTCGCTGGGACACATGTTTCTAATGGTGGCCTCGGCGCGGGCCCAGTCCAATTAGCTTAGGTAAAATGCCACGAGAGGTGACGTGTGTTTTAGGCGAAAACAATGAGCGAGGGAGCCTGGGTCCGGTGTGGACGCGTTTGCTGCTGCGCCGATTGCGATTCGTATCGGATCCACAAGGGATGGGGAGGGGGGGGGCTATTGCGAACCGTATCGTGTTGTGCGGTGGACAGGACAGATGGAGACCTACCCGCCATCTCAGGCACCTAGTCCAAAGGGACTACGGGAGAAAGAGACGAGATGGGGTGGTTGGTTGGTTGGTGTACATGGGACATGGCAAGGACTTGGATGGCTTCGTGGCAGGGAGTGGGATAGGGATCGTTTCCAGGGATGTGCACCCACATTTGTTTGCGTTTGCGTTTGGATTTACAGATGGGAGACTTTTTCTTTCCGTCTTTTAGGCTTTCGATGCATCAAGAAAGAGGGTGGGGGGGAGGAATACGATCTGTTCTCTCGCCCACCGCACTCGATCGTGTTCTTTAAGTCCTTACCTAGACACCTGGCCCCCAATCTTGCCCGCGAGTACCGTGGCCGGCCCGGACTCGGCCTGTGCGCCGTGTCAGCGACGACCTTTGCTTCTCATTCTGCGCGCAGATTCAGTAGCAATGAAAAGACGACGACGGTTCCAGGGGGCGGCGCGTCAGAGGACGGAGGGGTGAAAGCGTAGATGAAGCCAGGTTCGGCAGAATGCTGCATATAGATTCAGGGGTGGGCCCACTCACTAGCCATAGGGAGCCGTGATCAGCTTTGGAGTTTCCTGGCTGAGCGTCTCGCCATTTGAAGCGGAGTCATGTTCACACTGTAATTTTGGTTGGTGGGCTCGTGTCAGAATACAGTGCGAGAGAACGCTGAGGTCAGCGGGTTCCGGGGGGTTAGTGAAGCTGTACCTGAGTGCTGTGGATGCTACCAAGCCAGGGGGGTCGCTGCGTGTAGCCAGGGGTTGGCTCTGAAACTGGCGAAGCCACTGGTTCAGGATCACGCTACGTAGCGCTTCCCGCCCATTCGCCTGTTACCTGTGACCTGGGGAGCTGGGGGGGATCCTCCCCCCCCCCCTGGCCAGGCCCTCCGAACAGTACCTACCTGCCTACCTAGGTACCCAGGTACCAAGCTTCGGGCCTGTGGTGGCCTGTGTGGACTGTGTGGACTTGTGGCCTGTGTGGCCTGTGTGGCCTGCCGTCTGCCAGGACTCTCCAAGGTCGCTGGTCCGTCCACCACTGCCACTAACTCAGTCCCTGTTCGTCTGTCTCTCTCTGCCTTGTCCTCGAAAATCCAAAGGTGCCCACGAAACATCCTTTCCTCCCCTCCCAACCAACGACCGCGAAACGAAATCACCAGCCCTGAGGGCATCTGCGCCGATCACGACACCCAGCATTGTCAATCTCTCTGCGCGCCGTCATTGACCGAGTCTGTCTCTCCGTCTCTCATCAGCGAACCCCATCCGCGAGATCTGGACCTGGAAGCACGACCCATGCACTAGCACCGAACCGCCCAGCACGACCCGGCCATCCCCTTTTAAAAAACGACTCTCGAATCACTCCATCACCAGCGCGACTGTTCGCTCTGCGTGACCGACGACACGCGACGCTCGTTTGCTTCTCGACTGGCTATCACTGCGCCCACGCGCAACACTCTTTCCCGCCGTCTCAGGACCGCGGCCGACACCTTCCATCATGATGCTGGAAGAGAAGTGCGTTTTCTTTGCGACCCACCTATTTTTGGCGGCAGCGAAACACGAGGCTCGAGGGGACAGGTTGCGCTGACACGACTGCCGTTCTTTAGGTACATTGGCCTGGCGCTGGCCATAGCATCAAGTTTGGCAATTGGTATGCGTCTCGTTCCTTTTTCTATCTCGGCGTCTTTGACAGCTCGCTAACCTCGTACTCTCGCAGGTGTGAGCTTCGTGATCACGAAAAAGGTATTTCCTCGGCCAGACCAACGTGCGTCCGGCTGCTGCTGCGTCGCACAGCAAAGCCGACATCGACGCCATTCCGACCCGACGTGACTGACATCTCGACTCTCCAGGGACTCATACATGCGGAAGAACGGCACGGCTTCGAAGGTGATGGCTACGTCTACTTGAAGAGCCCGATATGGTGGGCTGGAATTTCGACACGTACGCAACACCCACATGGCTGAGCCCCTCCCCTCCGCCGACGCACGCGCTGCCGGCGAAGCTGCGTCGAGCTGAGCTAACATACCCTTTAGTGGTCCTGGGAGAGATTTGCAACTTCGCCGCCTACGCCTTTGCGCCAGCCATTCTCGTGACCCCCCTCGGCGCTTTGTCCGTCCTGATCGGAGCCGTCCTTGGATCCTACTTCCTCAACGAGCAGCTCGGCGTTTTGGGCAGGCTGGGAAGCGCCATCTGTCTTCTCGGTGCCGTCATTATCGTTCTGCACGCCCCGCCTGATGAGGACATCCAGACCATCGACCAGATTCTGCACTATGCCATCCAGCCCGGTACGTCCTCCCACTTTGCTTCCGGAATTGCGTGTGTCTCTTCTTGTGCGCCCAGGCGCTCATCGTGTTGCGCCAGGTTTTCTGTTCTACGTTTTCGCCGTCAGCGTCTTCGCCGTCGTCATGATTTACAAGATTGCTCCCGTCTACGGAAGGAAGAGCCCCCTCATCTACCTGCTCATCTGCTCGACCGTCGGTTCCGTCTCGGTCATGTCGGTCAAGGCCTTTGGCATTGCCCTGAAGCTCACCTTTGCGGGCCATAATCAGTTCTCGCACCCCTCGACCTACGTCTTCATGATCTTGACCACCGTCTGCATCCTGACCCAGATGAACTACTTCAACAAGGCGCTTGCTCACTTCCCCACCAATATGTGAGTTGAGATGCGCTCTGGTGCTTGTGACTTTGACTGACAGGTTTGGCGCAGCGTCAACCCCCTCTACTACGTCACCTTTACGACCTTTACCCTCTGCGCCTCTTTCATCCTCTTCAGCGGCTTCAACACGACCGACGTTGTTAATACACTCTCCCTCCTCAGCGGCTTCCTGACGACATTTGCCGGCGTCTACCTGCTGAACCTCTCGAGGTCGGACCCGCACGGCCAGAAGATGGTCTCTGGCCGCGGCGGCCCCGACGCCACCGGCACCGACATGGTCTCGAGCATCCAGACCCGTCTCAGTCTGCAGGCCAGGAGGAGCACGGATCCCCGGCACAGCATGAGCAGCCACCACGGCGACACGACGGGCCTGATGCGGGCCTACGACGAGGAGGCGGGTGCCGAGTTTGGCCTCACCGACCTGGCCGAAGACAGCGACGACGACTCGCAGACGGGCCGCGTCAACGGCAATGCCAACGGCAACGGCAAGTCAAGAGGCCACAACGAGATTGAGATGCAGCCTCCGAGGTCACACGACAGATAAAACCTGCACCCGACCCAATCCGTCGATTTACCTGAATTGCATGACACATTGAGCACGAACCCAGCCTCGCCCTCAGGCTCGAACGGCGGCTGCTTGTCTTTACACCTCGACGCATCGCCGACCCCATCCCACCCTGTACACGTATCATACGAGACAGGGTACGGGGGTCACTGTACATTTTTTATTCCATGGACCAAGGCCCGGGGGCGAGGAGCCGAATGAATGAAGACCTTTCTATTTCTCCTTGCGGGGGCCGCAGCACAGGGAAGGGGGCCAGGGACTCATGAGACACACATAACTGAAGACGAACGACAGGTGCTCCCCGTACACACACACAGAGAGAGTTCCACGAGACGAATGACCCGTCGGCGCGGGGGAACACCAACGAAGGCGCGCCCCTGGCAGACTCCCCTTGATCATTGCGGGGGGAGGAAGCGCGTAGTTCCAAAATAGGGATATGGGGGGGCGGGATTTATCGGCGTTTTTTTCACTTTATCGGGATGGATTTGCTACGTGTTCGCTCTATTTGATGTTTTTTTTACACTTCGTTTGCGCGTCCGTCATGACATACATGGTGGGGTTTTTATTTTTATTTTTTTTGCACATAGCATCAACCTTTGGGAGCGAGTTCGCTGTACGATCAGATCGGGAGGTGGTTGTGCGGGGGCGGGTGAGGGTCAAGACGAAGGGGAGAAACGGGGCAGAGGGGGGTGCCACCGCCGGGACGGGTAGGCCTCTCCTGTTCCACCCCCGCCGTTGGAGGCACACGGCGGCACGGCAGTCATAGAAGAGCAGTCTCAACATGATGAATGTTACTACAACATTTGACCAGCTTCGACGAGTCCCATCATGCGATTTTGTCGACCGTGGAGACGTCAATTTGCGGGGTAGGCGTGACGCGAGACTCGGCAGTTCATCACGACAGGCAAATACAAATATCACGGGGGAAACGAACAAGTTTGGTCAAAAATATCTCTCGTTGCTTCTTTAACTTGTTGTCATCATTACAAGCCAGGCGCAACCAGACGTTTTCCGGAAAAAATCCCTTTGCCGCAGTGTGATGCAAATGATCAAGACGCCTTTGTTGGTAATGAAACCAGCCCTCCTTTCCGTGCTTTACCCTTTCCTCTTATTTTTTTTCCCTCTTTCGGGGGGGAAACGAAAAAAAAAGAAGTAGGGTGGTGCATCAGGCGCCCCTCCGAGCCGTTGCTCTTCGATTCCCGTGTGCCCAGCTCCTCAGAACCCGAATCCCCGAGTGAACTCGTAGTGGCGCATGGCCAGGAGTTCCGATTCGGAGAAGCGGACGTCGGGGAGGTCAGAGGCGACGGCATCGGCGGGCGTCTGGTGCGGCTGCTGCTCGCCACGATCAGAAGCCTCCTACTGCTGCTCAGCGGGCGCCGCCTCCTCGCCACCCTCCTGCTGCTCCTCGGCCCGCGCGGCCTCGGCCTGGGCCTGGGCGGCGGCAGCCTTGGCGCCGTAGTCCTGGCTCATGGGCTGGACGACGGACTGCTCCTCCTTGGGCTCGATGATGGTGACGGCGTCGGGGAGGGACTTCTGGGGGCCGGACTTGCCCTCGGGGTCGGAGCCGCGCATGATCTTGACCTTGATGCCGAGGACACCCTGGCGCAGCAGGACGTGGCGGGTGGCGTGGTCGATGAAGTCCTTGGCGGGCTGACCGGAGTGGATCATGAAGCCGTCGGTGAACTTCATGGACTTGGCGCGGGCGGCGCGGAGCTTGCCGGAGACGACAACCTCGCAACCCTTGGCGCCCGACTCCATGATGAAGCGGAGGACACCGTAGCAGGCGCGGCGGACGGCGAGGCCGTTGAGGAGCTTGTAGCGGAGGGACTCGCACTGGGCGACGGCGGAGAGACCGCGGTTCTGGACCTTGGCGGCGTACAGGGAGACGCTGTTCTCGGGGAACTTGAAGCGCTTCTGGATGAGCGAGGTGAGCTCGCGGATGCGGCGGCCCTGCTCGCCGAGAACCTCCTGGGTGTGCGTCGCGCGGATGATAATGTCGGTGACGGTGGGGGTGACGCGGACCTCGACGCCCGAGTAGCCCTCCTCGGCCAGCTCGCGCTGGAAGAACTCGTTCAGCTCGGCGTAGAAGACGCCATCAGCCACGAACTTTCTGCGCTTGGAGCTAGAGAAGGAGAAGAAGAGTCAGCAAGGTCGTTCTTGGTCGATGATTTTCTGATTCTCCTATTTTTTTTTGGAGGGGCCCAAAATCGCATTGAGCCAGGACGCCACAGCAAACACGAACGAGTGAAAAAAAAAGTTCGTGATCCCAGGGTCGAGAGACGCGGGGTGGTGGGATGGGAGGCGAGACAGGCAGGATAGCAAAGCTTACATCTGAGTGCCGGGAGCAGCCATCTTGTCTTCTGTGTCCGGAGTCTCGTGGGGTTCGGAGAATGGGACGTAAGGGAAGAATCGAGAGGGCGATGATGCGGTCGTTAGAGGCGGGTGGTCGGTCGAGTCGAGGTTGTTCAGACACAGGTGTCGCCAGTGCTGGGCTCAGAATTTGGTGGGTAGAAAATTGAAAGCCCTAAGCGGAGTGGCCCGTGCGACCAGCCCTTCGTCGTCAAAGTCTGGGAGGCAGGAGCAGAGGGACATTGGTGGGGCGCCAGGCGCCTCCACGGTTTGTTCATTGTGGTCCGTGCACTTCAGTCAGGTGTGCGGAACACATTCCGACTGACCTCGATATTCATGGTGGGGGGTTTGGAGGCGAGCATCGACTACAGCAGTCGCATGACGCTTGTTACTGTCTCTTCTGCTTCACGAATTCTGATCAAGCTCAGCCACGCCCTGTTCAACGTGACTCAAGGTTTCTCATCAGAATACAGCCACGGTGTTTGGGACAGTAAGTTAACCAGAAGGCCACGTACAGCATGTGCTGTTAGGAGCAATTGGGAATGCGTCATTGTTGAGGACCCATGACTTGGCAATTTCTGTCGGCTGCTTACCAGGAAGAAGAGTACACCATACTGTGTGGAATTGTGTCGGATTTGGGATTCGTATCAGTGACACTCTGTTTGAGCCGACACTTGGAGACATTATTACACATGTCGTTTTACGTCAGATGAATCCAGGAAATTCACATATCCAGGTACCAACGGTGCTCGTCAACGAGTACGCGACTTTTTACATGATTTTTTCAGCGACCCGTTTGATCAGACCTATTATGCGGCCTATCTCTTTCCCATACGAGTCTAGGAAGCTTTCGAGGGGGTTCGGAGATGACAAGAAGAAAGCTCCAGAGGTGTCCGGTCGCTTTTATAAGCCTTCACAATGCTACCGTGTATTGTAACCTTCGAGTTGGTCGAGACACGGGTCCCAACACCAGGAGTACTGATGCATTATCCGAGCTTGAGCAGCAATGAAGGCTTGTTCGGCCAGTAGTCGACTTGGAATACGGCGAGAAACGAAGCTCAAGGTGTTTTATGCGGGTTTGGGTGTTACATAATTGTTTAGTTGCTCCAACACGTCTTTAACTGTCGTCGTTCATCCACTGCTACCAAAGTGTCTGATACATAATGCAATCTCGCCAACGACGCTCTTGTACGATGTGCGGGCTTCCCTGGATATGTCCTGGATCTGGCTGGCTTAGGGCTCTTCTGGGGAGAAAGATGGAGGTATAAAGAGCAGGATAACTGGAGCAGTATCGGTACGAGAATGCCAGATTCCGTAGGCCGAGAGCATTCTCAATAGCGCTTTTGATCAAATCATCTGATAAGATTGCAGCAAAGTGATCCGACTACTCCCTTCTCCGAGGTGGACCCTGAGATGTCATCATTTGTTCACTATGTAGGGCCGGTATAAGGTGAATGTGTAGTCTGAACGGCGGCTACCTTGCTGCTTCTACGCTTGACTCTTTCGTAGCATTTGCAGGTTTCACAATGTGTTTTGTTGAACCGTGTCCATGGTCAAGTTTAGTGTCGGTGCGACCATCCATAGCCTGTACTGGCAGTCGCTTGACAACCAAGGCGCCCCCGCCCTCGGGATCGAGACGTGCGGGTTGCGATGGTTGTGAGCCCGGTATGTGGTAAACTTATCATGGGGGTTGCCGTGGTCCCGTGAACTCACCATATAGGTTCTCATAGTTTTGTCCCTGGCTCGAAATCGCTTTTGCAGAAGTCTATTCGAGCGCTAAACTACCTCGAGAACGTAAGCTGCTGCTTCACGTTGCATCAGGGACTGGTCAACAGGCCACCCAACAATCCCGAATGCGAGAAAGCCGGCACATGATTAGCTACCTGGCTCCAAGACATACAGCATGCTGGAGCATCGCTTTCCTTACGGAATCCACGTATATTTCTAGCTAGATCCAACCGTGGTTTAGAGCAGAGTGAAGGGGTCTTCCACAGGGTCCGCAGGTAGTTAGAACATAGATATAGGATCGGAATACACCCGAATTCTGGCTCTCCGCAGCTTAGAGGGCCCTACGCAGCCTATATATACGTCCTCTCGTGGCCCTTAACCCCCTGGCCGGCCCCCTTGTTTGGCGGCCCCTTTGGCGGCTCCGCAGGGTGGCCTGACACGAAGATAGTAATCAATTTCATAAATGTCACGAAGGCAAGCTTTCGACTAACAAGGATAACCCCTCGCGTTTTGTCGGCAAAGCGGAGTCAACAAGAAACTCCGGATCCAGCACACTGCAGACCACAGAGAGCCTCGACTCCAGTAACAAGAGAAATACTTGGAAAATTGATCATGTGTATATATCAGACTGATGCGCTCATTTTGGCTGATTCAAGGGAATCTCAATTACGCACTCTCACGCTGCAATTCACCACTCAGCCAGATATTACCTCAACCAGCGTGTTTCATCTCAGCACCTCCTTCGTCAACTTGCTACAAACGTCCTATGTGCCCAGCTAGTAACTTCCCTCGCTGTCAACGTCGACCATGGGGCGTAAGTATTCAATTTGTTTTCAACGTTTCCGGAGCTTCATTGCTGACCGCGGCACGGGTCAGACATAGAGAGTCGGGGGGCATTGCAGATTCTGGTCTAGCCCTGTCTAAGCTCCGGGTCTGTCACAGCTCGCAAAGGTTCCACGGTATCTGCGGTAAAAGGCTTAAAGACTGCTCCCTGGCTCTCGAATCACCTTAATATGAAGGGCAAGAACGGACAAAGAGCTTGTCTAGAGTGCGTTGTGGTAGCCGGTGGAGTTTTTTGCGCAGCTGTTGCAAGCTGTATTGTAGCGTCCATCGCCTGTCTTTCGGTATCACCGGAATGCGAGGCTGTCTATGTAGCCATTGCTTCGTATGCCCTATGGACGGCAGAGCAAGCTTGATACTGTGAGCATGCCGACTGCTCAGACGCTGTTGTTCGGGCCAATGGGAACATTTGAGGCGCCCTGGAAATCTGTATCGGGGGAGAGCGCTTCGCCGTCTCACCGCACATCAGACGCAGCGACAACGTGACCCTCAAATCTTTTTATCCTCCGCGTCGTGTACCTCTTACTTGTTATAACAGGGGATGCCCGTACGTTATCCATTTTCTGACGATAATGGACAAATCAAAGTGGACCACAGCTAACGCACCGAATTGCGGGTCATCGCAGCGTTTTTGTCAAGAGAAGTAACGATTTTTGGGCAAGGCATCAGGAGAAGGCCCATCATCTGTTGAGGCTTGGCGGTGTCGACTTATTCTAACAGCCCTGGAGTAAGGCGTCAGTTATCATAGAAGGAGGCCGACTTGGCTGTTCAGGCTTGATAGATCTTTGTGGCAGTAGAGGTTTGTTGGTTGAGGGCCAAATTTCAAATGTATTCCTGCCATCTACCGCAAAATTGACTGCGGATATAACCAGCGAGAGACACCTTTACTTGCTCATTCAACTGCTTTGACATGTGTTTACAAAGCCTAGTCTGTGTTCTTCCGAGCATTGGATATCTTGAGGTCTCCAAAGGGTAGGAGAATCTATGCACTCTTCCAACTATGAGCTGACGGCTCTCCTTATGAGTATTCCCTCGCGCTCGGCCCCTTTCTTCGTAAATCCTTTGTCTGAGAACAGGCGCTCCGCTGCCACCCCTTGGTGTCTGAAGGTTTCTGACACAATGTCAGAGCACTGGAATGAGCAAAGGGACCAATTCTTTCGCAGTCGATATCTGCATTCAATTGATAGATACCTAGGTAGGTAGGTATCTAAGTAAGGGTGTGGCTGAGAAGAGTGTACTGCGCCACAGATATCAACTCAAGATTCCAGACCGCCTGAGGCTTAGCGCAGGATAAAAGCAGCGAGGCTTCCGAGCACACCCTGCCCATTCGGGCCCGCTAGGATGTCAGTCGACCAAACCAAACCTGTGACGCAAGGCCAGGCCAGCTACAATCATCACCACGACAGGTGCGAGCGATCTGGAGCTTCACATGCCGTGACAACCTGCTCGCCGCGTGTTTGTCCTACTGCACAATATCAGATCCAACATACTCCCTTCTGGATTCTTATTTGCCTGCTTCAGGGGCATCTATCACTCTGCGCTACCTCATTTACCTCCGTCTCCGACATACGTAGCTCCGCATCTTCCGAGCACACGTACCTTGCTCCCCCGTCAACCATGCGCCTAGGGCAGTCTCAAATTCACCGACGTCAACTTCCGAAGCTTTTCTGGGAACACTTGTTCTGAAGCATTCCTCTTTATCTAACACGACGCGGAGGACCTGTTACACGACTTGCTTTGTGGAGTTGCGATAGACGAAATGGAGGCGAGGAAGGTACGCAATACGAATTCTATCCTTCACACCAAGCTTGCCGTGATCTGACAGCGTCTTGCAGGTGATCCCTGAGGTGCAGTGCATCAACGGCGGTCTCACGACAACGGGCACCCTCAGACTGACTGACTTCCACCTTGTCTTCTGCGCTCCTGTCCCGGAACCCAAGGATACACCCGACTCTTCGGCCACTACTGGTGTCCCAAAGACTCGCGAATCATGGATCAGCTTCACAATGATATCGCAGTTCACTCTGCGTCCAACACCGCCAACATCTGGCATTCCAAGTTCTATTCGCCTCAAAGGACGTGATTTCATTTACGTCGCCTTCAATTTCATGGACGACAAGATCGCGCGCGAAGTCTTCGATTTCGTCAAGGTCAGGACCTGCAAGTTGGGAACAGTTCAAAAGCTCTACGCGTTCAGCCACAAACCCTCCAAACATGAGCAGTCTGTCAATGGGTGGGAAATATACGATGCCAAAGCAGAGTTTCGGAGGCAGGGCATTAGTGAAAAGTCGACAGACAAGGGTTGGCGCATTACCTGGATCAACAAAGACTATAGTTTTTGCGACACCTACCCCGCCATGCTGGTCGTTCCCTCTTCTATATCTGACAATGTCCTCAAATACGCAAAGGACTATCGCTCTAGGTGCCGCATCCCGGCGCTTTCCTATATCCACCCCGTCAACAACTGCACAATTACACGCAGCTCTCAACCACTATCTGGTATCACTCGAAAGAACAATATCCAGGACGAGAAACTGGTTGCCGCCTGTTTCTCAGCTTCGCCACCTTACAATGAAGGGGACCTTCCTCCCCCGCCAAGTCAAATCGATGCCATCGAGGCTCAGTTGACCGACTCGGAGCGTTTCGAAGACAGCTTCCTTGCCAACACACCGAATATGTACGATGAGAAGACAGGTCAGCGCCTCATATACGGCGCTCAACAAAGTAATCTCATTGTCGATGCACGGCCAACCGTCAACGCCATGGTCAATCAGGTCCAAGGCATGGGATCGGAGCCGATGGATCGCTACCCAGGATCACGGAAGGTTTTCCTTAGCATCGAAAACATCCACATCATGCGTAATTCTCTTAACAAGGTCGTCGAAGCTATCAAGGATGCTGATATTTCACCACTTCCTCCGAATCGTGAACTGCTGGCGAGTAGTGGCTGGCTTAAGCACACCAGGGCCGTTCTCCAGGGCGCGAGCCTCATCACGAGACAGATCGGAATCTTCCATTCCCACGTTCTAATTCATTGCTCTGACGGGTGGGATCGGACAAGCCAGCTTAGCGCACTTAGCCAGCTGATGCTTGACCCTTATTACCGTTCCATCGAGGGCTTTATCGTTCTCATCGAGAAGGACTGGCTCTCCTTCGGCCACATGTTCCGCTTGCGATCAGGACATCTTAATCACGAAAGCAATTTCCAAATTCAAAGAGACGCTATGGCAGGCGCTACGGTTCAGCCTGGCGAGAATGACGGCAGGGGTGATGCTTTCCAGAGCGCAATTGCTAGCGCGCGCCGCTTCTTCAACCAGAACAAGGATGATGCAGCCGAGCTCGACACGGCGCTCGAAGGTTCCACTGGCACTGTCGCAAATGGCGAGGCGACTGATCCTAAGATGATCAGCCCCGTTTTCCACCAGTTCCTTGACTGTGTCTACCAGCTGCTGCGCCAGAACCCCGACCGTTTCGAATTCAACGAGCGATTCCTTCGCCGTTTGCTGTACCATCTCTACTCATGCCAGTACGGCACCTTCCTCTACAACTCAGAGAAGCAGCGGCATGATGTTGACCTGTCACACAAGACTTCGTCGGTCTGGGGTTATTTCCTCTCGAGGAAAGCTGAGTTCACCAACAAAGCCTACAACCCTACTGTGGATGATCATACCAAGGGCCTTGAGCGTATTATTCTGCCCGTCCTGGACAACATCCGTTGGTGGCACCAGTCGTTCAACCGGACCGACGAGGAGATGAATGGTGACCTGCATGCTGCCGCTGCTGCTCAGCAATCAAAGGCTTCAGCAATGGCCAACTTTCAGCCATCGACTGAGATGTCTTACGCTCAGAGCCAACCAAGTACGCCTCCCAAAAGTGATAGTCCCAAACCTCCCGGGCTCCCCACCAGCCAGTCGGTCCTCAGCGCGGTTGAGACCGCTCATACGACTCTGACGCCAGAGCCGCGTGCTCTGCACAGAAGTGCCTCTGCTGAGGGCGCCAACGGTAACGCGTTCTCGGCCATTCGCAATGGCATCGCTGGCAACATTGGCAGGGGCATGAATGCCTTAAGCAACTTGGGCAACCGCGGCACATCACCGGGCCCATCGACAGCGACGGCAACGCGCACCGAGCAGGAACTACACAGCCTGACGTAGGGCGTCATGTTCGAGCGAATGCACGAAGCGCCCTACGAGCTCCTTAATCACCCGCGCGACCTTTTGGATGACAAGTGCTCGTGCAGCGAGGCCACCACAGCCTCCTCCCACATATGGGAGTACGCACACGGCACGTCAGGGTGGGGAACGCAAGGCGAGATCGACTTCAACATTACCAGTCTACCCAACTCGCCCAACAATTCGCGGCCCCCATCGTCCTGGGATGTAGATGATGGTGCCGGCTATTTCAGCAGTGGTGATGGGGTTTCCTCCCTTCAAGTATCCATATCGCAGATGCATCATTCAGGCACCAGCACCTTGTCCGGTAATTTTCTCGTGCCTTCCGGGGAGGATTTGCCATCTCGCGACAACGGGGCGTCTCTTGATTGAGATTGTCTGACGTAGCAACCTCTGTGATGCAAAGCTGGCTGGTTTGTAGGCAAGCATTACGACACGTCACCACAAGCCAGGCCTTGTCAGAAGTACTACCACGTTGGGGCTTGGTTGTTTTGTCCAGCTTTTGCAGTTTGCTTCGTCTACAATTCTTGGGGTCATGCAGGGGCTGGTGGCCTAGCTCTGCGTGCCACGCAGGCCTGGATGGTTCGGTCGTTTATTACTAAAGACTTCGGTAGAAGCACATGGAGAATGGCGTTTAGGACTGATATTGGTATTGCTGCCAGTGGCGAGGATTTGGGGTGGAAGGGGGTGGGGGTCGAGAACGATAGTTGCTACGGACTGGGTTGGGTCCAACTTCCGTGATTTGGCGTCACCGATGCGCTTCATCGACTCCACGCATTACAATGACCATAATGATAAGACATTCGTTCATTTGATCCTATGTGTCTCAACAGTGTGACGATACGCTTCCTGGCCAGCTCTCTATATTTTGAGAGGGTTTTAACTTGTTTGTTCATTCATCTACCTGGCGTTCTATTTTGTGCATCCCGCGTCATCATGTCCACGTCCCACATCCCATCGTCTCATCTCTACAGGAAGACCTCGAGGTTGATCTCAAGTGTGCTCACGGGGTATCTGGGAGGGGTCAGCATCGTGTTCTACGCAACCATGCAAGAATAGGAAAGGGGAAATCGGGGGGACAAGGCAAACTCACTTCAGGTCAAACTTGTCCAGCACGGTCGGGTGCAGGATGCCAAACTCGCCAATGCGGTGCTCCTTGCCGCCGACACGGAGGTAGACGCCAGCGGCGTGGCCGGCGAAGAAGGTGGGCTCGTCGACCTCCTCGATCCAGTAGCCGTCCTGCGGGGTGGGATCGACACCCTTCTTGGCAGCGAGGCCCTCCTCGCGGGCGGCAAAGGCGGTGCGCAGCATGAGGAGGACGCGGTCGAGGAGGCCGTGGACCACCTCGAAGCCCGACGTCTTGCCGTACCAGGCGGCAGCAAAGTGGCGCTCGTTGCGGGCCCTGCGCTCCTGCGTCTCGTCCTTGAAGACGACGTCGGCGACCTCGAAGATCTTGAGGGGCACGCTGTGGCCCTTGTTCTCGCGAATCGTCTTGAGGAGGCCGGGGAGGAGGGTGGTGCGGACGACCTGGTACTCGGCGGTCTTGGGGTTGGCGAGGCGGACGGCTGTTGTGCCGTCGTCCTTGCGGTTGAGCCAGGCAAAGTTCTCGTCGTGGGCGCAGAGGATGAGGGGCATGACCTCGCTCCAGCCGGACATGGCGGCCTCGGTACGGATGATGTCGCTGAGCTTGTTGATGGGGAGGGGCGCGCCAATGGTGGCGCTCTTGTTGGGGGTGGATCGGGGCAGGTTGTTGTAGCCGTGGCAGATGGCGAGGTCCTCCATGACGTCGCACTGGTGCAGCACGTCGGCGCGGGTCACGGGGATGGAGACCTCGAGAATGTTGCTGTCCTTGGACGAAGGCTTGGCGATGTAGGCCATCTTGGAGAGCAGCTGGCACAGCTTCTCGGGGGCCTCGTTGAGACCGGTGCAGGCGTTGAGGTAGTCAATCTCAACGTCCATAGTCCTCAGGGCGAGAGAAGGCGTCGTCCTCGTCTGCTGGTTGTGGTCTGAGACAATCTTGACGGGCTCGACGGTGAAGGGCTCGGCGCAGTTTCCGGAGAACATGGTCACCATCATGTCGCAGACGACCTGCAGCTTGGTGGCATCGGTGGCGGTGATCTCGATGAAGACGTTCTTGGTGTTGACGGTGATCTTGGAGTGATCGCCGTTGATGATGGGTGGCAACGAGCAGACGGTGCGGTTCTTGTCGAAGATGACGGGGTACACGGGCGCGTCGCGAATGATGTGAAGATATTTGCCGAGGTGCTTGTCCGCCTCGTAGAACTTCATCAGCTCTTCGCCGTCCATCTCCTTGGTCTGGTTCAGGGGCTTGAACTTGATGTCCTTGGGAGGCAGCGCCTCGTACGTGAAGGGACCTTCTATCGTGTCGAGATCGTGGGTGCCGATAGAGACCAACGTCCTTTGCCTCGCGAGGTTCATGTGCAGCTTATCTTGCAGGGAAATGAAGGAGTTGTAGCTCTCCTGGGTGAAGTTGATGTTCCTCAGGATGGCGCCGGCGACGAGAGGGCGGACCTTGGCGGTGTCTGGGTGCACACTGATGACGGAGAGTTCGGGGTTCTTGGGTTCCACGAGCTTGTAGTTTGGGGAGGGCGTCTTCTCCCGGAAGATATTCAGCATGAGCGCAATACCCTCAAAACACAGCATGTCGTAGCGGTTGGCGGGGATCTCGATCTTCAACTCGGGGGGTGCCTGGACGCCATCGACAATAGGTCGGTCGTCATTTTCGGTATCCTCGTCAAGCTCAATGCCGAACTCGAAGCAGAGGTCCTCGAACTCCTCTGTGGTGAAGCTAGGCAAAGTCCCAAAAGTCAGCTTTCGGCGGCATGGGTTCGGAAGGAGAAGCTTCGACGATGTTGCGACACGGGGTCACGTATGGTGGGGTCGAGATGATCAAGACACAGGGTCTTGGTCAGTCACGGAGAGGAGGGGTGAGGCGCAACTCACTTCTGTCCCAAGGCCTTGTACAGGTCGTACTTGTTGACGGTGATGGTCGGCATGGTGGCGTTTGCGTGTTGGATAGGCCGTGGTCAATTGCGAGTGTAGGTCTATGCCAGGCCGCCGGGGATCGTGTATGCACCGGGCTTGGGAGTGTCCTTGAGTCACAGGAAATTTTGGGGGGGTCGTGGTGAAGCCGCCGTCCGAAACCCGGGGGCGGTAAAAGTTCTGACGCTGCTCTAAGAGGAGGGGTTGGAGGGGCAGAGAGGGCTCATGGATCGTCTGGTGGGTGCCTGAGGAGGGGTCAGGAGCAGCACCATGCCACCCGCCTCGCGCACCTTATAATTAGGCATGACTAGGTAGTACCAGCCAAACCTAAAAGCGGCAACGACTGCACAGCTTCGTGGCTCGTGCACCAGGTGTGGCTCCAGCAGGGCACACATCAGCCACTTTGCTGTCTGCCGCCCTCCTGCACCAGCGGGGTAGGCGCGCTGTAATTTCAGGGGGCCCAACGCCCAAGAGATGAGGAGACGAGGTGGAGAGCGAGGGACGCAGAGAGGAGAGGGAGCAAGCGCTACCTACGTGCTGGGCAGGGAGATACGTACCGCGTAGGTACCACGACCTTGGCCCGTCATTGAGCAACAAAGCTTCGCCTGAGGTGGCTCGAGTGGGTGGGACCCGGGTGCGAACCTGAACCTCGTCGTCAGAAACAACGGATTGCCATTGCCATCCCTCTGCTCTGCCTTCTGCCCCATCTTTGACCATCACCATCACCCACACCCTCGTGCGCCCGCTCTCCAGCTGACCTTGCCCACTCCATACCCATCTTCCATTCTGGCACAGGTCGGCCTTTTGCTCGCAACCTCCGTCAACGATTCTCCTGCGTCCGATCGGGCTCGTTCACCGATCCCACAACCAGCCAACAACCGCAGCCCGCCGTTGTTTCCCTCGCCGCCTGCCCAAACCGCCGCCCGCACCAAACCCACCACGCTACCTATCCAACCAACTACCCGCCCCCCATTGCATCACACGCACGCGATCCCTCCTGATCGCCCAGCCGACGACCGACGACCTGTGCATCTACAACACTATCCCCTCCATTCACACATAGACGCGCATTCCTCCATATCGCTCGCCATGGCAGACGCGCCGAATGCCACCGACGAGCTCTACCCCATCGCCGTCCTCATTGACGAGCTCAAGGTAGGCACCAGAGCCCAACTCGCCCGCGCGAATAGCATCACTGGTACGATCATTTGTTGACTCTGGCTTCCAGCACGACGATGTTCTTCTCCGTCTCAATGCCATTCACCGTCTCTCCACTATTGCCCTCGCTCTCGGCGCCGAGCGCACTCGCGATGAGCTGATTCCTTTTCTCGATGGTTAGTTGCTCAGCGAGCCCCCCAAACCTTCCGGTGCCCCTCCTTCTTCTTCTAACAACAGTCTAGAGTCTGTCGAGGACGAGGACGAGGTTCTCGTTGCTCTCAGCGAGGAGCTCGGCAGCTTTATCGAGTACGTCGGAGGTCCTGACTTTGGTCACGTCCTCCTGTCCCCTCTCGAGAACCTTGCCGCGATAGAGGAGCCCGTCGTCCGTGACAAGGTAGGCAGATTTCCCTCGTCCGTTCGGCGAACCATGCTTGACTAACAATGAATAGGCTGTCGAGTCCCTCAACAAGATCTGCAACGAACTCTCTCCCAAGCAAGTCGAAGAGTACTTCATCCCCCTCACATTCCGCCTCTCCAAGGCCGATTGGTTCACCTCCAAGGTGTCCGGCTGCGGCCTCTACACGGCCCCTTACAGTAAGGTGTCTGCCGGCACCCAGGAAGATTTGCGAAAGGCGTTCGGTCAGCTTGTGCATGACGAGACACCCATGGTCCGTCGTCAGGCCGCCACCAACATGGCCAAGTTTGTCAAGGAAATGCCCGCCGACGTTGTCATTGAGGAGATGATGCCCCTTTTCCAGCACCTCGCCCAGGACGACCAGGATAGTGTCCGGCTGTTGACTATCGAGATTTTGGCTTCCATCGCTGAGGTCGTTCCCAAGGAACAGCAATCCAGCCACGGCGTTCTCCTCGCTCTTCTGCGCAGCTTGATCGAGGACAAGAGCTGGAGGGTGCGCTACATGATTGCCGACCGCTTTGAACAGGTGAGTGTCAAAATTTTGCAGGGCAACAAGAGGCGTTTGTTTTAACATTTGGAACAGATTGCAAAGGCTGTCGACGATGAGGTTCTTTCCAGAGACCTTGTCCCTGCCTTCGTCAAGATGCTCAAGGACACCGAGGCTGAAGTCAGGACTGCCATCGCTGGCCAAATACCCGGCTTCTGCGCTCTCATCGATCGCAATGTCCTGCTCAATGACATCATGGGCAGCATCGAAGATCTCGTTTCCGACACCTCCCAGCACGTCCGGGCGGCGCTTGGTACGCAGATTAGCGGCCTCGCCCCTATTCTCGGCAAGCAGGAGTACGTTGTTCCCCCGAGCTTTATCCCCTGCCCTCTGCTAACAGGCGCAGGACTATTGACCACTTGCTCCCCATGTTCCTCCAGATGCTCAAGGATGAGTTTCCTGAGGTCCGCCTGCACATCATTTCCAAGCTCGAGCTTGTCAACCAGGGTATGTGCATTCTGCGGACAATGAAGACGGATAAAGAGGCTAACAGCGTGTCAAGTCATCGGCATTGAGCTGCTCTCGCAGTCGCTGCTCCCGGCTATCATCCAGCTGGCCGAGGACAAGCAATGGCGCGTTCGTCTGGCCATTATCGAATACATTCCGCTCCTGGCCAGCCAGCTAGGTGTCAAGTTCTTCGACGAGAAGCTGGCTAATCTTTGCATGGGCTGGCTCGGCGATACGGTCTTCTCTATCCGAGAGGCCGCCACGCACAACCTGAAGAAGTTGACCGAGGTCTTTGGTGTTGAGTGGGCCAACGAGGCTATCATTCCGAAGGTCATGGCCATGGGCAACCACCCCAATTATCTCTACAGGATGACCACCTGCTTCGCCATTACTGTGAGTTGACTTTTGCTGCACGAGACTTTGTGCGTGTCGATCGGTGTTGCTAACAGTGTGCAGACGCTCGCCTCGGTTGTCAGCATGGACGTCATTGCGAAGAGCATCCTGCCCCAGCTCCTCGACAAGCTTGCCGAAGACGACATTCCTAACATTCGCTTCAACGTAGCCAAGACGTACGGAGTCCTCGTTGACGTGCTGCGTCGCTTGCCTGAGGAGGGCACCATTTATGCGCTGGAGAAGGAGGGCGCCAGCTTCACGCCATCGCCGCGTGGCATGGAGCTCATTCAGTCAAGGATTCTGCCCAAGCTGGAGAAGCTGCAGAAGGACGACGATGTGGATGTTCGCTTTTTCGCCACGACAGCTGCCAACAGCGTGACGGGTGCGGCGGCAAGCGGCGAGCCGATGAACACATCACCATAGATGAGATGAGAGACGTAATGAAGCAATTCCCACTTTCGACTCGACATACCTTTTTTTCCGTTCGTCGCCGGCGAGGCAGAGATACCTCGCCGGCTCATGAGGCAATGGCAATAACAACGGTCTAACAGCACTAGACAGGGCGATCGGGTGGAAAAAAACACGAAGCCAGAACAGGGGAGCAGAAAAAGCATGGAGAGGGGAGGTCGAGTGCTAGACAAGATGTGATACAGGCGGCGGCAGGTGCCAGTTCGAAGAGAGAGTCCTGGTACCAAGCGATGGCTGTCTGGTATCGTTTGCGTTTCTGCGGAAGACACGGTGTATCATTCGAAGTAGCTGAGCAGTCTTCACACAATGAATGGAAGGTGATGGTAACATGAAAGGGTGTTTGGACAAGATGCTTTTGCTAAGTTGATGAACCTCTCTCCCGCTCCCTGCCTGATCTTCTCATTTTCCTTCTCAGGCCCTCTGCCTCTGAAAGGCGACCGTGCTGATAGCCTGCCCCTTGGCGCCGCCAAACTGGAAGCTCGGATATGCGACCCGCCCGACCATGACGAGCTTGCCCCCGGCGCCGCCGTCGCCAGCCCCTTCGAACCACGCCCTCAGCTCGTCCTCGGTCCAGTTGCAGCTCGTCACGAGAAACAGGCCGCCCTCCTTGACGAGCGTGAGCACCCGCGCGCGGTAGCCCTCGCTGACGCGCCTCCCCGTCGCGGCGTCCTGCTCGCCAGAGAGGCACACGGCGTCAAAGGTGCCCTTGTCCAGCACGACGGACCACCCCTCGCGCTGCCGGCCGTCGAGCACGGCGCCAAAGTCCCCGCGCAGCACGTCCCACTCTGTAAAACCAATATGCGCCTCGTCCTCGCCCTCGCCCTCGCCCTCGACGTCCTTGTCCTCGCCCCCGGCCACATCCTTGTCCTCGTCTTCCTGCGCCGCCCGCCTCGCCGCGGCAATCTGCCGCGCCAGCGCCACGCTGCGCTCGCTGTAGTCGACGCCCAGCATGCGGCCGGCCCAGCCGTCGTCGCGCAGCGCGAACAGCAGGCTGCCGTTGCCGCAGCCGAGGTCGAGGAACGCGGCGTCGGCCTGGCGCAGGTCGTGGTCGAACGGGGCCGATTCGGGGAGGGCCTCGAGGTAGGCGAGCACGCGGGCCTCGGCGTCGGCGTCGTCGAACCAGACGGTGCCCTCGTCGGACGGGTCGGCCGCGTGGTTCGTGAGCTCGCGCGTGTACAGGGCGTCCCAGCTGGAAGGAGCAGCGCTCTCGCGTCAGTCGCCGGAAGGGCCACGGTGTTTGTGGGTGGGGAGGGGGGGGGGACAGAGACAATGGACAATGGGGGGAGCAGCGAGCCGTACTAGTCTTTTGTGCCGAGCTTCGAAGGCTCTAGGTGGGCTGGGTTTTGGGACATGGCGTCGCGTGTTTGGGAGCGACGATAGGACAGGTGATTTGGGAGTCTTGATTGGGTTGCTGGTGCTCTCTTGATGTTCCTTCTCCGTGCTTCTGCAAGTCGTCTCGATCACAGTCGATCAAAATGTCGGGTTCCTGGTGTTGACAGTCGTGGTGGGGTGCTTGGCAATTTTTAGTCTCAAAACGGCAGGCGGTGACATCTCAAACCTCCGCCAAGACGCCCTTGAGGAGGGGCAGGTGAGGGGTCCCCGAAGCTCGAGGCGTGATTCAGTACCATCAATTGTGCAGCTTGCTCTCGTCCCCGGACCTCAATGTGGGCGGGGCACTGGTCAACCTATGAACGCGAGCCACAGAACTGCATACAGCGTAACGAGCGTCTTGCTTGGTATCATGCTACGTACGTACGAGCTCGTCAAGCCGAGCGAAGCCCTTCTGTCTGAAAAATACCAATCCGCCCCGCCAAGCGGCACAGACAAGGGGACTGTCTGCCACAAAATGCATCGTCATGTCTTTCGTAAGCCTCGTCATCCACCCGTGTTCCTCGCCTACCAAGTGACACACGAACCATGTGTCTCTCTCTTGAAACTTTCGCCTTCGAGCATCCTTCACCCCAGCGTCCAGACAGGCGCCTTTGTGAGCACCTGTCGACCGCGGACCTCCACAGCCAAGAATGCCGCAAACCGGACCTTGTTGCTGTCCTTCGGTGGTAGTGCTGAGGAGACAGGCGCGTCAGTACTAGACGCCAAGCTACTCTTTCTCGGCGGGAACGACGACGTGGAGCTGCTGCTGCCACCGCCGCCGCCGAGCAAGGCGGAGAACATACCGCTTCTCGACTTCTCTGTGCGCCCCTTGCCACCCGTCTTTTCTTTCGTGTCTGTCTCGTCATCTTCTGCGTCATCGCTCGCCGTTTCCACAGGTGGAAGTCCTGTCTTCTCGACATCCATCAAGTCCACGTTGACGGCATCGCCAGGCAGCGGATACGTGATGGCTACGTCTCTGCTCTCGAGCGGCATGTTGGCAGCGATGCCCACGGCCAGCTCTACAATCATCGAGGCGCTTCCGTCAACACCTGGTGGCGGTGGCTCGGCCAGGTACTGGTAGAGTTGCGTCGTCAGTTTCGCCGTGTTCAGGTTCGTCCAGTGCGCCCGGTTCTCTTCGCTCTCCGGCGAGTTCAGTGTCCTCTGCAGACCTTCCAGCGTAGCCATTCTCCAGCTGACAATCTTGGCTGTCAGGGCGTCAAACTCTTCCCGCGCGTTCATCGTGTATGAGTTGCGCCGGATGCTCAGCTCAATCTCCTTGAGCTGCTGGCTGAGCCCAGGGCTCAGGCCAGGATGGAAGCACTTGTTGAAAATCTCCTCGACGATCCATCGCGTAATGACCGCCCGGCCAACCGCCGTCATCTCCTGCCGCCCTGTCTTGAGCGCGTCACTGCTAACATATCTGTCGAGCCACTGCGGCACGCTCTTCCAGTCTTTACGAATGTTGAAGGACAGGTTATTGATGGCACCATTGAGACGGTTGAACCTGGTCAGGTACTCGCTGTCGTCGAGCGCCGTCCGAGATTGGGTGATGCGCTGGTTTGCGACTGCGTTCTGCAGCTGCTCGATCTGCGAACCCAGATTCTCAATTTGACTCTTTCCATCAAAGTAGAGGCGCTTAACATTTTTGTACTTGACCACTACAACGCATTAGTCAAAGTTCCCATCGACAGTCAAGCGTCTGCACATACGTAGCTCCTTGAACTTATCGGGATCGGCGGCATCGCGGTCAACGTTGGTAGGTTGAGGGCTATTGCGGCCTTGGTCCCCCGACTGTGAGTCGAAGGTAGGCTGCCTCTCCGGACCGGGAACGGCGCGTAGGCCCGCAGCCTGGCCTGTTGTCGAGGAGCCGGTAGGCATGGGGGGCTGGCTCTGTCTGTAGTTAGGAGGAGCTCCTGCCTGTGCTTCGCTTTGTCCACGCAGGCTCTTTTCCGAATCTTGCTGTCGCCGACTCGCACCCGGTGCCATTTCTCTCTGTTGATGGTTTGGAGGCAGCAGAGTCACCGGGCTATCGGTTGCTTGGTGCGAAGCGTAATGCACGGCAGGAGAGTGTTGGTTCGAATAGGTGCCTGAACGGGCGTCTAGGTCGGCAATGGGTGATTCGTGAGACAGCTGCGAACTCGTCTCCGGGTTCTGCTGTCTCGAGTTTGTTGACAGATGGCCGCTGTCGGTGAATATGGGGGGTGGTCCGCCGGGGTATTGTTCGTGTGCTTGGCTGGTTCGCTGGTAATGTTGTTGCTGAGGCGAGGAATCAAAGGCAGCTTGTTCGTACTGGTCTTGTCGGTCAGGCGACGTCTGGAGCAGTGGGAGGCCTTGTTGTTGCACTGGTTGCTGCTGGGCTGAGTGATGTTGTTGGTGTTGTTGTTGGTAGGCGCTGTCCTCGTAGGGAGACGATTCCAAGTCGCTGGAGACGTAGCGAACCGAGTTTCGGGTGTTGACGTCTTGGGGAGTCTGCGCAAAGGTGTCGCGATTAGAAGAATGTCCAAAGTACTGGTTCTCGGCCTCGCCGTATCCTTGCAGAGGTGAAGGTTGTGTTTGCACAACAGGAGGGGCCCAATCAGAGGGTTGGTCCAGAGAGACCTGGGACAGCTGTGAAGGGCCGGTCCTGATGGATGGTGGGTTGCTCACTCGCTTGGAAGGCCGTCGGGCTAGTCCACCGGTATTGTCGTAGGGCTGTGCCTGGGCTGACTGGGGCGGCTGTGACAGGGACGACTGCTGCTGGTGATGATGGTGGTGGTCTCGGCCTGACCCTGTCAAGATGTTCTTAATCAGTCTGCGGGTCGACCGTTTCTCTGGCTGTGCAGGAGGAGCGGGCGCGGGCGGCGCGTGACCTTGGTCTTGGCTCAGACCACCGGGGGCGGCAGGGTGGAGGGTAGACTGGAGATCGTCGACCGAATTGGAGGCGGCACTGTAATGCGGATGGACTTGCAGAGGAGCAGTGGTAGAATAGCGTTGAGATTGCGACCGGGAGACCGAGTCGGACAAGTCCTGGTTCCTGAATCGGGGGTCAAAAGCTCCGGGAGGCGCTTGTCCAGGCACAGACGCGGGGTTGTGCAGCTGTGATGAGCCGCGATGGGGGGAGGCTGTGGCGGGGTTGTTGTAGTCGTGGGAGAGCGCTTGCTGCTGCTGCTGCTGCTGCTGCTGAATAGCTCGGTCGAGGGCCTCGCTCTGGCTAAAGACAGCAGTGGGGGAAGCGGAATGACGGAGGTTGGCGGTATTGCTGCCGCTGCTGGGTGTGGTAACAGTAGAGGTTGAGATGATGTTACGGTGGTTGAGGTTGTTTGTGTTGATGGCGCCTGCCGCAGCCTGTTGTTGTTGTTGCTGCTGCTGAGGGGAAGCGCCAGATGCGGCAGAAAGGGAGGAGGAAGTAGCGCTGGGGGGTGCTGAGGAAGGCGCCGCAGAGGCTGGAACGCTGAGGTTGAGGTTGTGACCACCAGCGACAGGCCCAACACTAGGGCCTGCTGTTGTCGTCGACGACGACGAGGGCACTGATCCTCCTGGTAATTGTCCAGGTCCAGGTCCTGGTCCTGGTCCGACTCCTTGACCTGCTCCAGATCCTATCCCAGGTCCGGAAGCTGAGGCGGGTAGTGGAGATGACTCGGGAGCAGTAGCAAGCGCGTTCTGGGAGCGATTGCTATGCCTGCCAATGCGGCCGAAGACTGGCATTATCAGGTAAAAGGCGGGCGCGCAAAAGGTGGACGGGATGGAGAAGGGCAGACGTGTGTTCCGCCCCTGTCTCGACAAGACAGACAACCAACTTCTGTGCCAGGGCCGTGTGAGAGGCTTAGACGCGGTGAGCTGCAAGGTCCCCTTTTCGACTGGGCTGTCAGAGTTGCGAGATGGTCGCTTCGAAGCAGGTTGCGCGCAGTGCTGGCTGCCGCTAGCTGGCTGGCTCACTGGGCTCGCTAGCGAACTGCGCCGGTCACCTTGGCTCGGCTTGCAGTGAACAAGGAGCAGGAGCAAGGGCCAAGCAAAGCAAAGCAAAGCAAAAAAGGAGCCACCGCGAACCAAGGCCAGGCGGAGGGAACAAGGACGGGTTCGGGAGGGCAGGATGTGAGGCAGTGGAGGAGTGAGAGTGGGAGTGGGAGTGGGAGATGATGCGCCGTGTTCCTATTTTTTGCGCTGGCGTTCCTCTTGGTCAGGTTTCCCTGCAAGCTTCCTGCCAGCCTGACCTGGCTGACCCAGCCTTCAACCGCTCTGACTGGGGAGACTGGGGGGGGAGCGGGACGCCGCGGCGGAAGAGGGGTCAATAGAGGGTAAAGGGGCAGTGCTATCAAACCAGTGAACACCTGCTGCGTCTATCATCAACGCTATTCCTTTCCCGATCGGGAGACAGCAGAGCTGCAAGCTCAGCCTGGTTCTGATGTTTTGAGGAGGGCGGGGCGGCGAACGAGTGAAGAGTGCGTGGGCTGGCAGTGCGGAAGCAGGTACCTACATGGTCTGCAGCCTGAGAGACCTGCTGTAGAGCACGCAGGAGAAACAAGTTTCAGGGCAAATTACCGCAACCCATGCAGACAATGGGCACTGTCACCACCTTCAAACAGCGACAACATATCGAGAAGACGGACAGGTAGGCCAGAAATCCGGGGTCCTCGGAGCTTGGCTCCTTGGACGGCAGGGCAGCTACCTAGGTACCTTGCCTTAGGTGCCTCCCTAGGTAAGCTGGGTAGGTAGGTACTTTGGCTCGTAACATTGGCCTCAGCGCCCGCCTAATTCCCACAAGACAACTCAAAGACAGGGCTGACCATATAGAACCACATTCTCGAGCCATTCCACAGCAGACCATCGTGTCCTAGACTTGAGCCTTTCTGTCTCGTCGATCCTGGGCGTGAATCCTTCTACATCAGGGCGGGTCCTCGGGTTTCCCTTGTTCTCCATACTGAGACTATTGCTCACTCTTTATTATGCTTTTCTTCCAGGGCAGAAAGGACCCTTCGAGCATTCGAGACTACCTTACACGCTGGTGCGGCTGAGAGGCAAGCTACTAAAACCTGCTGGATGCGGCGGCAGGGGCCTGGGCCGAGCTGCGAACAACGACCTTTTGCGTCCATGACACAGCACACACCCACGCCACATGATGGTCGAGTTGAGTTTTGACGACTTGGTTCATTTTCGCGAGTGAGATTGTTTAGTCTGCTCCATGGGATGGCCAAACCAAATGCCCTTTGATCTTCTCCCCTGCCAGCTGTCCCTCCCCCCCCCCCCTCCCCACCAAGCCGCATCCGTCATCCTAGGGTCGCGCTCGACAGACGCACTGATCAGCAACGTCTTCGTCATTGCCAATGCGCAGATTGTCAATTGCGAGATAGTTCCCAGCTTTCAACGTGAGTGGAAAGCGGTCGTCTCTGGTGAGGAGACCATGCAGAGGGAAGCTTGCGTCGATCGCCTTCCCCTCTTGGTTGCGGCGAGTAACAAAATCTTGTCTATCGTGCTTGGGTCGTCAGCGCCATTGTCCAAAGTGGGTTGCGAGGTGGATAGCTCCTCGCTATTAATAGCACCACATTGCATTGCAGCTGGGTTCGGAGAGTCGGAAAGTGACGCTTGTTCACTCCCTAGCCCTGCCTCCCAAGCCTGGTTCGGGAGAGACCTTAGACCGACCTTAGGTACCAGCTTGGGTGCAGCTCGCACGGTCTACGCCTCCACCCCTTCTAGTACAGAAGAAGGATCTCCAACTCCACGGTTGACGATGTGTTCTACGAAGGATATTCCCAGCCCCAAACGCCGCTTCACCCTGTTGTTGGCGAATGGGCCGTAGCTAAGTTGTCTATCCACAATCCACATGAGGGTGCGGGGCCCTATGTCGGTTGCTATCTGTCCCGTGACTTTCGAAAGCATATCTTGCACCGAGGGGTGGCCCGAGCTGCTGTGAATGTCACATTCCGGACGCCAAGGAGTATGCTACAGATATACCTGACTTCGACCATTTACTCTTCACGGCCTTCAATGCCGTTCTCAGAGACAGTTTCTCAGAGACAGTGGAGATTCTGACACTCTCACAGAAGCCCATTCCTCAAGGGACTCTCTTTCCCAGTGAGGGTGAAAAATCCACAGCCATCCCAGGGACCACGACTTGATATTGTTCTTCGCTGCGGGAAGCCTGATTCGAGGACAGACTGTATGCAGGTGGTGGATCTGACAGCAAAGGTGCCGCCGCCTGCGGTTGTTGGCTCGTCAGACCACCACAATCAATATGATGACTGGTGGACCGAGCATCGGCAGCACGGCACTGCTTGATCTCAAAGCACGCCAAGATGGACATTGCTAAATGAAGAATCCTGGGATGTTCAGCCCAACGCCGGGGAGGGAGGAGGGGTTGTCACGGCTGTTGCGCCACTTACGTTGCCAGGATTCCGAAGCCCAGGACAATGCGAAGATATTCCTCGCCTGCCTCGTCTTGGAAAAAAGCAAAGTAGTAGCCCGAGTCATCGAGCTTTGACAGGGTAAAGGCGATCACGCCAGACATGGCTCCCAACCCGAGGAACAGCAGGCCGTCGACGATGATGCAAGCGATGGGATGGACGCCTTGACGATCATTGACGACGCAAAGACAGAGAAAATCGACGCAGTTCCAGAGAAAAGCGAGAATAGCCTACCATGACAAATGTCGATTTAGTACCACTGTGTGTAGGATGCGCGAGGTAGAGACGCACCGGAGGTCCCATCATGAGAAGAGGGCCTATAGTCCAGTTCGTAAGGTAAAAGACTGAAAATCCGACGGCGGCCATGTTGAACACGAGGGACAGCAGGCGAAGGGACAGCCTGGACCACCAGTATCCCGTCGCTGCGCGACGGATCATGGCGGGCCTCCCTTCGCCGTCAATCAGGTATGGGTCGTACTGACGATGCATGTTACGATGGAGCGGGTGGCTTGCATCGTGAGAGAAGCATGTCAGGGTCTCGAGAATGGCTGCCGTTATAAAGTAGATGCGACTGAAGCATCAAACCAGTCTCAGCTTGGCGGATGAGGCTAAATTGATCACCAACATGCGGCGAGGCACTCTTGGTTAAGTACGGTCCAAAGAGGCGCTCCGTCTGAGCCACGTGCTGGGTTTGGAGACACCGAAAGGCGCACTGCGAACCCAAGCCTGTATCGCTAAGACCCTTACAGAGAATCCTGTCCTGCGACTTGGGGCAACGTGCTGAAAGAACTGAGACCATGAACCCACGTTCCCGGGCACGCAAGTAAAAGGCCGCTCCGAATTAGCGAATCGGCGTCCTTGGCCTTGATGACAGGACGTGATGGCGTGAAGGTTGGGTGAGGGAAGCGCTCAACGAGATTAGTCATGCATTACTGCCATCTGTGGTGAGGCATGATTCCACTTTCTCACGCGACCGTCTGGACGTGAACTGCATTCTCAACCGCCGTGCCATATTGTTGTCAACCGCGATTCCCAACCAAGATCGATAACGAGGTGATAGAGGTCCGGTTAATATTCATGCAGTCATGCTCCTCTCAGTCGACGCCAAAAGTCGAGTTAAAGATCCCCCAACAACAACTCAACACCTGAGCACGCCTCCTCTTCTAGGGTTTAGGTACAAACCATGGGACCACTCTTGTAACATCGGCTTACGAACGGACCAAAATGGCTACACGCCGGCGTCTTGAAGCCATCACAGGGGTTTCAAATCACTGGCGAATCCGGCATAATGAAGGATCACAGTCTCCATCACCCACCTCTTACAGTGGCTGGCAAACACGTTCAAGACGACCACAAGGCTAAACAGGGCTGTCTCCGTGACAGGTCACGCCAAAACAACCCAATTCATAGCCGTGGTTTTCGTACTCGTTGAACGCAAATCATCCCCGCAACCGCGGAAGCCGGATGCTTCGTGAAAACAATGCTACACTAGAACTGGTCACATGTCGCCAACACGCCTCGAAAGCTTTGTGCTTGGCTCGGCGCCACGGCTCCTCTGCGGCAAGAAAACTGGCTATGCTCCGGTGTCCCACTCGTGATAGTAACGTGTCGACGGATCCACGCCTTGAGACTGTTTGCTTGTCACGGCAAGCTGCTTCACCTGAGCGGACCCAGGACTACAGATCATGACGACGCACTGCACCCTCACCCGAATTATACGCTACGCCTACTGCTTCTTAAAAAAATACCTCGGCGGCATGTCGAGCCCGACCTCTCTCGTTTTGAACCAGCAAAAATCTCTGTTGCAAGACACGTCAACGGCTATCTTAAGCTTTGGCCAGGATGGCTGTCCGTTTCAAGAGCTCCCAGAGGCACTTCCGAAGCCATCACTAAAGTGATATAAGCGCCAATGGTAGACATGCTCGACAGTTTTCTCCCAGGCAAATGCGTGTCGCGGGAGCTCCTGTTCTCAAATTGCATAGCTGAGGACCTGAGTGGCTCATCGCAGCAATACAGAGTGCGAAGCATCATGATCCGCCCACCTGTCACACGGCATTCCCTCCAGGATTCGTCGTCAAGACGATGGAGGCCTCTATTGACCGCAAGATCGAGATTTTCATTGTAGGTGTCCATCTGCGGCACAACTTGGCAGTTAGTCAACGAGGCTGCCAGTGAACGCTTGAGACTCCATTGGCGGGTCGAAACTGTGTTCGTGCTGGCCTTTGCTCTCTGCTGTTTGACCAAGGCTTGACTTCAGCAGGCCCTGCCGGCAGCTAGCCGTTGCGATGGGTGACGACGGGCGGTCACGGCGCGGTATCGACTGGCTCCATGTGGTTTCGGGACTTTGTGGGTTGCCACCAACTGGTGCAAATCAAGTCCTCTCACTTCTCTGTCCGTCCTGCTTTCAGCTTCTGTTGTGGTCGAAATGCAGCGCCAGGACTTCAACACTGGCGGTCAGAGGCAAAATTTGTTCTCCCGAGACACTGGGCCCGGCCCTGTGTGACATGCCTCGGTATCAATGTCATCAACCTTGTCACTGTCGCCAATCTTGGACGCTGTGTTCAACATATGTCTCTCTCGGCACGGCTTACCGTGCGACAAACCGCAAGGGTAAGCTTGGATGCAGGTGTAACTCTAAGCTCTCCGGCAAGGACCCTTTGGGCAGGGTGCCCGCTTCAATGGTGGCTTCGTAGAGACGGTCTAACTACCGATCTGGTCGATCTCCGGAGAGGCAAAGCCCTCTCTGTTTGACGAAGGCACGGTAGATGCAAAGTTGGTTGCATCGTGGTTGCGTCCAGGTTGCTACATCTATTGCCAATGAGTGGATGCCCGCATCTGCTCAACGGTTCAGGAACCTGCGGTGCGCTTTGAATGAAAGAAGCTTGCCAGTGACGGGAAGCGTCCAGCATGAGGCGGCACTCAATCCCTCGGGACTATAAAGTGACCAGAGGCGACATAGCTGATGATGCAAGTGTTGAGTCTTCGAACCAGCCGGAGCAGCAAATTCATCCTCCCTTGCCAGACTCAATCAATCGGCTCCCATTTTTGATCATCACCAATATGTATATTACGCGTCTTTTCTTCCTCCTTCCTCTTGTGGCAGCTATGCCCACCCTCGACATGACACCAGGGGATGGACCGACGCCGCGATATCCGTGGCTCAACGTCACCTTTGCCGACCTCAAAGTTGGCTGCACGAAACCAGGACCGACCTCGCTCTACTCCTGCACGATGCAGTGTTAGTCAGATTCGAATGAGAAAAAGACTCATTTGCCGGTTATCTACTGATACGAGTGCTAGTCAACTTTCACGATCCCAACTCGGCGCTCACGCAGGAGGTCAATGACGCCTTTTGCAAAGTTTCGTGGGACTGGGACGGCACAAGCACCGTCCAGGGTCCGGGCAACAATTACCCAGACGGCTTCACCATCTGCTCGGTCGCGTTGTACAACTCGTTCCAGGTGCAGATCAACGCCTTTCTTTCAGCATCAAACTGGCAGATGACGGTCAGCCACAAGTACAAGGACAATGTGTGAGTGGTGCTGTAGCCCGATTTGCCACGCGAGACTGTTGGTTTGGTAGCTGATGGGACGACGGATTACACAGACATTTCAAGGAGCCATGGGTCCTGCCCAACTCGTTTACGCAGGTGACCATTCCCGGGAAGCACCCTGATGTGTCGCAGATGCCCGTGGCGGGCCACTTCTTCTTTGAGGCCATGCCGTCGTTCACCCACCATATCTCGGGCTTGTCGTGATGGCCGATTGTGTCCATCGACGGACCACGGCACGACAAACAACGCGCGGAGGCGAGGGGGAACACCAAAAAGGCTGCCGTCCGACCCGGATCATGGCACACGACAGTTCGCGACGTTGGAGGTGTCTATCTCAGAAAGGAAGCTCGATGTCGTTGGTGGGCCGGACGATCACACTGCGGAGCGGGCATCCCTGCCAAGACCCGGCACTGGTAATGAAGAATGATGTGTGTTGACGCAGATCCAGGGGTGAGAAATGTCAACGACGCCCCACAGACCCCGAACCCCCTCTCCCACCCCTTCGTGAAGGCAACGCAAGTCAGTAGTCTTCATGGCAATCGCCAACAAAGACATGTGCCGAATGATAGCCAGTGCCCCCTAATTGCAGTGCTAGTGTCGCTCGAATGGCCACATTCGGTCCGTTGGCGGCGTGGAACATTGGCTCATTGGCTTGCGTTAAGCTTTTGCGCTCGGTAAGACGGATAACGCGGCGGGAAAGGCTGCCGATCTCAAGGGAGCCGAGGCGGCTGTAGTAAAGGGACGGTGGAATTCACATCGTCATCGAGCTCCAGTAATCGCAGTCCACTGTGGAGGAAAGTCTTACATTCTATCTGATGGAGCAATGACTCGGGAGGGACTACAAGAATGACGCTTTTTCTTCATTCGAATCGGCCAATGTCTTGGTCTTTCTCGTGCCAGGTGTTGATGATCGCTCACTTGAGATCAGCACTTTGATTCTCTGCTATTGTACTATCAATCCAAGCCAGCTCTGTCCACTTCGAGCAGGAAAATTCATGATCTACTTCGTTTGAGTACATCTCCTGCTACACCATGGTGCTTCTCAAGCTCCACGCCTGCGTGGCAGTCACCCTCGTCGCCCTAACAGAGGCGCTCCTAGTCTCCCGCGCGGCTAGCCTCCCAGCCAGCATTCAGCTCATCCGCCAAGCTCCGGCCGGAGACGAGATCCAGCTCCAGATCGCCCTGAAGCATCAGAACATCCACAAGCTTGAGTCAACGCTGCGCTCCGTCTCCGACCCTTCGAGCTCACACTACGGGCAGTACCTCTCCAAGGATGAGGTCAATGCGCTCTTTGCTCCGTCCAACCATTCGAGGACCGCCGTCGAGTCGTGGCTGAAAGACGCCGGCATCACTGCCGTGTCAACTCGAGGCCCCCTCGTTGATTTTGTTACAACGGTGGCCAAGGCAAATGAACTGCTCGGGGCGGACTTTGCCTGGTTCGACGTCGAGGGTCACAAGAAGCTGCGAACGACGGAGTACTCCATCCCCGACACGCTCACGGCGCACATTGACCTCGTTGCGCCAACGACATTCTTCGGCCGCACCAAGTCGCACCGTATGATACCCGACGACGAGACCTCCGAGCTCGATTCCCGACAAGCCCGCAACACGACGACCTGTTTGTCCGTCATCACGCCCGACTGTCTCGAGGAAGCATACAACTATGGCAGCTACAAGGCGGACCCCGCGGCTGGCAGCCGGGTCGCATTCGCCAGCTTCCTCAACCAGTCGGCCCGCCAGGAGGATCTGACGCAGTACCTGAACACGTTCAAGCTGCCGCCCCGAAACTTTACGACGGTCCTCATCAACGGCGGCGAGGATCACCAGGACCCCAACGGCGACATTGGCGAGGCCAACCTCGACGCGCAGTTCCTGGCAGCCGTGACGAAGAACCTGCCGCTGAAGCAGTTCATCACGGGCGGCTCGCCCCCGTTTGTGCCGAACCTGCGCATCACCAACGCGTCGACCAACTCGAACGAGCCGTACCTCGACTTTTACGAGACGCTGCTGGCCACGGACGACGAGGGCGTGCCGCAGGTGCTGTCGTCGTCATACGGCGACGATGAGCAGACGGTGCCGGTCGAGTACGCGAAGCGCGTGTGCAACCTCATCGGCATGATGGGCCTCCGCGGCGTAACTGTTCTCGAGTCGAGCGGCGACGCGGGTGTCGGGGCGCCGTGCCGTGCCAACGACGGCAGCGGGCGCGCCGAGTTCACGCCAACATTCCCCGGCACGTGCCCGTACCTGACGGCCGTTGGCGGCACGCAGGCGTGGGCGCCCGAGGTGGCGTGGGTGGGCAGCGCCGGCGGCTTCAGCAACTACTTTGAGCGGGCGTGGTACCAGAAGGCGGCGGTCAAGACGTACCTCAAGGAG